TCTTGATATAAGCCAATAGCATTAATCTATGAAGTCGTACGATGCTATCATAAGACCTTGCCATACGGCTACAGGGTCAGCTGGTTGTACCAGCTGTCGATAACTACTCTAACTATAGGACCACCTTCTCAGGTAGCAGAGCTCCATCTCTCACAGTGTTGTAGGAGCTTATCCGATTGGTGGATAAGCGACCAGATCTTGAGTCTTCGGATATGGCACCTTATCTATTAGGCAGAATAGTTAGTACCTTATCTATGATGTATAAGGTCTGGACTCTGGCACGTGATATGTGCGCTTAAGATATGCACATGAATGAGCATGTGAATAGTCACGTGATCGTGAAGCGAGCGCTTAAAATAATGTGGAATATTACGGTTTGTGACACCGCCCCCCGGGTCGGCCTCACGAAAATCAAGGCCGTGGTGGCAATTATCATTGAAATAATGGTCAAGGGAGACATGGTCCCCGTCGTGAAGGCCATGGTGGACACGGTGGTGACCCTGGTGGAAGCTCAGACCCTAGTGATGGTACTGATTCATCGGATGACTCTAATGATGAGTCAGACTCTGATAATCCACCTGATCATCACAGCGCACAGCGACAGTGCACGCGCAGCCCATCGTACTTTCCAGAATGTGAGATATCCCCTGTGCATCAGCCTGCAAGCTGGGCAGATTGCCTACCGGACAACACGTACCTGCGTGAAGGAATTCGTGGAATCAAAAAGCTCGTCGCAGCTAAGTTAGGCACGGCGCTCCCAGAAAACACTGTCCTGAAGAGCATCAAAGACTTACCGAAGCCTGAAAAATATGGCGGTGATGATAATCGTGAAGTCTTTGATGCGTGGATAAAATCCTTGATGCACTGCATGCGACTTGCTCGCTTGGGCGGCCCCAATCTGGATGAGGAATGTCTCCAGATCCTGGGTCAGTTCCTCAAAGGTGCTGCCTCAGAATGGTTCAATGAGAATGTCGATGACGTCGAACAAGATGACGAACCTTGGACATTTGTGAAAGCACTGTGTGCATTGTTCAAGCACTTCTTGCACTTTGCATCCACGATCAGCATCGCAGACCAATTTGATGCTGTTGAATACACTAAGCAAGGTGGTGTAGTCAGATTGCGAGACACACTTACTAAGTACGCAAGACGGATGCCAGTATACCCTGATAATTATACGTTTGCTCGACGCTTCATGGACGCGCTTCCTGACAAGATCCGAGTGTCGCTTTTATGCGACCGTGATGTTTCCTTGGAAGGGACTGACTTCCCAGTTTTGCTGCAGTTAGCATGCCAGCAGGAACACAATAACAAGACACTTGCCTTACTGAAGTCATGGCAGCCAGCTACATCTAAACCGCCTAATCCTGTATCCTCCAGCGGCGCTGCGAGGCCATCCGTGCTGCCAAATGTGAGGACTGTGAATCCATCCGTGAAGTCTGGGCATTATATCTGGGTCATTCTCCATGTGAGTGTAGGGACTGGCGAGACAGATCGTGCTGCTGTGGGACCTTCATTAGCCCGTCCACTGCCATATAAGTCAGCCACAAATTGTCCACTCACTGCGTCGTCTCACACTATAGGACCAAACAAATCATCCGCGCTGACCTCATTGTCCTCTTCAGTGACCTGCTATCGGTGTAATCAACCTGGTCACTGTGCAAAAGACTGCCCTCAATATCCACCACAAATGACATTGCGAGCAGCACGGATTATGGATGTACCTGATGATGACGAGGTACAGGAAGGTCAGGGCAAACTTGATGCCCCTGCATTGGAGATGACTGCACCCGAACTCGAAGCGTCAGCCGCTGATGATGGGCAAGCCAACGTGGAGTGGGAGGATGACCTTGACACCCTGGTTGATGGATCACAATATGACCCAGATGATCAATTATATGTGTTTTCTGACTATGATGAGGATGAAGACTCACACGTGTTCTTCAGCTCCATGAGACTGCAGCTCGAAGCTTTGTTGTCCCCCTCTATCATGACATCAATGGTCAATGGTGATCCGGAAATGGATAGCCAGTTGCAGCAGGCCATTGATCACATCAAGTGTATCTCAGCAGTGAACTCTGCATTAGAGAAGAAGGCGACACACCATGAGCAGAACGTGCAGACGCTGCGCTGTGAGCTGCAGTGGGCACGTAGGCAGCTCACGTTGGTCACGGATGGGGAGAATAGCTATGTCTAGGCACTCCCTACTCAATCTCAAGGTTCTCTATTAGAGAACTTTCACGTTCATGTGAGAATGATTAGCCAACAGTTACTCAAGCAGCATGAGATACTCACATCGATGCCGTATGAAGGATCCCATCCATCAGTGGGGTGGCCTCATCATGTTGACGACCCATCCGATGAAATGGTTGATGGAGCAGTCGAACTCATGATGGATCTCACAAATGCAGCAATGGTGTTGAACCCCGTGCTGCGTGCGATGGTGGAGGCACCTAGCCATATGCTGGTTCCTATGGTAACTCACGGTACAGTGCGACACCGTGCAACCACCTGACATCCTGATCTCTCACGTGCTGAACAGACGTGCTTGATGGCCTACATCACAATAAATGGCCTATGAGCACTTGTGCTGTTCAACTCAGGCAGCACAACTGACTCGATCAGCCTCGACTTTGCTCGCATTGCTGGTGTACAAGTTTGCAAACTAGAGAACCCCGCGATCTTGCAACTGGGATGTGTCAGCAGCCAGTTGCGAATCAACTTTGGCGCGACCATATCTGTTAAGTGGGGTGAATTCGTGCGAGATGTGTATATGGATGTGGTGAACCTGGACCGCTATGATGCCGTATTTGGTACCCCGTTTATGCGAAAGCATGGAGTCTGTCTAGATTTTGCACATGGAGTCATCCACCTTCAGGGCCAGGCACTCCCAGCTCTTAGCCCTCAGGAGGAGGAGATGAGCATGCAATGACGTACCTGCTCTGGACACCCTAAGCTACCGCAACCAGCCTGCACTATCCGAAGTGATGTTGCGACCATGTCGTCATCCTCCAGCGTGCATTTGGAGTGACTACACTCAGTGTAGGACAGAGAGGGATTGCGCAGTGCAGTAAAGAGTGAGCCGTGTGATGGCCCTTCCACAGTGCACTTCCAGCACATCAGGATGATGAAGAAGTTGACAGAAGAGGAAAGGCAGCAGTGCGCAGGAATTGCGAAACAGATTTTCAAGGATTACAATGATCTGTTTGGCACTTCGCCACCTGGAGTTCCGCCTATGCATGAGATTAACCACGCCATACCATTAATTGATGAGAAAAAATGCTACCATTACTATAAGCCCCATTGTCCGGACACCTTAAAGCCGAAATTACTAGAGAAAATTTGACTTCATACTGACAATGGCTGGTGGGTGCCCTGCAATGTAGATCAGGCTGCACCCCTACTATGCATCCCAAAGAAGAATGGGGACTTACGAACTGTGATGGACACGTGACTACGGAATGACAACACCATGAAGGATGTCACCCCATTCCCTGACCAGGATCAGATCCGCAATGATGTGGCAGCGGCGCCAATCTGGTCAAAGGTGGATATGTCAAATGCCTATGAACAGGTGCCAATAGATGAGAAGGATGTTCGCAAGATGTCGTTCACGACTGTATATGGAATGTTCTACAGCCGTGTTATGCAACAAGGTGACTGCAATGCACCATTCATGTTTCAGCGGTTAATGACCGCCATTTTTCGTGATGCAATGAGAATTTTTGTGCATGTTTACCTTGATGATATTTCCATCTTCTCAAATTCTATTGAGAAGCATGAACGTCACCTGTGCTGGGTATTTGCGAAACTAAGAGAACATCGCTTTTACCTTAGCCGTGACAAATGTGATCTCTTTTCGACGAGACTGGACTGCCTAGGTCATATAATCGACGATGCCGGCCTCCATGCAGACAAAGACAAGATGGCATGCATTCATGAATGGCTGGTACCCAAGAACTACAATGATGTCCAAAGGTTCCTGGGCCTAGTGCAATACCTCGCACACTTCATGCCAGACATTTCTGCATACACAGGTCCGCTCAGTGGCATAGTTCAAAATGGTCAGACATTTACCTGGAGACCGATCCATCAAAAGTGCCTTGAGATGATCAAATCGTTAGCATGCAGAATGCTAATCTTGAAGTCAATTGACCTGTGCAACCCCGAACCAATCTGGGTAATCACGGACGCCTCGACATCGGGCGTTGGCGCTGTGTATGATCAGGGACCAGAATGGATGAGCTGCCGCCCTGCGGGTTTCATGTCTAAGAAGTTCATGACAGCCCAACATGCATACTTTACCTTCAAAATAGAGGCTCTAGCTGTCCTGGAGGTCCTGATGAAGTGGGAAGATAAACTGCTTGGCTGTCATTTCAAGGTCGTAACTGACCACCAAGCTCTTACCTTTCTGTGGGATAAGTGCAAGTTATCGCTGCGCTTGGAATGCTGAATTGAATACCTTAGTCGCTTCGACTTTGAGCCGATATACGTCGAAGGGTCCACCAATCGCATCGCTGACTCGTTCTCATGATATTTTGCCAGTGAAGATGCAGAGGAACTACATGGTCGTGAGGACTTCATCTCCGCAGATGCTCGTCTTGATCCAGAAGGTGAGGCACTATCAGACTCATGCATCACTGAACTGTGCACACAGTGCATTATGAAATTAGCAGAGCTGAGAGTCGAAGAAGTGAACGTGCTGGCTGCTCACTGATGTCCAACATCCTCAGTGGAGCCTGCAACTGGTGGCGAGGACCCCACAGCACTGGAATCTGCTGTGACGGGCCCACCACTGGGTGAAATCATACAGCAGTCCATCGATTTGGGCCAGGAAGTGAAAAGTGGATACTCATGTGATCCTGTATTCTCTAAGGTTCTCGATCACCCAGAGGACCACAAGTTGTTCACGCTGAGGGATGGCTTGTTGTGGCACAAGTGCAATGAGCAGACCGAAGTGCTGTGTGTCCCGTGTATAAAGGTCGATGGACGGGCCTTGACCGAGATCATTATCAATGAGGATCATACCGCATTGAGACATCTAGGCATGAGACGTACCTTGGACTATGTTCGGCGATGGTATTGGTGACCTGACATTGGCAGAGACATCGCCAGGTTTCGCGCAAGCTGCGGCATTTGTCAGACATCGAAGGCCTCGTGTCAGCATCCAATGGGACTACTTCACCAGATGCCCATTGCGAGGTATCCATGGAAATCTGTGGATATGGATTTTGTCGGACCTTTCTCAATGTCACGGGGCTTTGACTACCTCTGGGTGATTGTCACAGATTTTCACGCTTTTACCTTAGCACATGATCAAGACATCATATGACACCAGCGCTAGGCTGTCCAGAAAGGAACGAACCAGTACGTGAAGTACTGACAGTCCTAGGCACCCCAGAAGTTCAGGTCTAGTTACGTGACACATCACGTGATACTTTTACATGTGACAAGTGGTGCAGGTATTAGGTAAGCCTAACTTATACAGTAATATCACCCCACCTAGAAGCAACGGTCGGACTCCGGAAGAATACAGCAACGGGCTTACACGCCACCGGAGATATAGTCTTAAGGGGACATTAGTTCACATACAAGAATAGATAGATGCCACGCCACCGGCGATGTAGCCATTACAGGCAATACCATTCCCATGGTCTTACTAAGTAGTTCAGATATTCAGCTCATGACACATGTAGTCTGACAGGCAGTGGTAGCCAATCAGACAGTATCCATTAGTTAGCAATTCTGGGGTATCAGGGAATCAGGGGTCCCTCCGCTCATGTATATAAGTCAGAGCTCTGAGACGCATAAGTCCCCCAGACTTATTCTCATCTCTGCTTCGCCTATACATCCAGTGTTACCAGTGCTCACTTGCAAAGCACTGCTTGACTTTGATCATCTGTTTGTGCCCATCCTTACTTCAACAAGTAAGTGTTTGATCAGTTAGGTCATAGGCTTAGTTGGCGCTCTGCGTCCTAAGTTTGTGATAGTGATCATTGACCGACTCACGTCAATGGTGCACCTTGTCCCCATGAACACCACTGTGCGTGCATCCAAATTGGCATGGTTATATCTGTAAGAGGTCATCCGGCTGCACAGCTTACCGGAGTCGATCGTGTCAGACCGTGACCCCAAGTTCACCTCAAAATTCTGGGGTGAACTCCATCGCCTCCTAGGAAACAAGTTGTTGATGTCGACCGCATTCCACCCACAAACGGATGGAGCCTCCGAGCGCATGATCCAGATGGTGTTCCAGATTTTGCGAAGCACCGTGCATGCAGATCAGGTGCCCCTCGTTGAATTCACAATCAATTCTAGTGTCAACGCGTCAACTGGGTTTGCATCGTTCGAACTCAATTATGGCTTCTTACCTCAGATGACCCGCAAACTTGCCCGGGAACCAGTGATGCCAGACGTGAAGGTGTTCACTGAACGAGCGCTGGACAATCTTGCTATAGCGCATGATGCCATAATTGCTAGTCGGATTTCGCAGACACACTACACGAACTGCGGCTGCCATGCTGAAGACACTGAAGCATTGTGGGAGAAATTCGCAGTAGGAAAGCGAATATACCTGTCCACCGAGAATTTGAGCCTGCCTAAGGGTAGAGTAAAGAAACTTACCCCTAAGTTCATTGGCCCATATACTATCGTCAAGGCGAATCCAACCATGTCCACGTATGTGTTGGATCTACCTGTGGCACTGCGCCACCAGCACATCAAGTCAGCATTCCATGTATCATGGCTGTGCCCACATGAACCCAACGATGACATCCTGTTTCTGCATTGAGGCATTACCGTATTCTATGATTTCGGTCAGTCCGATGATGAGGAGTTCTTAGTTGAAGAGATTGTGGCTCACTGCTGGAAATGCAATGCCATTGAGTTTTTGCTTCGCTTTGAGGATGGTGACATCATGTGGCAAATCTACGAGGTGTGCAAGAACCTCGCCGCCCTTGATCGCTACCTAGAGTTGCAGAAAATTACTGACTGGTGCATGCTGCCTCGAACGGCAGTGTCCACCAATTGATAGATCACCTGGTTACACGGTCGCAGGTGTTGCATTGATGAGGATGAACCTGCTGACTGTCCTGCGACACATACTGTCACAGAATAAAACCCCACGTGACATGTAAAACCTGCAATAGATCTGCATATATAGTCGGAACCAAGTGATAAGCCAAGCTTATCATTGCCAGCCTCCATTAGGTATTGGTCTATAGAATTTAGGTTCCGAATCCGTGATACACACACGGCTTCACCGGATACTGCTCGCCATGTCTGTTATCTGATCTTGGTACCCGGTCTTGGCTCTTACCTTCACAACTGTATAGTTGTGGTGGTGGCTGAGGGGTGCTGTGAACATGTGAGCATAAAATAGGATCCGAGCAACTCCCCTAGATGATTGTCGCCAAAATCTCTCGAAATGAGCCTGTTATATGCAAACTTTCAGGCCTCCAGTATGCAAAGTGTGACAAGGCCTGTGACTATGTCACATTATGTAATGATTTGTCACATTCATATGTCACACTATGTCAGAGTCAAAACATAAGAATTTGTTTGCGAGACGGCATGCTACTCTCAAATAAGATGTTGTATGAATAAAGAGATCACATTGAGTATGTATCAAGCGATCCATGCCTGTGGTTTGCCTTCTAAAACCTTAATTGTGTACCTAAGGGTTTCCTGCACTTTTGGCCTGCTAAGAAGTTGTCAGTGTGCTGCCACTGCCATGCTCAAAACCTTGCTGTTCAAAGGACCCTCCATGGGATTTAAGTGAGACACAGAGGAAGAAGCAGAACTCCTGAGTCATAGAAAGGGCTCGCATGGCAGCACAATGCCCATACAGTGTATTATGACAATTATTGCACTCGAGAAGCACCGGCTGTCGCTGGCAATAGTTGACGGTAACAAGGTAATAGCCAAACTGTGTGCGTTAAAGTCATATAGGAGAAAGATGATGTCGGCGAATGAAAAAAGGCAAGAAATAAGCACAGCCAAACAATGCACCAAAATCTGCGTTACATTTGTGCCCGAGAAAAACCTTGTCGCAAGGTAACGCAAGGTAAAATGGAAAGTCATATAATTTATATTGGTATCAGCTTTTAGCCACCCTGACATGCCTGGATCGGGGGGTCTTCCGACCCCATCGGGTCCCCAAATATGCTAAGTTGCGATAAGGATAAGGGTGTTTTTGGGTCTTCCAAGGTCCGAAATATGCAATCAGCGACAAGAAAATTGCGATTTGGGGCCCCTCAATATGCTATTTTGTGACAATCATCTAGAGGAGTTGCCTGGGTCCTCATAAAATTCAACCTTGCTTCCATCATTCTGTTGTGGGCGCACCTGCTTCTAGAACAACTTCCTCATGTCCTCGACAGCTCTTACACCTCGTGTATCATGCCTTACCCATATCCAAGGCCTAGCGGCAATCGCAATACCTCTGGTGGTTGTCCGCCCCATAGAGAACGCCGCAAGCGACCTGTGTCCCTGATCGCCCGTGTAATGCGCTCACCCTGGTCCTATCACCACGAGCTATTCACTGTTGCACACGGCTCAGGGTGCGACTGGTGTACCCCGTTCTTGCAGCACGTCCGTGACCATGTCCATGCATCGATGAGCTTCGACGCTGCCATTGAAGACATGGTCATGCACCTTTCCGAACGCTCCTACCATGATGGATATGAATGTGGTTGGGAGACCGCCCATGTGGACCAGGCCACAAACCTGCCCGACATCGACCTGGCTGCCTTGTGTAGCCGCATCAAGGCGCTCGAATCTAAGCTTCAACACCTGATGCCCGAGGAGCAGTGGGTGACTTACGAGAAATTACTGCCCAAACTATCCTTCTCCGAGCCTTTGACACTCGATCTAGGAGGGGGAGGGAGCGTGGGAGCATGGGACCCTCATGCTCAACCTCACCAGAGAACCTACGAGAATGTGCTATTGGACCGCAATGCTATCGCCCTAGTGGCCCGCCACGTGGTGCTTCATCAGTAGTGCCGGCACAGGGAACTGCACAGAAGTGAGGGCGTGAGCCTATCCCAGTGCACTTCGACTATGATTACTCACTGCCATTCAGCCTCCAAGGTCCTGCATCTGAAGCAGAGGCCAAGCAATTCATTGGAGGCATGAAGACACCTACCATAGATGGTGCCAAGGCGGCCGAGGTAGTACAATTGTGGACCCAGGTGGCTCGAAGTATACAAGTCACCAAGGTGTCAGAACTCTCTGTGGCTCAACAGTATGTGCTTCGCCATGGAGAACACCCTAACTGGCTCCGAAGTAAACCTGCGATGGTGTGCGAAGCCCGCAAACTGGTCGATCCGCATCCGACGTGGGACACACCCCTTATGGTGTTGGCAGACTATTGCACGAGACACCTCGACTGGTGGCTCCATGATGTACGATGAGACCCTCGGACTGGGCTAATCACTGAAGGTGACGTTAGAGCATACCACGCAATCATGCAGGTCACCGCACCCACTGATGCCCGTGTTGACTTCAGATCTATGATCACGACAATGGCCGCTGACCTGCTAAGCAACCCGGACCACTTCGTGGAACAACGCACCGCTGCAGGCATCAGCGGTGTGCCTCGCTCAGCCAACGTGCTCCCTCAACCGTTCAGGCTAGAAACTGCTCCATTAATGATCGATCCCAGCTCCAAGAAGCATGCGCAACTCACCATAACGCCTCAGACCCTGGTCCAGCACTTATTCAAGTGCAGCATAATTCCTGACGGATCTATGGCATACTTCATCGACTGGGCTAATCACTACTTCCTTGAGCCCAGAAGACCTGATTGGAGACATACTGATCGATCCGGGATTAACCACGATGACGGCGGTGAAGCAGGCCCACGCAGTATACCTGACCCGATGACAGCATCATCGGCAGCAGAACCTCAGGAACTGCATGACATGGAGATGGCTGACGCGCGTCACGAACCCCAGGAGTAGTCAGCATTAAAAATGCAGGAAGCTTGTCAATGGCACTGATACTGTCGGAGACTTGCCGACACCTGCGGCCGCGCTGTCATGTGCTGGAGATCCTGTAACTCATCACGTCTGGTAATCAATTTGTTCTGTCTCTCAGGTAACGACGACTCAACCTCGCCATGCCTCTTGGATCGCTCCTGTCGTTTTCGTGCACTTGAACTTCGACGCGCGGATACCTCAGTTCCAACATCGTTTCGTTTCGTTCCCGACAGTCACTCTGGAGGGGGAGGGTGTAAGGGTGTCTTGGACCAAAAGGCGGCAGCCACCGCCACTACTAGCAGCCACTTGGAATTAGCCGAAGGCAACAGAAAAACCTACGCTCTGCCGTAGATAGTCCTGGTCTTACTCTTTCATGCTGTACTCTCGCTTGCCAATACAACGGCTCGATTCAGTTTACATCGTGTGTGCTAAGGCCACGGGCAAAGCCCTTATAGTTGCACTCACATCAGCAAAAGTGCAAAAAGATTATAAAGGGTTTATAATACCTTGAAAACCCCCCTATTCTTATTTACCGTGACCATTCTGGCCTACTAGTATAATGGATCTCTGAGTTTCACAAGAATCCCCCCTATCATTATAATGGCTTGTAAGATCAGCCATTCTGATCACGCATTATAATCGTGCTCAGGATGCGTAGGATAGTTTATAATTTTTCCCAATGATTATAAGATCCAGCCTATAATCACAAGAATATCATATATGATAATTCTACTCGAGTACAGTCGTTATTTATAAAGTCCGTGCAATGATACAGTGTCCGAAGTCTAAGACACAACTCAAGAGAGTGAGGCAGCAGCGGATAGGCATGATTGCAGGCAGCCAGAGGAGCTCGTCAAGGGCAGACCAGAGAACAGTGCAAGCTGAGCGCGAGAGCGTTGTCCAAGTGTGATACCTCAGATGACAAGATGAACAGAATGCGAGAAGGGGCCAGAATTGTCGTGGAGGGCAGAGGACGTCACACTGAATTTGCAAGGTCTTCGCGGACCCTGTCCATGAGTAAAGGATCAGTGCGTTCCTCATTTGCACATGTTTTCTTTGTGGTGACTGTACCAGTTGATCTCCCCAATAAGTTTCTAACCGACCAATCAGTATGTGCATGCATCGTAGTATACCACTTACTTGTTCCATACATCCAGAATGTGCATGCCAACAATCGGGTGCTCGAGAATTTGCATCAGAAAATGTTGGTTTAAGAAAAGCCCACGAAGCAAGTAGCATGGTGAACGTACTACGACAGAAGTCGTCCCATAAGTGCAAGCGAATGCCATTATCACCGGTGAGCAGGAGGATCATCCAGTGCGCCATGATAGTACTCGTGAAGCGATAAGACGAAAAGAGACTCTTCACCAAGATGATCGTCTCACCTTCTGCTCACGTTGCAGCTTTTTCCACATCTTCCCTACTCGCACGATCGCCACATCTAATGCGTGCTTTCGGTCACCCTCAATGGAAATTCGCGTGCGCCGGCTCTCCCATGGCTAGTGGTAGATGTGTGAGCATGGCAGATCCGTTAAGAATGAGTTACTCAGATTGCCAGGTGTAAGTGCCGCTCGTTCTGTTAATGATATTGTAAGTGGCAGATAATGGCGTCTAAAAGACCTCACCAGCGCAGTATCTGAGCTTGAAGGGACGAAGACCTCTCGATTTTTCTCCTGGTTAGGAATTCTTCACTGCGCAATTCTCCGTCACATATCGGGAAGCCAAACCTGAGCGTGTTTGACAGATGTAAGTCCACCCTGTTGCGACATTGACAAGGCTGTCTGGACACAGTACCACAGCCTAGCATACAATCGCTTGCATGGCAGATTGCCGCAAAATAATTATTGTCTGTTCCATAAAGCGGAACACTCAGATTATGTGTCTGAGAAACCTTTGAAGCCTAGTATGCGCTACATCATGTAGTCAATGTACTATCGAAGCGATTTGATCTCGGTTCTGAAGGATTTCAAGCTTACCTGAGTCTGCCAGAGACGGAAACTGGCTCATGTTGTCGGGGATCACCCAGCCAGTACCTAGATGTTGCCGGGGTTGTAGAAGGCAGTGATGTAGTCCACGCTCGTGCCCGAGGACAAGTCCTTACCCGGACAGAATGGCAGTAACCTGAGGCGGGTACCAAGCATCATTCAGGTAGTGCACGCTGCTCGCCACCTTGCGCACCTCCTCAACTCCTCTAATGTCAGCCTTATATACGCTGCACCCAAAACCTCTTTCACGTGCTGAGGTAGGTCAAGACCCGGCAATTACTGAACTCCTGTTTGCCCACGAAAAGAGCACTCACCTTGATATTGGTCGTGACGAGATAGGCAGGACGTCCGCTCCTTGTGCGAGAAGCCATCGAGCGCGATTTGTCCACTGAAGTGTTGTTCGGTCAGCAAGCCGCCCCGAAGGGTGATTGCACGATGATCGTGACACCGAGCTTTCTGTCAGCGGTCTTGAGCAGGCCGATTTTCTAGTCCTCGAGGTCAAGCGTGAAGGGTGGGTGCTCGATTTGGAGCGCACTGATAGGGTGCACAGCATGCGCATGCTGAAGGTCCCCACGGAGCACTCGGACAGGCCGAGATAATTCACTTTGCCTGGTCTGATAGCGCACGGGTGAGTTCGACTGCTGAGGCTCACACGCACATGCGACATAATCGCAAATGACGTCTGCGTGGTGATGAAAATGCTGTTGAACGAGCAAAAATAACATGACTCACAATTTAAGATCACTCGTTTTCTCAGCTTGCATCTCGCGCATATAGTTGATACACTGGGCTCTGGCTGACATATCTGCAGTGACCATACACAGTCTTTGCAGATCAAGATGGAACTGTGCAGGAACTTAAGAGGTAGATAAGGTCCAGATAGGCGCAAGGTACGACGAGGTGTGGAACAAAAGGGAACAGAGCGACGACTCATCCTGCTGGGGCTGGGATGGTAGCACGATCACATGATTGCCGCGTCACTGACCATGATCCCCAAGGTGTTGTGTCCGCTGAGCACTCGCAGCTTCAACTTCGATGTCTTCGCATCTCCTGACAGATGGCATGGTGAACTAGCAAAGCACAGATGCGATGGCAATCAACAGAAAGTGAATGTGAGCACCAAGACGTGTATCATCAGATGCTGGCTGCTTTGAAGACAACCTGGATAACACAGAGAAGACCTCGCAGGCCAAGGGGCAAGCAGTGGCTAAAGAGGAGACTTTAGGGTATATACCGTCTGTAGAAGGGTATCCGGACTTGCACAGTGGAGAAGAGGCAAATGAGGACAATTGGGATGGCATTGTCCAAGGAGCTGAGGAAGGGGCAATGGGACCCGAAGACGGCGAAGATGGCATCGAGGATCAATTTGGAGTGCACGGGTTTGCGCCGTTGTAAAGGCTCATATTTTTATTTTTATTGTCTTCGCACAGGCATGAGTCCCGAGGCGATCTTGAGCTCGATTTTTAGGCTTGAAATTGGCTCGCATGAATATTGCTTTGGGGGAGAGCCAGCTTGAAGTAAATTGGCCGTGCTTGTAATCTATCCGATGCGGCTTGAAATTGGCTCGCGCGAATATTGCTTTGGGCGAGAGCCAGCTTGAAGTAAATTGGCCGCCCTTGTAATCAATCCGGTGCGGAGATTGCAATCCTGTGTGATTCTTGAATTGTATCGGCTCAGGTTGCTTAGGAAAATAAGAATTACGAGGTTTATAATTGTCAAAGAGAGTTTACAAGGATTTATAATGCGTTTTAGTACGTGATAAACCGCCCCAATATGCTCAAAGGTTTCCAAGAACCTTAAAATCTACTTTAACGTTTTTGCACTTTTGCCGATGCAAGTCCCGCTCCTACCGTGTTGCTGGGGCGGCACGGCATATCGTGCCCTAAGGCGCATTCCAATGGACATCGATGGCTCTGCTCCAAACTTGAGGCTCGAATCGGAACTTAAACGTCAGCGCCCGTTCCGTGCGGCTGTAATATTGCAAAATGGCACCAGAGAAACAGTTCCTACGCACCAGGACCTGCCAGACTACCTCATATGCTACCTCGCGCTGCGGTTCGTATTCGATCTCATGATTCATCTCACTTGACTGCACTTCTGATGCCTGTATGATCTCGCTTCCTCAGTATACCTGCGGTTGCTTTCAATGTCCCGGTGGAGATCAGCACAGGAGAACTGCGCAGGCAGCTCACTTCGACGAACCCTCACATCTCTCTATTGTACCTTGATTCTCCGATCACATGGCCATCACTCGAACGCTCTAGTCTTGACGAAACTCGCATAGCCACGGACAGCTGACGAGAACGTCTAGGACTCAACTCTGGTGCGGCCTCGGTGTTAGCCAGCCGCCACCTTCCTGTCTTGTGGGTGCGAGGAGTGAGAGGCCCCTTACAGCCACAAACGACTGGGGAATACAATACTACAGGTGCGTATTTACGTGATTTCCGCCCTTGCATACTCGGCCGCTCCGTTTCCAGGTGCCTCCCTGCGGCTTTCAGCCGTTGCTTCGCGCTCGTCCCATCCGACACGTTGAGCACGTTCCACTGGAAGTGCTGTCGGTCGGCCACTTCCAAAAGAATGCTTTAGTCTCGGTAAACTTTGCATGGTCGTGAACAACTGATTATTTCCTTCGTCATATGTAGGTCCATTATTTGATACCATGCACGTTCTTCGGGGCAGACTGTTCAGTGGATATATTATGCTAGCAAACTTCGAGGCATCCTGTGTATGCCGCTAACCATAATCGACTAAGTTGCATGATGTCGCTGTGGAATAGCACTGTATCTCGCGTCTCAATGGCAATTAATATCCCATCATAAGAATGATCTCTTTGGCATCAGAACGTTTGCACTATCCCCGTAGTTTGTGTAACTGTCAGACAACGGAAAAAGAGAGAGATACCTATCTGCATGGCGTGCAAGTTCACCGACTTGATGGATCTCCTAAGGGAAAGAGAAGACGGCACATGTCATGGCAGGCATACGAATAAGTGATGAAAGATGAAATGAACACGGATAGTAAAAGTACAAGCCCGTCATATGAGATCTATCGTACAATATCTGCCGACGTTGGGTATAAAGCCCCGATATGGGGCTTGCAATGTCAACAGTCACATCACGAGTAACACCGGGGAAGATTATGCGGAGAAAATCTGCGAATGCAGCCGGATGATACGGAGCGTATGAGGATCAATGTGCCACTTACAAATAGGAAGTAAATGGACGATCACAGTGAACCTGACAACTCGGCTTGGAGACCCATTCTCTCCCCTCACGCATCGTTCTCCCCATCCGGCACCATCTCTTCCTCGATTTCGTCCGTCGCTTCTGCCTCGCCCACGTCCTGATGAGCATCACCAACGGCAGCAACATCGTCCGCGATGCTGCGCGGTTCGGCGATCATTTCATCATGTTTCAAAGAGTCTCGTGGGTGAGCGCGATCGGTGTCCTGGGCTTGTTCGGTGCTGTTGAGGATGTTCAGTTCGAATGACATGTTCTCGACGTCCCCTTGTGCCTCGAGCTCATGCTTCGACCGGACAAAGGAGGGCGTTTCGGACTGCTCTCCACGTGTGGACCGCGCTGCGGCTCGGACGTTGAGGAGGACACGAGAGACCAGAACGGGAGTGAGTCTGTAAACTTGTCAGGTGTGTCATTGGTAGCGAAAATGTAAGAGGATTGCTTCACTAGTATTCCAAATAACCGACAACAGCTGCAGCATCCTACCAAGTGCATAGTCATATACGGCAGAGTAGTTAGAATCTAGCTGAAGATGTGGGCTGGATGGAAAGAGCATGCACTTACAACATCCAGGAAGTTCATTACGGTTGCAACTAAGTCCAGTAGTAGTATAGCTCTGAATAATATGCTTCAGACGTTGCCAAATTGAGTCCGATTCCATTTCTCACGTCAATTGAACCGTGCCTGTGAAAATAGTGGACGCAAATGTCATTCGAGCTCAGAGATCCATAGTCATTGTCTGATAGCCATACCGTCTCTGAGCACTAGTGCCGCAAGCGACGGATTCCTTGTAGACAGGATGTCAACGGTGGCTAGTCTATGGTGGACATACAGCCTGTGCCAGAGAATTGCGAGCGTCATGATGGTGGCAATTGCAGCACAGACCTCAGCGACTATTTCCACTGCAGTGCAATTGTCAAAGGAGAGTGGAGGAAGGCATCCCCGAGTTCGGACTCACATCTGTTGTAAAACAGATAAGCAAGTAGTAAGGATTTATTGAAGACACCGGCTTACATACTTTGAAGCAGTGTCTTGTGCTGAACTTGAACTGTAGGAGTCGGTGCATACGGCTATCTTATTGACCCAAACCACAGAATATGACAGTTGAATGAAGCCTTCTCGGGAACTCAACATAAGCTAATCAAGAATGTGTCCCAATCAGTAGGAATCGTACAGAGGCAGACGTTTGCGACCACACTGAAGACCGTAAGCAGTGTGAGGAGTATAACAGGCCATCGACTTCCATCTGTTACGGCATTTAATCGCAACACGGCATCTACTCGCAATATTGCAACCACTTGGCTGTGTTTTAGCTGCGATAATCTGTCGCAAAGCATGCCAGCCTACCATCTGAGATTATTCCAATCAATATCATAAGCAGATTGCTCGTGACAATGCTTGCCATACAACTACAACATAAGAATAATCAGACACGAATGATGTGATGACAGGGAACAACTTGCCTCTACAATATTTTTGAGTCGAGGTTGTGTCCAAGTGAGACAATATTGATTCACGTACCGTTACTGTATCATGATTTGTGAGCGACCAAACGGAAAAGATCGCATAGCTCAGTGCAACCATCCGATTGGCAAAAACCAACCACGCAGAGAACGATCTCTCGCCCCAGACCAGCTGGACGTCCTGACCGAATGTGATGGTATGGTCGAACAATATGAGCGCTATTTGAGAAAAAGTCGTCAATGGTAAGCCAGTATTAAACCAAAACAACGCGACTGGCCTGCGCCGGCGACAATAGCATAGTCTTCTATAATGCTGTGAATACATCGTTCAATGTAGTACAATTCTAACTATCTTAAGAGACGCACAATGAGCCCACTTCAGACGCAGTGATAGACATGCCTGTGTACACAGAGCGGACGTTGAACCACAGTGGTCGATGGTCAGCCTGTTTATAAATGCCATATCCCATCATGATTGATAAACATTACATCGCCCGCATAGTAACATGTGCTGTGAGCCAGCTCACCTGCGACGGGTTCTTCACACAAATAGTGGCTTGTAACCCATGACTCCATCACGTCTGCATGAGTATAACGGCAACTTGGCGAGATATGCGCATCGGAACAGAAGGGTTGCTCGGCTCATATGAGATGAGACCATGAGAAGGAGCCGTGTTGTTCATCCATTGCTGTGTGATGTAACAACCGCAACACAAGAACTGAATTACGTCACGAGCAGGATCAGAGGAATCTCCTGGCAGTTATTAGCTGAGAAAGCGATAAACGTAGCACATGTACAGAGGACGTGCAAAAGCGAGGGTAGAACACGCCCCGTGGTCAGGTTCTGCTCGCAATATAGTGGTCGATGATCGCATTTCGGGGCGAGCACTCGTTGGGCGGTTATCAAGGCTGAAGAGCGCATTCTAATAAACGATCGCAATTCTGGAACCTTCTAATCCCCTAGCTTTTGTGAACTTTGCCTTTCACAGCACTGCGATTGCCAGTTCAGAAACGGCGGAGTAGACATGAAATTTCAGAATGATTTACGGTTTGGTCCTGGGGGTAGCGCCTGTGCATGAATTTTCTGGTCCCAGTGAATCATGGAAAAGGAAGGCGAGATGCAAGACAAATGGAGTTCACCAGTGCAAGAATGGCTGGCATGGCGGTGAGAGGTTGGCATGCCTTGACTACCATTTCTTCGCCACAGGAGAAACTTAGCCAAAATCATGCACTGAGCGTCATTCAAAACCCATTAATCCTTCCGCGGTGCTGCGTACTGAGCGAACTTGAATGGCTGAAGAAGCCGCGCTTGTGGCGTGGTAAATGGCCCGGGCATGCCTTCCGCCACACAGGCGCTTGAACGTAGTTCGAGTTGTCTGCCGTACACCTTCAGTGCGGCAAGTTGCCTGAACTGTGCCGGAAATTATAACTCTGAGCTCATTATTATATCACGCTATTCTACTTGAGCATAGAAGAACGAGACCATAGGACAAGAACGACAAATTTCAAGGCCTTGTGACCACTGATCCCAAGCGACGACGTTGACTGTCGAGCCCTGGCAGTGTCTAATCATCCATCTAGTACTTGAGTCCCATGAGTAAAACCGCCTCCGTATCGTCTGCCAATACGCAAAAGATCACGCGCCCGAGCTCTTTCCTGCCCTCCCCTTCCAGGCAGAGACGTCTCGCAGTGATCGAAGCCGCGACCAGAGCCTATTCCACACCTCAACCTACGGCAAGCAGAAATGCGGAGAAATCTCCCTCAGAAACAACTGGCAAACCGGTTGTCTCACCGAAGACTCCGTCCACAGTGCCCGGTGCGCCATCTGCGGCAGAGATATGGAAGTGGACATTGTCCAAGGACGCCGTGTCCCCGTGCTTTGCCAAAGATGTGATGAACATGCAGGACAGTGGTGCTAAAGGTATGTGACTCATATGTGTATGCTATGTGGTTCGCTGATTGGCACATTGTGCCGTCCAGATGCAGAGTTTTTCTGGCTTGGCAGGGTACCGTGTCGTTCAGTGCACCTTGTCGGTCTGCTAGTCGGCGTTCAGGTATACGAATCGCGGGCGATATACTCACGTATGTCTCGCGTCACTAGCTTATTATTCTCGGCTGTTCCTGATCCAATGCATCTGCGACCTTCATCTCCGTCGATGCCACAACAGTGGACGACGGAACAGCCGTTATCGACTGCGTCTACAAACACCCTCCTCTGCAAGCGCCAATTGCGGCAGTCAGAAAGCCGAAGTTGAAGACGCAAACGGGTAATCATCCACAGCATGGTCTAAGCTCGCCATACAAGCGGCCAGCGGCCTCCACGTCGAAGGTCACATTCAACGCCTTGCCCGCAGCACCACCTCTGCTTCCGAAACCAGTAGCATATGTCGGCGCATCGGTAAGCGTCACTGGAAGGGTGGTCAACAGAGGAGAGGGAAGGCTCGTGCTCGTCGATGAGATAAGTGAGTGTGCATTGACATTTGGACACTATGAGAGAAATTAAGGCGGAAGTACCCTTGCGCCTTCCCTAAGCGCTTACTCGCCAGTGCCCCCACTACTGCCATCATCCTTCTGTGTAACTTATCCGTTAACTTATTCGCGTCTTTCGCAGAGCGCTGCTCCTCGCCAAATGACGAACCCAACCACTGGCTCGCCGTCACTCACCTGCATCAAACGTCCTACTTTGCTCCGGATATGGGTCTGTTCGTGATCCCCAAAGCGACCGCACGGCCGCTAGTAATGCCAGAAAGTAAGCCCGCGAGCTCAGCCAATGGCAAGGAGAAGGCGTCCGACGAGTCAGCGGGGGAAGTGCAAGCCCAGATGGTTGCAACGCCGGATATAGCGGCGTCTCAGACGCCAGCCTCTTCCCGTGCGCCCTCCGTAGATGGCTCTCGTGAGTTTACTTCGTCCAAGGTGGTCGGTAGCGAGCCGCAAGTAAGTACTCGAACTGCTCGTCGTGACGTGTCTGCTGACAATTATTCCTCAGTCACCTCCCCGCCTGAGACACCCAACCCGTCTGCATACACGGGACCTCACCGCGAATACCTTCCGCATATACCTCAAGCACTACATGGACCATGCGCCTCCCCTGCACGCCCGCGCTCGCTCACGCTCTGTGTCCCCTTCTCCGCCAAGCAGCGACGGCCGTGCCGGCATGATCGGGTCGCCGAGCGGTTCAACGAATCTCCTATCTAAGATGCAAACGAAGTCGTCAGCCTCTGCTCGGGCACGCGAAGAGTATGTGAGGACATGGGCATCTGTGGAGAAGACATCGCGCCCGGCTCATGCTCGTAGACAACCTACCGCGGAGACCGAGCGCACCCCTCGGGCATCAAAGAAGCGTCCGTCAATTCACTCTGTCATAGATGAAGATACGGATTACGATGATGAGGACGTGTCGAGAACCGTCCGTGGCTTCACGCTCTCGTACCTCCGGCGAGTACCCGAGCTCGCGCTCCTAGCGCGGCGCGTCGTGGACGCCGAGGCCCGCCGACGGGCACGCGAGGAGCGCAAGCACGCCACCCATACTCAAACCTATACTCAGGACAAGCACATTCGCAAACTGCAAGGCTCCTCTGCGGAGAGCAAAGCGCTGAAGGTGAAGCGCCTCTTTCGCTTTGCCATCCGACAACTGTACGACGAGGGAAGCATCGTGCTCTGGGACGGGCCCACCCGGCCGCTCTCCTCCGCCTCGATCTCCACGCAAGGCTTCGACCACCTTTGGAAGGTCAACTCAAGCAGCAGCAGGACGGCCGGCTCCGTCATACACGACACTCTAGTCTTCGATGACGACGAAGAGGAGCTGAGCGATCCCCCACCTGACGAGGAGGCCTACCTCCCGCTCACATCCACGTACCTCTCGGGCGTCGTCGCACATGCGATCACCGAGATCATGGCCCGCACCGCTGCGAAGGCGTCCATGTCGAAGCGGCCGCGGCGCACAGACGACCTGAGCACGCCACTGCAACCGCCCATGCCGCCACCGGGCCCGACGCCTGCGGAGATCCTCGCGTTCCTGCGCCGTGATACGCGCTGGGCGCGCGTGGGCGAATGGGCGGTGAAGGATGCGCTGGAGTGGGGGAGGAAGGAGGGGAGTATGTGGTGTGTAGGGCATGGGAGGTGGGAGCTGTGTGGATGAGAGACGGGGTGATGGCTAGGTTCATTGGACGCCCGGAGTGCAGGACCGAGGTGATAGGTGGTCTAGCGGCGATGGATGCGTCTGTACCTTTGCTCCATGAGTTTCATATCGTCCGCCGCCCTTGATGGAGTGGGATCTGCTCATCTATTGCTTGTACGATGTAAATAATATAGGATATTCGTTGCTTTGCGTTCGCGTACGTTGAGATAGAGAAAATATGTTCGTGACACCAGATGGCATAGCTGGGAATCGCCCATTCCTCCTGGCTTTACAGCATATATCCTCACGGTGTATCCGCCCACGAGGCATGCATGGGGCCATCGATCAATACACATTAGAGCAGAGTAGGGCAGAGGTGAAATATACAAAAGACTAGCAAGGACATATTACGGACTTGAGAAACGAGCAAGCAGCATATCAAGCCATCTCAACGTCGCCTTCCTCCTCTGCAACCGTCGCCGGCGCCGCCGCAGGTGCTTCAGCTGGCTTTGTATCATCCTTCATGAAAGCATCTAACTCGAAGTCCAGCTCCTCCGCGGTCTTCGCCTTCTTGGGTACCCTCGCGGGTTTGGCAGCCCCTCGAGCTCTCGTCCTCACTGGGCCCGGTCCGGTTCTACTGATGCAACCAAGCGTAAGGATATGCACGGACATGTGAGGTGCGGGATATGACACGTACGCAGGCGCCTGTTGTCGTTTTGGCTCATCCTTGCTGAGGCGGTCCAACAGCGGAGCCTTTTCGATTCGATGGATCAACGACGGAGGAGCGCTCTGGCCCCTCCGCGTCGGCCTGCGCGGTGGTTGAGGTTGATAGAACTCGATTGACATCGGCTGGCCTGCAAAGACAGCCAGAAAATCAGCAACTCGCGAGGGGCACGCACGCAAACACAAGAGCAGGAGGGTCGTTACCCTTGGCGAGCTTCTTGTCGAACCGGTTCTTCGCCGCCGCGGCCTCAGCTTCCGTCTCGAATGACACGATAGCGACGCCGGACGACCGGCCGCTGCGGTCGTACTTTATGGCGAACAAGCGAAAGGGGTCGGGATCGGTGTCTCTCAGGTGAACGCGGTGCATTGCGAGTTTCGTACCCTGATCAGTGGCTCACGAACGAGCGTGCCAACTTGTCCAAAGATTTGCTGCGGAATGCGGACATGTGAGGATGGAAGCATGGTGAGTGGGGTGAGGGGCATACAGTGAGGTCTTTGGCCGTCAGCTCGTAATGCAGGTTCGAGATCATGAGCTTTGTGGAGGCTGAACTGTTGAGGACGGCAGGAGGCATTTCTGGGGCCTTGTCGTGCAGCCATTCGCCGTCCGAGCCTCGCAGACGAGAAGGTCGCTGCGAATGAGCGTCTGAGCATCATGTGCATTCACTTCCTGGGACCTCTACTCACGCCGTACGGCTTCGATGCCCGTGCCATGGTTCAGTCGTGTACAAGAGCAATAGAAGAGTTTAAGCGAGAGGTTCTGTCTGAGAATCGAAGAGCGCGCTGAAAGGCAAATACTGTCGCAGGTAATGGTCGTTGGTGAAGGGTCTCGAGCGTGCACCGGCTGCGCGCTTTGCAGCCACTCTGATTCGAGCGGAGTTGAAAATGCTCACGCACGGTCGGCCCAAATAGGAAGGTCTTCAAGTTCAAATGCTGCGCGGAATGCCTAGCTATCGACATCCTTATTCAAGGTAGCAGCATCCGGGTATTCTACTCGTCAGTCCGTTAACCACACGAAAAAGGAGAGACAGATGAACAGCAAAGTCATGCATGTCCATAGCATGAAGCCGGCTCAAATGTACTCTTAGGATGGTTGCAGACGGATCAAGGTATGGTTCTGACGACGATATTAAATGCATCCTTGATGACAGGAAGGGTCCTGTAGGATGTGTATCTGAGGCCGCACGCACAGCACGTACACTGGCTGAATTTCAGCATGATCATCAAATGCTGCGCCACGAAGAGTCAGGTGTTAGGAATGGAATGATATATCCGGACACAGCAACAACGACACGAGGTTCAGCCATCATAGCATATGTACATGACTCGAGCCTAGGGACGCAAATTGAATGATGAGTAAACAAGACATCTTGGAATGAAGCCATTGAAGATATAGATTGTGATAAGGCTGCGCATTGGTGGCGAGTGTACGATGGCACGGCGCGCAACAATCTCCAAACATGAACCAAGAGATAGGACACAAGAAGCGATGCATGCAATGTGGATAGGATGTGGACAAACGGATATTCGCGAGTGAATCTTTTGAAGACAAGGAGATAGGCATATGGGAGATGTTGTACAGATGAACAATAACCAGGGATCCATATATTTTGCTGCTTGCGAGAAAGGCAGGAGGAAGACTAGAGATGTGAAGGAAACCAAGGAGATGCAATCAAGTCGGGCATCCACATCAGAGATCCGGGTCCGAGAAGGGCTCGACACTCGACGCGTGGAACAACGCGTAACGTTCACCGGAGGGCGATGGCAACGAGAAGGTGAAGGCCGGGAACACAGCTTGAGGCTCGGGTGTGGGAACCGTAGCCGGCACAGACGATACACACGGCGACGAGGGAGGAGTGGACGGCGCATTCGCGGCAGGAGATGCGGCATGCGTCGGCTCTGGAGTGCTCTCGCGTGAATGAACACGCTCGTTCGCGATGGTTTCCGCCAATGAATCTTTAGTCTAGTACATATTAACTATGATAAGCTTTCGTTGACGTCATCTGAGCAAAGATAACGTACCTTTTCGATTCGCCGGAGTTCGGGGGGCACGACGACCACCTCATCGTTCTCTCTCGCAGGAGAAAGCTCATCCAAGAGGGACGGCGCTTGCGCATAGGCCTCAGACAAGTCTGCCAAGGGCAAGACTGTGAGCTCCCAGCAACGCGCATCAATCATCACCTGCGACATATTTTCCCGTCGCAACAGTGCTGCCTCCACCTCCGCATCCTTCTCAACCCTCGGCGTCCGACGCGTCCTGCTTGAGCGGTTGTGGGTCGTGCCCCTCTTCCCGGCCGCGCGCTTCTTCTTGGCATTCTTCTTCGGCACCTCTACCGACACCAACGCGCTGCGCGACTTGCCATCCATCGACTCCTTCTGTTTCTTCGCAGGCGGAGCAGCCTGAGGCTTGGTTGATAGTGCGCAGGTCTTGCGTTTTTTGCAGCTTTGGCGCTCCGCGCTGGCCCGAAGGCCGGTAGCTGGATTGATATTTTCTTTGTCGGGAGAAAATACGAGGAGGGGGCCCTTAGAGGGGACGATGGAGACGGCCACGATCGTCGACATGTCGTTGACCAGGGATCGAGCAGGAGACGAGAAGCTGTCTTCATATGCTGCGAATGTGCGCACAGTCGTGGCCATTTTCTAACGAATGAGGAGGTGATGACCGACAGATGCGACACCTGATGGGTGGCAGGGTATATAGTGGAGGAAAGCTCCCAAGAGACGGTCGACGAGGGCAGGAGGGATGGGAACGGGGGGGACGAGCGAGTTATAGGCTGGCTCCTACATTCCCCACGAACTCCGCTGGCAGGCGAGATGTCACGGAGTTCGAAACTTCCGTGCGGACACGGTGGCTAAAAGAAACTGATATGGGCAAAACGCGATCACGTGACTATACTGCGACGCGTCGCACTTGCCACTTGTGGGCGTACAGGGAACGATATCCCTCTCGAATCGCCACCTCGCTTAATATTATCTACACCAAATCGATTCTATCGCATGATTCTCAGACGCCGTTGATGGATGCGAGTCTCGCATCAAGCCGGAGAGCCGATAATCCATCGTATGCGCTCAAACACTCATTGCCTGAGGATGCTTGCGCTCAAGGTGATCAAGACTTCACGAAGGTATGAGTTGCGAGAGCCCTTAATCTGAGCCTCAACCCGCTTTTGTTGCTATGGACTTCGGCCATCAGTCGTCGACCACCAGCGGTTTCGGTCTGAGAGCACACAGGCGAGTTCTCGAAGAAGAAGAGTTGAAGGGAAGCCGAATGTACTCCAGTATGTAGGTGGGTTCCGTAAAGCATATGATGAGCGGCGAAACAAGAAGCTTGGGCAAGAAAACGTACTAACTTTGACACGCCAGCATCCCACAAAAAGAGGACCGATGTGCACTGCTGGATATGCAACGAGGCTTTATGTGCCGCTCCTGCCGCTAACGAGTGATGTTAGTTAATGCATGTAAAGGATCGTTCCGTTGCCAACCTGTATCATCAACCGTAATTCAAGTCTATCGCGTTGAGGGCCACTATATCGTGGACGATGTTTCCTTGTACATCAAGTAAGCCACCACTGCCCTGCACGCAGATGCTAAACGCAGTCGATGACGTGGGTGGTATGAAGTGGAGAATGTGAACGCAAAGTATGTCTGCATTGAAGGCGTGAAGTCGAACAAGCCACGGTGCGGATGCTGAAGATACGAATGCAATTGTAAGCATGCTTTACTCGTACGACTGCTACACAGCGCTTACAGCCTTGATCCTTCATGACGACGTGTATCTATGGACAGCTGATCACAATTGGGTTGGGATGTACGAATTTATGAAATGACACGTCGAACGTTGTGTCTTCTGCGCAGCTGCACACTCCATTTGGGGTTGGATATGACCTGTTCAAGACCGGAGTCTTCGTTCGCAAGGCCTACGCGGCTCGTCAAGTGCGTGCTCTCCTTGCGGCACCTGTACACTGCATAGATCAGTCCTCGGAGCTACAAGCGATGGACAGAGAAGAAGGTCTTGATCACGTTGCTAACGACATTTTTGATCAAATGGAGACAGGAAAGCTTGATGCTGTCCTATCGCGGCCGTCCTCCCCTGTCGTCGGAGAGAACGGATATCCGCGTAGCTCCAAGCCTAAGCCTAATCAAAGGGCTGTCGCCGCTGCCTTCGTACTGCACATATGCTGCCTGGTTGGCACGTCACAGGCGACATACCCGACCCATTGCAGCGCATACAATCTCATACGCGCCGAACACCGACGTGACTAGTTCGTCAAATAATATCCGTACTTTGCAGACTCGTGCTGGGAAGATGGACCCTGGATGGTGCAGCATGTAATCTAAGCGACGAAAGTGCGGAGCCTATGCATCCCTCTTCACGGGATTATAAGGAACGACACATTTCCATTCTACCACAGGCGTTCTATATTGCCAACAAGAATAGCCAAGCGGCGGATGCGCACCAAGTACGAACAGAAAAAGAGGAGCGAGAAGATACGGATGCGGACGTCTCACCTCGTCCTGTCGCGTCGGATGACCACATACGACGCGTCGCTGCTACAACTGGTGGCTTAAAAGACGCATACCATCGAGTAAACAACTATCACAACGATTAGCAGAGGCGAAAATGGAAAAGAGGGGTCGTAGACCTACGGTGTCGCGAAAGGGTGAATTGTAGATATGCACCTGATGCAACGTAGCTTTCAGCGTTCTAATCACTCAACCTTCCATCGATGTTGTTTCCTGGCTTCGCATGGGGCTGTTATCGCATCCTGGCAGTCGAGCAGGTGCGAGACAGTTGTCAGGCATGAGTGAGTTGTGCATGAATTCAACTATGAAGCGCAGAGGAGGCCAGTTCTCTTTCGGCATTGCCCGACTTTACTGACATGGAAGCCATTCCGAGTCTTGGGGACTGGGCTCTCCTTGACCTTTGGACTTGCTCTTGCTCTTGACTTGCTTATTGTTGCATTAATCTTCTCTGGACTCAGGAGACTGTAGTTCCATTTCTTCTACGAAACACGCTGCTGGCATCCAACTCCCATGGCTCAAATGGACTCGAGTCTCCGTGCTCGACACGATCGGGAACTAGTGAATACCATGCGTCCTGTCCATTTTGATGTGGTTCCTCACGATGCATAGAATGAAGCGGACCCTAGCGTCATCCCGACCGCCTCGGAGCCGGAGCAGGATGTCACCACCATTTCGCACGACCGGCTCACGCTGACTTGGCTCGAGATTCCTGCATGGCAGAGGGACAATGACTACATTCTGACGGGATACAGAAGGTCTGTTCTCTGCTGTACCTTAATCCCAGCACAAGAGAACTTGTGTTATCTTCCGCTATTCTCTTCAAAGTCAATCGTTACCGTGCTACGACCTGTCTGACCTTGAATCTTCCTGACAGAGCCCAATACAGCTGGCGCGGCTGCGCGTACTCGATCTTTGGATGTACGTGAGCTCTTTGAAGCATTGTACTCGTACTCCGACACCGGAAGTAAACTTATGGTGCACGTTAGATCTGCATAATGAGACTGGTACGTCCATTTCTTCGTTTTTGAAGCACACGTTCATGTTGCCTTCAGTGAACATCCAGACCCACCTCTTTGGCGCGGTCCTCTTTGCAGTCCTACTCAGCACATTCCAGCCAGTATACTTCATCCACTATGAGTCGACAAACTGGCTGGACTTCACAGTGTTCACTATCTTTTTGACGGCGGCTGTATTCTGTTTGCTCTCGAGTTCATTTTATCATACATTTTCTGTCCATTCCAAGGAGGTCAGTGTGAATTATTGCTTGATGACACTGTAGCAGTGCTGATCGCATCATTCGCCGGCATTGCCAATACAGGTGTCGTTGCGGTGCCACGCTGTAGACTACGCCGGCATTGTGGGTGAGCCAACATGAGCTCTCCAGTCGGCGATAATCATCACAACTCCGGTGATAGTTCTCACAGTGGGCTCGTTCTTCCCCTGCATCTACTATGAGTTCTACTGTGATACGGCGCTGCAAATGCTCTACCTTTCCCTAATCGTGCTCGTCGGTACAGGTATGCTTCCTACTTCCGTTCTCCGATCTACAAGAAGCTAAACGGCGCGCAACGGAACCGCCCCCGTTGTCTAGGTGCCGCTTACATTGTTCTCAATCCGGAATATACCAAGCCATCGCACCGCGGCGCTCGAACGAAGGTGTTCATAGCGCTCGGGCTCAGCGCCATCTTCCCTGTCGGGCACGGCTTCGTCACTCATGGCCTGCAAAAACTCTGGTCGGAAATGGGATTTGGTTGGCTCATCGCTTCCGGGCTGCTCTATATAGCGGGTGCATTGCTCTAGTGCGTCGTCTCGCGTGCATTTCATCCGGCTCCGAGGAGACCGAGCAGAACGCTGACCTTTCTTTTCCCCTGTCTCCTTTCCCCTATGGCCACCATGTTCCCTTTTTCCTGTCGCCTGTGCCTCTTCTGCGCCGCGACGCGCGACGTGCAGCGCCAATCGTGTTCCGGAACGCTTCTCGCCGGGCACATTTGACCACTTCTTCGCGTCCCATCAGATTTTCCACGTCTGTGTCGTCCTGGCGGCGCTTGCTCATTACGCGTGCGTGCTGACCGCGTTCGATCATGCGCATAGCAGAATAGGATATTGCTCTTCCTGATAGGATTTGCGGCGCTCTGGTACTCTTGTTGCTCTACCAATAGATCATAGAATATAGAAGGTCATCCAACGTCGCTTCTGGTTGTATCGTTAAACTCTCCCGTCTCTGTCGCTGTCGTTGCGCGGATCGGCCTTGTGGATCTGCTGCTATTTTTTACGGCAAATCCGCCAATCTTCGTTAACAGGGACATCGGTTTGTGGCGTGGCGTGCGGCGTCAGACCTTGTTGCTGAGACATATACTGGGCCGGCTGCCGATTTGTTACCATGCCCTTTATTCGGGGCCCATTGAAAATCGCGCTCCTTGAGAATATTCCTTCTGCCCTTGCGCCGGAGCCTTGAAAATGTTCGTGAAGCTCACGGCATCCCGGCGAGATAACTCAACAGCGATGCTGTACGGATATACGTAAGTGTCGCGCGTTGAGAGAGCACCAGAGCTTATATTGACTGCTAGCTCTTCAGGACTCACGCAGGTCGGGCGATATGAACCATTCGGGCGATATGAACCATAAAGCGTCGAAATCACAGCGCTAGAGGCCCGAAATGCGTGGATCTAGCAATTTTTCATTTGTTGCTGTACACCGCCTCCACTTATTTCTACACCTGCCTTTTCAGGTCAAATGTGTTGGATGAAAGACGTTTGCGGAATTTGATCAAGGACAATTGAATGATCATCGTGTCAATCACGCATCGGTCAATATATCAGGTAAATCGTTCATGACGCATCCATAGTACGTTTCGTATGAGCGCTTCAAACAAGCTGCACCGTCGAGTGGCCTCTACGCTCTTCATACTACAAGAATTTGCGTCTCGGAAGCGCTGCATTGTTCCTTTCGCTCTGTTCCAACACGCATGCGGGAAGTCTCAAACCATCTCCGATTTCAGTTGCTCTAGGCCTCGTCGCGGGATCGCCGGCAGAGGTGCTTCTTCAAAGGGTAGCAACGGAAACAACGGACGCATAACTACGGGCAATCCACCTGTCTCACTCGGACGTCCCGAGCGCGATCATGCACTGGAGACTTCCTGCGCATGTCCGCTTCGTCCTGTAGACGCCCAGCGGAGCGCCAACGAGGATCCGTTGCAACGACGAGGGAACGTAAAATCAGACTTAAGTTTTTTCCTCCGAGTTCCGGGTGCCACATTGCGTCTTCTTTGCGCCAACGTCTCGATCCAGACATGCAGAAATGATGGAGATGCGCTATCACCGGTCACCACGAGGTCAACGCAGAAGACCTTCGAGTTCGCCATAAATTGAATGGGTGGTGCGTTTGATGTTCCCTCAGAATCAAACTTTCAGTCCAGCGACAGAGCCGCAGATGATTCATCCGTTGGGTCTTTTCGTCTTCTTAACGGCCTGGGTGCCCGAGCCACTTGCGATTAAGCTCGCGCTGGCGGTGCCGTCTGCGGCAATCCTCCTCTTTTTCTCTGCTCTCCTGACCCGCACGGAGGACAGCGGCGATGTACCCGTTAGACTTTCAGTATGCCCGCTATTTTCAATCGCTCCGTTCTTCCGCAGGCGTTTCGACTTTCTCAAGAGAGGCTTCGAGGTAACCGGCGAGTCAATATACCAATTCAAGCTCCTAACAGTGCGTTTTTTTTTGCTATCCTGGCGGTGCACATACTAACGGGATGCTCTTCCAGAAAACTATCACTGTCGTCTCCGGTCCAAAGGCCAGACATGACTTCTTCGCGGCGAAGGAACTCGACCTCAACGCGGGCTTTCAAGCCCTTTCTGCGACTATCCCTCACATACCAGGCCTGGCGTCGGATTTGGGCAAGCGCAGGATTGCACTGATACATCGCAGGCTGGCCGCGGCACAGAGCAGCGAACGGCTCGAACAACGTGAGGCGAACCTAGATTCTGATGATAGTCATCGGCACAACTAATTTTTCTCAAGTCATCCCTCAAATTCTAGATGATGCCTGGAGAATAATGGATTTGTGGGGACGACCAAGAAAGATTGATCCTTTTGTTGCAATACCGCAGGTATGCCGCTACAATCTTCCATCTACACAAAGGTCACGCATAACGTTCTCTCCTTCTCATAGATCACCTTTCAGACAAACCTCCGCTCTCTCACCTGCGCCGAGCTCGCAGACGATGCACTACTTGGTGCGCGGCTCAAGCAGCTATACGACACGCTCGACACTGCGACTACTCCGGCCAGCGTGTTGTTTCCGTGTTTTCCCACCCCGAACGCGGTAAGACGAGTGCTGGCATCGAGAGCGATTTATAAGATCGTCGGCCGGGCAATTGACGGGAGGATCAAGGGGGAAAGCAGGGGGAGCGACGATACGTTGCAAATGTTGGCGGAATGTGGAGATGAGAGGATAGTGATGATTGGGGTAGGCGGCTCATATCTATCGTTCGCAGGGGAATTTGTGCTAATGCGTTGTAGTTTATCATGGGCCTGCTTGTCGCGGGTGCGCGATCGACGGGGGCGACCGGTACGTATTCGTTAATCGGCACCTAGATCAATCAGTGCGCTGATTATAACCTCGTGCACAGCGTCATGGCTAGTCACCTTCCTGGCGGGGCATCCCGAATGGTTGGCGAAAGCAAGAACAGAACTCCTCAACCTCCTGCTCGAGCATGGCGCCCCACTACCCTCCTCTTCTCTTCCGCAATTTCCGTCACGGCCACCAACGACATCTTCTACACCACTATTCACTCCCGCGCATTCCCCATCTCCTTGCCCACCCAACGCGTCCGACTTGATGTCCTCACACCCTCCCACCAACATCGCCTCTCCCTGTTTCCTTTCCGCCTCTCTCGCCTCCCTCCCCCTGTCGGCCTGGGAATCCCATACGCCGATCCTCGACGCCGCCATCCGCGAGACACTCCGGCTCGCACAACCTCACGTCGCGCTTCGCCAGCACACCGGAGCGCACGATATTCACGTGGGCGGGCGGAGGGTGCGCCCGGGTGAGTACGTAGTGTATCCGCTCGCAGATGCCCATCTGGTCGAGGGGACGGGCAGCTGGGAGCCGGGAAGGTGGATGCGTGGAGGGAAGGGGGACGGAGGAATGGAGTGGATTGGCTGGGGCGCGGGTGAGTGAACTTGCATTGCACTCTTGACAGTACGTGAGACTGATTTTGGCTACTTTTTTCTTCCAGGTCGGACGCCTTGCCTCGGCCAGCGGCTCGCGCGACTACAGCTCAAGCTCGTCGCGGCGCTGTTCGTGCTTGGATTCGAGCGTCTGCGCGTCGAAGATGGAAGCGGGCGCATGTTGGAGGGTGCGGAACTGCCTGAGCCGGATTGGAATGATCTGCTAGGATGTAAACCGAAGGGAAAGGCGTGTTGGCTGGGTTGTGAGAGGTCGGAGGATGATAGTCGGTGCTGAGCGCTGATCTCCAGGCTATAGTTCTGGCATCATTCAGGATTGTATTCGTTAGCTGTTACATGGACGGACTATGTTCGCCATTCAAAATCTCGCCTTACGTCTCCGCCTGACATGCTGCACTCCAATCTAAATTTATGATGCGCACAGATTACATTGCAGTCATTCGAGTGATGTGCAGAAGAACAGAGATACATAGATGGCGATGACCAAACTAGCGGACAACAGACCAGCGAGCGCGGGACGCATGGCACAGACGCAAGAGCGGATAGATAAAGGTTTTTGACGGCGCATCTGGAGAAGAATAGGATAGAAAGGGATGAGACCGCAGCCTCCTCTGCCACCTCGACCTCCACTTCCAACAGCGTCAATCCTGCTCTGAATCATAATCCACCCGCGCTCCCAGCCGCTCTTCCTCGCCCTCCCCTCCTCTTTCTCGCTCCTCCATCCCAACTCCTACTCCAGGTTAATTGAGGTCCTCAATGCCCGTCTTCTCTGCGGGCTTGTCCTCCACCTGGTCAAAGTTCTCGACGAGATCAGGCACATCGTCGTCGTCGTCCGCTCCGGCAGCGCCCGCGTTCGGTGCGCGTTGTTGGCTCTGCTGGATCGCCTGATAAGACTCAGCGAGCTTGCGGAGCGACGCGAGCGAGTCGGGTCCAAGCTGGTTTAGGATGCCTGGCACGAGCTCGGTGAGCTCCTTGACGTGCCCTGCGCCGTACACGGCGAAGGTGTTGGCGCTGACCGCGGCATGCACTAGTGGATGAACGGTGTGCGAAGGAGAGAATGAGCAGGTGTGTTTCAGCTAGATCTCAGGATAACCGACGGCCCGCGGAGCGCGCGGACGATGCAAGCATTTCAAAGCAAGACTCCCGTCGGATCGCCCGTGCAAAATCCGGGCAGTCGGCCGCAAAAGACGCAGAAATAACATCGCGTACCTTTCGGTGCAGAAAAGTGCAGCACGTTCCCGTCCTCCCTGAACATGTTCACCTCCTCAACTCCGGGGATCGGCTGGACATTGAGCTTCTTAAGTGCGCCCTGGAGCTTTTTGTCGTCCTGCGCCGTAGAGGACTTCGTCTTGCGCACGATCTTGCGGCGCATCGTGCCCTTTCCACCTGCGCGTCGCGGTCACCATTCTCTTACTCGTCCCACCACAATTTTGAACTCGTGCTCACCGATCCTGTTCGCCGCGGCCTGCGCCTGTAGCTTCGCGAGTTTAACAGGGTCCATGATGCGTCGTGCGGTCGTTGGCGGGGGCGGCGGGCCTTATAGTGTGCTAGTGGTTTGTGGAAGAGACGAATTAAGGTTTTCACACAACACGGCAATACAAAACACTGTGCGCGCCACAATTATAAGCGCTCATTGTATATGCCGCATGGTCGCGCTGATGCCAATATGTAAACTGACTCGGGACGGCACACCGTGCGTAAAGTATATAAGGTAGAGTCTTGAGGTGATTGTTCCTGGAGCAGCTTGCACTCGGACTACTATGTCGAACACCACGTTCTTTATTCGCCCGGCTCAGGTCGAGGACGTGGTGCGCACATCACAACTTGCCTCGGTCGCGTCATTCACCACAAATTCTACCACTCTGCACAGGACTCCATTTTTCAGCTGGTCGTCGCGCTCGTAGGTCCTCGCCCTTACCCACGCGTCTGCACCTTCTGAGAGTGAGCAGGCGACGTACGAAAAGGCCGCGGACTCGGTCAAGGCGACGCCCGAGTTGGTTAGTGTCATGCACTCGTTCTGTTCCTCTCTGCCCAGCTGCCTCTCATATGCACAACGTCTTCCCTTCCACCACAATCTGACGTCCCACAGCTCCGCCAAAACCTCTTCTCCACGCCATACGCACACACGCTGCTCGCCTTCGCCGGCTCGCCGGACAGCCCGGGCGCAGCCGTTGGTATGGCTCTCTACTTCTTCAACTATTCCACCTGGACCGGAAAGCCCGGACTCTATGTGAGTGCCTTCTCGCTTCCAATCACGGGGCGTGATTTAACGCGGAATGATGGTATGAGCAGCTGGAGGACCTGTACGTCGAGCCCGAATACCGCAGTGCGGGCATCGGCAAGGCACTCTTCTCCGAGTTGGGAAGAGTCGCACAGGAACGGGTGAGCCTCCCGAGCCGTCTCTCCCATCCCCAACGTTCTACTCATTCGAATCTCCCTTGCAGAACTGCGCCCGGATGGACTGGTCCGTGCTCAAGGTACCGTCCATGCTGCCCTCACCAAACCATACTGATTGAATATAATCACTCACCTTCTGCAGTGGAATCAACCCTCGATCGACTTCTATGAGAAGCGGCTGGGCGCGACGGCTATGTCCGAGTGGATGGGCATGCGCTTGGACGAGGACGGGATCGAGCGGCTTAAGCAGCTCGCGCCGAATGCGACTTGATGCATGGAGTAGATGTCTTGTATTTATCTCTAAAGAGAGAGCAAGAGAAAAGAAACCAGCAGTTTCTCCCGGACACGCATATGAGCGACGGAACACCAGTCACTCTCAAACGCGCATGTGCTTCGTCATGATTGGCATTGCAATTGGTGGTATGATATGATAGCTGTAGGGCGGATGTGATGGTGGTAAAACGAAGAAAGCAGTAAGATGCAACACGACCCCCCAGGAGGATTATAACGGTCATACACCATCGTAGCTCGCACCGCCCGCCTATCGTACCCGTCAGAATGCTCAACAGCATGGCAGCGGGCAGGGCGTACCTTCCGCAACCGTACGATGATGGGCTCCTCCTCAAGGTCACCCTTCTCCCTTGCCGGGACCTCGATAGAATAGGCGCGCAGTATCGACTTGACGTCTGCGGCGTGCACCGAGATCTGCGCGAATCCAGACCGAATATTAACCACCCTCGCCACACCTACAGTCGCTGGCATTTGGTCCGTAGACTTACCTTCGCCCTGCGCATGATCTTGCACCCCGGCCCAATCCAGACGACGACGATGAACTTTTCGCGCTTGGACTCCTTGTCGTTCGCGTACTGGACGCGCACATACGCAAAGGACGCATGGGAGTCGTCGAGCGCCTCGCGCAGCTCGGCCAGCCCACCCGTGCCAGTCGCGGTGAGCTGAAGCTTGTCCGAACGGTCGGACTACGCGCAGGAACACAAAGTGTCACACAGCGGAAATAGTCGGTGTGATTCGAGTTGTGTCGATGAGGTGTGTGAACAATGGGAAGCGTGGTGGACGTGAACGTGAATTGGGACGATCGATGAGCGACGCATACATGCATACGAGGCCAAACGCACCTCGTAGTCCAGCAGCAGCCAGTTCGTCTCTGTCTTGTCCGAGCGGACGTCCTGGTACGCTGTTGACGCATATCAGCCTCTGCGCTCGTAGCAGCAGATGGTTGGCGCACCTTCGTCGATCTTTGGATCCGAGACGTCGGCCATTGCGGAAGAGGTGGTAAGGAAGCGAGAAGGAGAAGAAGAGCAAGGAAGGGGAGGGAGACGAGGAGAGAGACGAGGAAAGCGGTGATGAGCTGTGAGTGAGCGCGTGTAGCAATGCGTGAGCCGATCGGTCAAACAGCCGGCCATCGCCGCGCGTACGAGCCGCGTGTGGCTGATAATGTTCAACAGCCCATGTCCTTCCGCCTTCTGAACATCACTTTTCGAGAGAAGGCGAGCGGATTAGAGTGGTTTTAAATGTCATTTGTGACCTGAAGAGTTGGGTTGAGGAAAGGACCGACACTCTGCTGGGATGATCCTACTCGACTACCGTATTTGGGTGATATTTGTCCCAAATCAGGTGGCAGGGTTTGAAATATTGCTTGACTCTCACCCTCGCTGCATCTTTGGCTCTGCTCATCATGCTGTCCCCTGTGCGCTCTATCAAGGCATCGACGTCTGCTTCACGCTCCTTCGCCAACTTCTACCCAACTGTCCAGGGTTTCACGCCAAAGAAATGGGGCCTCGGCGGCCATCCTGCACCCAAGTCGCTTATCGTAGACGAGAGCGACGAACCCAAGAACCAACCATCCACCAGCGAGACTGCTGCGAGCAAGCCCTTAAAACCGTCTAAGCCACCTCCTCGCGTGACACGCCTCGATAGCGGCCATGACGCGCAGCTCCTTCGCGAGTTCACGCGGCACCGCAAAGCAATAAAGGCGAAGCTGCCCGAGGGTTGGCAGCCCCCGCGAAAGCTCTCGCGCGAGGCTATGGAGGCCCTCCGCTACTCGCATCGTGTCGACCCGAACGTGGCCACCACTTCGGCGCTCGCAGATAACTTCCGCATCTCTCCCGAGGCCGTCCGCCGCATCCTTCGCAGCAAGTGGGAACCGAGCGCAGAGAAGCGTGCAAAGGTTCTGCAGCAGCAGCACGCACGTAAGGAGGCATGGTACAGGCAGATGAGAGAGGAGGAGCGGAAGAAGCAGGAGGAATGGGAGGAGGTGCACAGAAAGAAGCAGGAAGCGACCTACACGCGGAAGAATGATAGATTGACATTGACATGATGGAGTTAGGGATGAATTGTGTGCGAATGAGAGGTCTGGAAGGTACGTCAGGGGTCATCATGCTCTCAATCTCATATGCTGCAGTGCTGTCTCTTACGGGAGTGTGTGCTAGATACGAAGCATGGTGTGGACGTTCACCGATCTGATGAAAAGCATCCAGTCGCGATGAACTCACCTGCAATTTGGTAGCTGCTATTCCTGACGTCGATTTTATAGGAGGAACTTGAATAGGATTAGGAAAGGCATCAAGCTCAAGCAGGGAGCGATCTTACGTCTGTCTCTCCTGGCATCCAGTACGTGCTGCAGTCTACCATGCTATCTGAAGTATGCTATGTTCAGCCCAAAGCATCGCCGCTAACGGAAGCACTATCTTACCCTTAATGCTATGCCATCACATTCTTTCAATATAAGTTCGTAATTTGAGCAAGTGCAGAACATCGTAGTCGGGTAATGATTCTTCGCTAATACGTGGGTCCACGGACCTCTGTCGACTTGTTCCCAAGCAGGTCGCTCCCATTGGGCTCCGATCCTGGCTCCAACAGCATCGCAACGAGCTTGCGAGGACGCACAGGAAGACGGCAGCAAAGCAGAAGGCGATGAAGACCCGGCAGGTTGACCTTAACATGAGAGTATTTGGGGCGATGTTTCTTTTTGAAGAGGCTCTGTAGACTGCCCTGTGAGCGCGGTCATGCGAGAGGCGCTGCATGCCTTTGGTGCATATTTGATGCACCTAGACATGTTTGCATCCCCGGCCCTTGTGGAGTTTGCGCGTGTTACAGATTCCAGACGTGGGTGGTCAATCGAACATGTCAGGACCGAGGGAGAGACGAGACATCCTTGCAGTGGTATCACACATGCAACTACTTTGGCGTACGTCCCGGAATGGATGATCCTATCTGATTACTTATGCGTTGAGCAGGAAAGTAGTTCCGCTGCAGACAATATGGAGTATCGCCGATGAGACAGCCGGTTGACTCTCAGTTCGCAATTGTTACTATCAGCAGTACTACCCAATCTATCACGAAGCCTTCCTTCTTTCGACATTAGATCATATCCAGTCACCGACACCTCGCCCATGGAACGTGATCTTCCACGTCCTCGCACCCCCGCGCTTGTAAGCTTGTTCTCGGACGCTAAAGCACGGCGCTGATGCATGGTGAGTATCTTCCTGCCCGAACTGCAGAAGCGGACTTTCTGATTCTGTGAATGCCCTTCGCTCATGGGGTTTGCTCATAAAAGATTGTGCGGAGAAGCGCGCAAATCACACCCACGAGTCGAAGCAATCGCGTCACTCTGCGACCGCGCTCGGTGCGAATGCCAACTTGAGCTTGGGACGCGTCTAATTGATCCCATCTTACTTAGCATATGCGTGGACCGCCCGATAGACATGGAATGAAGAGTAGTGCATAAGTAGACGCTATCTTTTGGACGGGTATCAGACGCCACTTACCTTACTTTGAACAACTTTGCGCGTCCTCTCCTTGGTAATGCAGGACCTCGGTGATGTCTCAAGTGTTTCACTGCCAGCTCGACGACGGAAGCTGAATCTGGCCTACGTTTCGGCGAGAATATTAGTGCATATGCGTCAGCAAAATGATTGTGGTTGTGGCGCGGGCATACGAGCTTGGACGAGTTGCAGCCCATTACTAACTCGATGAATCACTGTACGGGGCCGACAAGTGTCTATTGCTGGTATAATCCTCCGATGTACGTCGGAAGATGCTACGGGGTACCTGAGAGGAATCAATCTCTAGACTCTGACACATGGATATTTCGCGGATTTAGGGTGATTTAGGGTGAGTTCTGATGCAAGTTGTCACGAAACTACTAATGATAGGACACCAAGCTCATCTTAAGGATATCACACTAATGTTGTTAAGTCCTTGTATGGTGACGTGACCCCGAGATACCTTAACCACGTTTCTACGAGGTAGAAGGCAAGTTTCTTGACTTGATATGTCTCGCTCGTTGCAGCGCCCCTTACAGTGATTATTAGTGTCTCGGATCTGGCAGCCGTGGGAGTCAATCTCATTTGTGACGCTGGCTGCGACAAGTATCAATGTTTAGCGTTGATGTTCATCGGCTGTACGTGAACATCAGAGCTTTGACGTTGGTGTTGCATGTTTGAACATGTAAGCATTTTTGAACATGTAAGCATTGCAATGCCGAATATACGAACAGGCATCCGAACGCGGCCTTCACAATGTGTATATAATGTGGATTCCTCTCGCCAATCCCCAATTCAGCAGCACGCGCACTGTGCTCCCCCTGCCGGCAATTATTGCCTCCACCGTCACTTAGCGAAGATGCACGCGATTCTTGCGGCTTTGCTGTCTCTCGCGACGCTCGTGGGCGCTGCGCTTTATTCGGACCCGGCTCAGCTCCCTCAGAAGGAGTACGACTTTGTCATTGTTGGCGGTGAGTCTCACACCCTTCGTCCATAATCGACTTCGCGGCTGCGTTGACTGATGCTTTGCGATTCCATCTAGGCGGCACAGCAGGCAACGTCCTTGCAGCCCGTCTAAGCGAAGTTTCCAACTTTTCCGTCCTCATCATCGAGGCCGGTCCTTCGTGCGTGCACACTGTCCACCAAAGTTCCTGTACCTAATCCATCGGGTTTACGATGCAGAAACTTGGATTATCCGGAAATTGCCGTCCCGTTCCTCGAGTTCTCCGAGGTCATCTCCAATCCAAACATATCCTGGAATTATGATACTACACCACAGATTGGTCTCAATAACCGCTCTATCAACTATCCTCGTGGCAAGGTGCTCGGTGGCTGCAGCTCGATCAGTGCGTTCATTCTCGATCATGCATGTGCAATAATAGACAAAGTGTATCTGATCCATATGCGCTCTTTCCTGCAGACGTCATGGTATGGACACGTACCTCCGTCGACGATTGGGATCGCTATGCGGCCGTCACAGGCGATCCTGGGTGGTCTTGGGATGCTATGCTCCCTTACATGCTCAAGGTATGTCGCCCACTCTCTCCCCTCTGTAGCTAGTCTTTCTCACCCGCCTCCAGACGGAAAGCCTCGTCCCACCTGCATCAAACCCTACACCAGCCAACCCGGGCTCTGGGGAGTTCAACTACGCTACCGACTACGGCAGGCTCAACCCTGCAGTGCACAACACGACGGGCCCGGTGGACATCAGCCTCTCGGGCTATCCCGGGGACATCGCCTCGCGAGTCTTCCAAACGTCCTTCCAACTGCCGGAGACGTTCCCGTACGTGCTTGACATGAACGCGGGGTACCCCCTCGGCGTGGGTGAGTATCCATGATGTGCATGCACCAGTGATTATCGACTCATTGGTTACAGGCTTCGCGCAGTTCGCCATCAACAGCCTTGGGAGGCGGAGTAGCTCTGCAACGGCATACCTCGAGCCGGCGATTAATCGCTCTAACCTCGACGTACTCATCACTACGCAGGTGACACGCCTCATTGCGGCCGCAGACTCGACCAATACGAGCCTGCCGACGTTCAGTGCAGTCGAAATGGCGCAAAGTGCGAATGGTACGCTCCTTCTGCCCTCTCTGATTTCGCCGTTCATGTCATCCATGCTACACAGCCACCCGTTACACCGTCTCCGCGAGCAAAGAGGTCATCCTCTCCGCAGGAGCAATCAACACGCCGCAGCTACTCCTACTGTCGGGGATTGGCGCACCTTCCTCTCTCGCTGCGCACAATATCACCTTGCTCGTCAACTCGTCCGGCGTCGGTGTCGACCTGCAGGACCACCCGCTGCTCCAAAGCCACTGGTATGTCAACTCGACTGGTACGTTTGACACAACCCTGCGGAATGCGACTCTGCAGGCGGAGGACTTGTCCTTGTGGGAGAGTAAAGGACGCGGTCCGTACGTTGGCCCCGGCAATGTCCAGATTGCATGGACGAAGCTGGAGAACGAGAGCGCTGTGTTTGGGTCGGGCGGATATGTGGACCCGTCGGCGGGCCCGAGCAGTCCGAATATCGAGATACTGCCACTTGTGAGTGGGTCTGAGCTAACTCAACCGTTTCCTGCGCTGTGAGCTGATTGATCCTTTTTTCTCCCCTTCTGATGTGCAGGATGGGTTTGTGTCGCTTATCGAAAGTCTGCCTGACACGGGTAACTTCCTCACGATGCTGACAAGCGTCGTGTCTCCCGCATCACGTACGTCTCTCTTTTCATAATGTGCCCAATACTGTCCATTCTCTGACGTTTTCATTTTGTCCATATCAACCTTGTCCGCACGTGTGCATACCGTTGTTGCCTTTCGCACCGACACATTCACGCGTCGCTGACAATGAACATGACATCGATGCACTCCAATATACGCGCGGCCAGGCGGCAGCGTCACACTCGCCTCCGCCGATCCATTTGACGCACCGTTGATCGACCCGGGTTTCCTTTCCAATCCATATGACTTGCTGGCGGCAGTGCAGGCCGTCAATCAATCGCGTCAATTCCTCTCCGCACCGACGTGGGATGACTACATCCTGCGCGAGGCGCCCGACCTCGCCGCTGCGCAGAGCGAAGCGGAACTCGTTGCATTTGTGCGCAATGGAACGACGACCATTTGGCACCCCACGGCGACGGCGCGCATGGGAGCGCTGGACGACGAACTGGCGGTGCTCACATCGGACTTGCGGGTGAAGGGCGCGCAGGGACTGCGCGTCGTGGATGCTTCGATATTTGTGAGCACTCTCGCGACTTATGCCGCGCACGGCAGTATGCTGATGCGTTTTTGGTAGCCGTATGTCCCCTCAGGACACCCGCAGGCGTGCGTATATGCGGTAGCGGAGCGCGCCGCGGACCTGATCAAGGAGGCTTGGGGCGTACTTTGAGAACCGATTTGCAATACTGTATGGAAAATCATTGATCATTGTTCGAATGTGATTAATTGTATAGACTTTCGATTATTACAGATCAGATCATGTGGGGCATGCCTGTCCTATCTACGAGGCCGAACTCCGAGCCACACGTTTTCTCCAATGTCAAACGATGCCCCAGAGCCTAGTGCTTTGTATCCTTGAACCTACATATCAGACAGCAGAAGGCTCGACCAGGCTCGATATGAACTGAATAAAATGATTCACTAAAGCGAGCGTGAAAGCATGGACCGCACGCAAGACATGGAATGAAGACTAGCGCCTAAGTAGATCATCTGTCTCTTTGACGCGAATCAGACGACACTGATCTAACCTTGAGCAACCTTACACTCCCTGCCCTTGATAACACAGGACCTAACAAACTGATTCGTACCTAGGATCACAGCCTCGTTTCAGGAATAGCAAAGTTGGACAGAGCGTAACATGTGCATGCGTGCCTTGAGAAGCCGGGATTCAAATGTTTCACTGCGAGCTCGGCGTCCCAAGTCCGCCTGTGTTCCGGTGTGCATATTAACACACATATGTCAGCACAATGATTGTGGTGCAGGCATACGACTCCAATCAGCCCCTTACTAAGTCGATTAATCATCGTACGGGGCCGGCAAGTGTATACTGCTGGTGTAATCCTCCGATGTACGTGAGAAGGTGTCATGGAGTACCTGGGAGGAATCAATATCTGAGACATGGGCATCGCGCAGATCCGGGGCTATTTGGGGTGAGTTTTGATGGAAGTTGTCACGAAAACACTGACGATGAGAAACCCAAGCTCATCTTGAGGTTCTCTAGGATGTCACACCGACGTTGTACAATCCTTGTAAGGTGGCCCCCATATACCTCAACTACGTTCTTACGAGGTAGAATGCGAGTGCTTTGACTTCATATCTCGCTCGTCGCAGCACCCCTCACAAAGATTGTTAGTGTCGCGGATCTGGCAGGCGTGGGAGTCAATCGCATCTGTGACACTGACAGCAACGAATATCAATATTTAGCGTTGATGTTCGCCGGCTGTACGTGAGCATCAGAACTTTGAGTTCGCGTCGAATGCTTGAGCATCGGAACATTGGAGTATCTAAGCCTGCGAACCGAGCATCCGAGCGCCCCTTTCGTGCCGCGTATATAGCCTGGACTCCTCTCACCAATGCTCACTTCAGCAGCACGCGCGGTGTGCTCCCCCTGACAGCAGTTGTCGCCTCCGCCTTCGTTCCGCCAAGATGCACGCGATTATTGCGGCTTTGTTGTCTCTCGCGACGCTTGTTGTCGCTGCGCTTTATTCGGACCCGGCGCAGCTACCTCAGAAGGAGTATGACTTTGTCATTGTTGGCGGTGTGTCTCGTGCCATTCGTCCATCCTTAGCGTAGCATCTGCGTTGACTGATGCTTTGCGATTCGTCCAGGCGGCACAGCAGGCAACGCCCTTGCGGTCCGTTTAAGCGAGGTTTCCAACTTTTCCGTCCTCGTCATCGAGGCCGGTCCATCGTGCGTACCCGCTATTCACCAATGTTCCAGTACATGATTCATCGGGTTTATGATGAAGAAACTTGGATTACCCCGAAATCGCTGTCCCCTTCCTCGAGTTCTCCTCGGTGATTACCAATCCGAACATATCCTGGAACTATAATACTACACCACAGATTGGTCTCAATAACCGCTCTATCAATTACCCTCGTGGCAAGGTGCTCGGTGGCTGCAGCTCGATCAGTGTGTCCATTCAGATCATGCATGTGCAACAACTGAAAAGGCGTATCTGATCCGTATGCGCTTTCCCACAGACGTCATGATATGGACGCGCACCTCCGTCGACGATTGGAACCGCTATGCAGCCGTCACAGACGATCCTGGGTGGTCTTGGGATGCTATGTTCCCTTACATGCTTAAAGTACGTCCCCTACCTCCTTTCTTAGTAACTGGTCTGCCTCACCCGCACCGCCTCCAGACCGAAAGCCTTGTCCCACCTGCATCAGACCCTACACCAGCCAATCCCGGCTCCGGGGAGTTCAATTATGCTACCGACTACGGTAGGCTCAACCCCGCCGTGCACAACACTACCGGCCCAGTCGATATCAGCCTGGCGGGATATCCCGGCGACATCGCCTCGCGAGTCTTCCAAACGTCCTTCGAACTCCCCGAGATGTTTCCGTACGTGCTCGACATGAATGCGGGGTACCCGCTCGGTGTGGGCGAGTAATCATGATGTGCATGCACCGATGATTATTGACGTGCTGGGTGCAGGCTTCGCTCAGTTCTCAATCAACAGCCTTGGGAGGCGGAGTAACTCTGCAACGGCATATCTCGAGCCGGCGATTAATCGCTCTAACCTCGACGTGCTCATCACTACGCAGGTGACACGTCTTATTACTGCCGCGGACTCGGCCAATACGAGCCTGCCGACGTTCAATACAGTCGAGATGGCTCAGAGTGCTAACGGTGTGCTCTTTATGGCTTCTATGGTTTCGCCATTCATGTTATTTCTGCTACACAGGCACACGCTACACCGTCTCCGCGAGTAAGGAAGTCATCCTCTCCGCAGGATCAATCAATACGCCGCAGTTACTCTTACTGTCGGGTATCGGCGCGCCGTCCGCGCTCGCTGCGCATAATATCACCCTGCTCGTCAACTCGTCCGGCGTCGGTGCCGGACTGCAGGATCACCCGCTGTTCGAAAGCCACTGGTATGTCAACTCAAACGGTACATTCGACCATGTCCTCCGGAATGCGACCTTGCAGGCAGAGGATTTATCCCTGTGGGAGAGTGAAGGGCGCGGTCTGTACGTTGGTCCCGGAAGTGTTCAGATCGTGTGGACGAAGCTGGAGAACGAGAGCGTTGTGTTTGGGTCGGGAGGCTATCCGGACCCGGCGGCGGGCCCGAGCAGTCCGCACATTGAGATGTTGCCAACTGTGAGTGAGTCTGCGCTAGCTTGGTCATGTCATATGGTGTGAGCTGATTGATCCTCTTTCCCCCTTCTGGTGTGCAGGACGGGTTTGTGTCGCTTGTCGAAAGTCTGCCCGACACGGGTAACTTCTTCACGATGGTGGCAAGCGTCGTATCTCCCGCATCACGTATGTCTCTGCACACCGTTGCCTGTTGTACTGACACATTCACGCGTCGCTGACCATGAACATGACATCCATGCACTACAGGCGGCTGCGTCACACTCGCCTCCGCGAATCCGTTTGATGCACCGTTGATTGACCCGGGTCTGCTCTCTAATCCATATGATGTGCTCGCGGCGGTGCAAGCCGTCAATCAATCGCGTCAATTTCTCTCCGCACCGACGTGGGACGACTACATCCTACGCGAGGCACCCGATCTTGCCGCGGCGCAGAGTGAGGCGGAGCTCGCGGCGTTCGTGCGGAACGGAACGACGACCCTGTGGCACCCCGTGGGGACGGCGCGCATGGGCACGCCTGACGACGAATTGGCGGTGCTCACATCGGACCTACGGGTGAAGGGTGCGCAGGGACTGCGCGTCGTGGATGCTTCGATATTCGTGAGCGCTTTCTGCACCTTACGCCGCGGATGGAAGTATGCTGACGCGCTTTTGTAGCCGTATATCCCTGCGGGGCACCCGCAGGCATGCGTATATGCGGTAGCGGAGCGCGCCGCGGACCTGATCAAGGAGGCTTGGGGCGTACTCTGAGGACCGACTTGCATTACGGTGTGGACAATCATTAATCACTTCTCGAATGCGAATAATTGTACGGACGTCCAAGTACTACAGACCTATGGGCATGTCTGCCCTACTTACGAGGCCGAACCCGGAGCCACAAGTTGTTCTCCAGCTTCAAAACATGCCGCGGAGCGTGACGCTTTGCGTCCTTCAACCTACATGTCAGACAGCGGAGGTGGCTCGATTAGGCTCGATATGAACTGAATGAAATGATCCACCAAAGAGAGCATGCAAGGACGGACCGCCCGCAAGACACGGAATGTTGAAGACTAGCGCCTAAGTAGATCATCTGTCTTTTCAACGCCCTGCTCTTGGTAACACAGCAACTAACGCACAGATTGCTAGCTAGGACCGCAGCCTCGTTACGAGAATAACAAAGCTGGACAGAGCGTAACATGTGCATGCGTGCCTTGAAAGCCGGGATTCAAGTGTTTCACCAGTGCGAGCTCGGCAACGGACTCAGGTACCAAACTCCGTCTGTGATTCGGCGAACACCACAACACATATGTGTCAGCACAATGATTGTGGCGCAGGTGCAGGCATACAATGATGGGCGAGTTCAAACAGCCCATCACTAACTCAATTAATTATCGCACGGGACCGGCAAGTGTATACTGCTGGTGTAATCCTCCGATGTGCGTGGGAAGACGTCGTGGAATGCCTTGGAGGAATCAATTTTTGAGACATGGACATTTCGCGGATTCAGCGCTATTTGGGGTGAGTTTGAATGGAAGTTGTCACGAAATCTTGAGGTTCTCTAGAATGTCACACTGACATCGTAAAGTCCTTGTAAGGTGACCCCAAGATACCTCAACTGTGTTGCTACAAGGCAGAAGGCCAGTGCTTACTTCAAGTGACTTTATATCTCGCTCGTCGCAGCATCCCTCACAAAGATTGTTAGTGTCGCGGATTCGGCAGTCGTGGGAGTTAATTGCCTCTGTGATACTGACAGCAGCGAATATCAATATTTAGCATTGACGTTCACCGGCTGTGCGTGAATATCAGAACTTTGACGTTGGCGCTGAATTCTTTTTTTGATATGGCCTGGGGGCAATTATTTGCGGATTAACCCCGCCAGGCCGGCAGTCGACCAGGATTTCACCTGAAAAGGAATAGAGCTCCAGGGAGGAAATTCTTTTATACACACCCACAGGAGCCAGTGTGGGACTCAGAGAAAACATCATCGAGACCGGTACTCAGCCGGCAGCCCTCCGGTCACCCAATACCCACTAGTAAACCTCCGTCTCCTGCAACCAGTCATCAGGTAGAGTGTGCTCATTGAGCAGCACGTGTTGAGCACTGTGTTTCCGTAGAGAGCCTTCTGGCCACAATGTTTACGGGTCATCGCGCGTCCAACCGTCAGACGGGTGGTCAGCAGGCCAATCCAGTGGTTATGCGCTGCACTAAGGGAAGTGTCTCCAGGCCGCCTGGTCGTCACTATGCCTGTGCCTGATCACACGCTCATTACGTAGGTTCCAGATGAGGTAGGTTGACTCCGAGATGAGGATGCGATATAGGCGTGTGGCGCCTGGACGGCGCCTGCCTTCGTCATCACTGAACGACCTCAATGCGCATCCTAGCAGCCCTCCAAAACGTAGCTACGGCCAATCACTGTGTTTGCCCCCCCACAGCCGCTGGGCCAGGTCCCAGAACAATTGGCAGCCAACCACCGAGCACTCGAGGAAGATGTGTTCGAGGGACTTCTCCTCGCGCTCGACATGGCACACGGTGCAGAGGGCTCGGTGCTCGTAGTTGGCGCTGAATGTTTGAATATCGGAACCTTAGAGCATCCGAGCGCGGCCTTCGCACTGCGTATATAATCTGAACTTCCTTCACCAATGCTCACTTCAGCAGTACGCTCACCGTGCTTCCCCGGCCAACAATTATTGCCTCCACTTTCACTTAGCGAAGATGCACGCGATTCTTGCGGCTTTGCTGTCTCTCGCGACGCTCGTGGGCGCTGCGCTTTATTCGGACCCGGCTCAGCTCCCTCAGAAGGAGTATGACTTTGTCATTGTTGGCGGTGGGTCTCACACCTTTGTCCATCATCGGCGTCGCGTCTGCGTCAACTGATCCTTTGCGATTCCCATCCAGGCGGCACAGCGGGCAACGTCCTTGCGGTCCGTCTAAGCGAAGTTTCCAGCTTTTCCGTCCTCGTCATCGAGGCTGGTCCTTCGTGCGTATCCGCTATCCACCAATGTTCCCGTACCTAATTCAGAGGTCTTACCACCCAGAAACACGGAATATCCGGAAATTGCAATCCCTTTTGAGTTCTCCTCGGTGCTCGCCAATCCGAATATATCCTGGAACTATTACACTACACCGCAGATTGGTCTCAACAACCGCTCTATCAGCTACCCTCGTGGCAAGGTCCTCGGTGGCTCCAGCTCAATTAGTGCGTTCGCTCCCGATCACGCATGTGCAACAAGTCATGAGGTGTATCTGATCCGTACGCGCGCTTTCTTGCAGACGCCATGATATGGACGCGCACCTCCGTCGACGATTGGGATCGCTATGCGGCCGTCACAGGCGATCCTGGGTGGTCTTGGAATGCTATGTTTCCTTACATGCTCAGGGTATGTTGCCCACTCTTTCCCCTCTGTAACTTATCTTCCTCACCCGCCTCCAGACGGAAGGCCTCGTCCCACCTGCATCAGACCCTACACCAGCCAACCCCGGATCCGGGGAGTTCAACTTTGCTACCGACTACGGCAGGCTCAACCCTGCCGTGCACAACACTACGGGCCCAGTTAATGTCAGCCTCGCGGGTTATCCCGGTGACATCACCTCGCGAGTTTTCCAAACATCGTTCGAACTGCCCGAGCTGTTCCCATACGTACTCGACGCTAACGCAGGATACCCGCTCGGTGTGGGTGAGTAATCATGGTGTGCATGCACCGGCGATTACTGACGTGTTGGGTGCAGGCTTCGCGCAGTACTCCATCAACAGCCTTGGGAGACGGAGCAGCTCTGCAACGGCATATCTCGAGCCGGCGATCAATCGCTCTAACCTCGACGTGCTCATCACCACGCAGGTGACGCGCCTTATTGCCGCCGTGGACTCGGCGATTACGAGCCTGCCGACGTTCACTACAGTCGAGATAGCACAGAGTGCTAACGGTGCGCTCTTCCTGGCCTCCTCGCTTTCGACGTTCATGTCATCCATGCTATACAGGTACACGCTACACCGTCTCTGCGAACAAGGAGATCATCCTCTCCGCAGGATCAATCAACACGCCACAGCTACTCCTACTGTCGGGGATTGGCGCACCGTCCGCGCTCGCTGCGCACGATATCACCCTGCTCGTCAATTCGTCCGGCGTCGGTGCCGGGCTGCAGGACCACCCGTCGCTCGAAAGCCAGTGGTATGTCAACTCGACCGGTACGTTCGACACTGTCCTCCGGAATGCGACTCTGCAGGCGGAAGCATTATCCCTGTGGGAAAGTGAAGGACGCGGTCTGTACGTTGAGCCCGGCGACGTCCAGGTCGTGTGGAAGAGGCTAGAGAACGAGAACGTTGTCTTTGGACCGGGCGGGTATCTGGATCCCGCAGCGGGCCCGAGCAGTCCACATATCGAGATGTTGCCAAATGTGAGTGTGTCTGTGCTACCTGGACCGTGTCCTTTGGTGTGAGTTGATTCTCCGCTTCTGGTGTACAGGATGGATTTGTGTCGATTATCGAAAGTCTGCCTGACACGGGTAACTTCCTCACGATGGTGACGAGCGTCGTGTCCCCCGCATCACGTACGTCTCTTCAAAATTGTGCCAAACACTCTCCGTTCTGACGTTCTCATTTTGTCCATATCGATCTTGTTGCACGTGTGCATACCGTTGTCTTTTGTACCGACACATTTCGCTGGCTTTGAACATGACTCCCACCTACGCTTGGCCAGGCGGCAGCGTCACACTCGCCTCCGCCGATCCGTTTGACGCACCGTTGATTGACCCGGGTCTCCTCTCTGACCCATTTGACGTGCTCGCGGCAGTGCAGTCTGTCAATCAATCGCGTCAATTCCTCTCCGCACCGACGTGGGATGACTACATCCTGCGCGAGGCGCCCGACCTCGCCGCCGCGCAGAGCGAAGCGGAGCTCGAGGCGTACGCGCGCAACGGAGCGTCGACCATTTGGCACCCCACGGCGACGGCGCGCATGGGTGCGCCGGACGACGAACTGGCGGTGCTCACATCGGACCTGCGGGTCAAGGGTGCGCAGGGACTGCGCGTCGTGGATGCTTCGATATTTGTGAGCGCTTTCTGCACCTTACGCTGCGGATGGCAGTGTGCTGATGTGTTTTTGCTAGCCGTATGTCCCCGCGGGGCACCCACAGGCGTGCGTATATGCGGTGGCGGAGCGCGCCGCGGATCTTATCAAGGAGGCTTGGGGCGTACTCTGAGGACTGACTTGCATTATTTTATGGACTATCACGAGTGTTAGTTCGTACCTAGTGTCACAGCCTTGAAGTTACAGGAACAGAAAAGATGGACGGAGCGTATCATGTGCATGCGTGCCTGGAAAAGACAGGATCCAAGTGTTTTACTGAGAGCTCGGCGACGGAAGGTATCAAACTCCGTCCGTGGTTCGGCGAGCGTATTAATACATATGCATCAGCACAATGATTGCGGTGCAGGCAGGCGAGTTACAGCCCCTTACTAACTCGATCTATCATTGTAAGGACCGGAAAGTGTACATTGATGGTATAATCCTCCGATGTACGTGGGAAGGTGTCGTGGAATACCTGGGAGGAATCAGTCTCTGCGATCGTGGATTCAAGGTTATTTATGGTCAGTCTTGATGCAAAATGTCACGAAATATTGAACGATAAGCGGCCCAAGTTCACCTTGAGCTCTCTAGGGTGTCGCACTGAGGCTGCAAGGTCCTTGTTAGGTGGCCCACTACACCTCAGCTGCTTTTCTAGTATCTACGAGGTAGAAGGCGAGTACCTCGAACAGTCACATCATGATATAGCTCGCTCGTTGCAGCGTCACGGATCTGAAAGGCGCGAGGGTTAATCAATATCACAACAGACATGATGCGATTTATCAATGTGGGAAATTGTGTGTGAATGTCAACTGATTTCTTACACATGCGACAAATATTTGCAACCATGGCATTTCATGTCGAAAATGTTTCCCTTTGGCTGCAAATGTGCGCTATTTGCCGTTTAAATGCTACATTGGCAAACCTTTATCACAAGTGTAAGACATCAGCCGACATTTCCACACTATTTTCCACATTTTAAAATCGCATCATGTCTGCCGTGTATTTAGCGTTGAGGTGCGGGAATATCAGAACTTTGACGTTGACTCTGAACGTTTATGAAATAGAATGACAGGAAGCAGGTTAAGCACTGTACTCACCGAGTCTACCAACTCAGGAGGAGAGGAAATGCAGGCGAGAAGGACGGCGGACTGCCGTGTTGAGCGAGCGTCTGGACGGACTGGGAGTTGCCGTCTGACGCGGCCACATGACTTGTTCTGTTTTAAGAGTATGCATTTCCTCATTTGTCCGAACCTGTACTGATTTGGGCACTACCACCTTCGATAGTTTCATCGTCGTTCCATGACTTCGTTACATGAATCACTGTCGGATGTCTGTCTCGCGCGTGTACTTAAGGCGCACCCCCACCCTGGGATGGAGCACTTGCTTTTCCCTCTCAAACTCATCTCGTGCTCTCGGAACAGTAATCTCGGCTGATCAAGCTCTCGAATTAGTTTACTCTGTGTATTGCTCTCGTCTCACGTATACCTACGTCTGGTGTCGCTGATTTCTACTGAAACTCCACGCGACCAGTCTGGCATCTCTGTCGACGACCCAACGCATACCTCCGCTCTACTGAGTTGGATTGCCGTACGCGGTAACCTCTTTTTCACTCAGCCAGGATGCACGCGGTGCTTGCGGCTTTGTTGTTGTCTCTCGCGACGCTCGTTGGCGCGGCGCTGTATTCCGATCCAAGGCAGCTCCCTCAGAAGGAGTATGACTTTGTAATCGTTGGCGGTGCGTCTCAAACCTTTCGTCAGAGTCATCAGCTTCGCTTCTTCGTTGACTGATCCTTTGCGATTCCATCCAAGGCGGCACAGCAGGCAACGCTCTTGCATCCCGTCTAAGCGAAGTTTCCAAATTTTCCATCCTCGTCATCGAGGCTGGTTCTTCGTGCGTACCAGCTATCCACCAATGTTCCTCCGCCTAATCCGTCACTCTTACCATGCAGAAACACGGATTACCCGGAAATCGCCGTCCCCTTCCTCGAGTTGTCCGAGGTCATCTACAATTCGAACATATCCTGGAACTATGACACTACACCACAGATTGGTCTCAATAACCGCGCTATCAATTATCCTCGTGGCAAGGTGCTCGGTGGCTCCAGCTCAATTAGTGCGTTCATTCTCGATCAGCATGTGCAACAAGTCATGAGGTGTATATGCACGCTTTCCTGCAGACGTCATGATATGGACGCGCGCCTCCGTCGATGATTGGGATCGCTATGCGGCCGTCACAGGCGATCCTGAATGGTCGTGGGATGCTATGTTTCCTTACATGCTCAAGGTATGTCGCCCACTATTTCCCCTCTGTAGCTGGTCTTTCTCATCTGCCTTCAGTCCGAAAGCCTCGTCCCACCTGCATCAGGCCCTACAGCAGTCAACCCCGGCCCCGGGGAGTTCGACTACGCTACCGACTACGGCACGCTCAACCCTGCCGTGCACAACACGAGGGGCCCAGTCGACGTCAGCTTCGCGGGCTATCTCGGAGACATCGCCTCGCGAGTCTTTCAAACGTCGTTTGAACTGCCCGAGACGTTCTCATTCGTACCCGACATGAACGCAGGGTACCCGCTCGGTTTGGGCGAGTATTCATGATGTGCATGCGCCAGTGTTTATTGACGTGTTAGTTGCAGGCTTCGCGCAGCTCTCCATCACAAGCAGTGGGAGGCGGAGTAGCTCTGCAACAGCATACCTCGAGCCGGCGATTAATCGCCCCAACCTCGACGTGCTCATAAACACGCAGGTGACGCGGCTTATTGCCGCCGCGGAGTCGGTCAATACGAGCCTGCCGACGTTCACCACAGTCGAGATGGCACAAAGTGCTGATGGTGCGCCCTTTCTGGCCTACCTTGTTTCGCCGTTCATGTCATCCATGCTATACAGGTACACGCTACACCATCTCCGCGAGCAAGGAGGTCATCCTCTCCGCGGGATCAATCAACACGCCGCAATTACTCCTACTGTCGGGGATTGGCGCGCCGTCCGCGCTCGCTGCGCACAATATCATCCCACTCGTCAACTCATCCGGCGTCGGTGCCGACCTGCAGGACCACCCGCTCCTCGAAAGCCATTGGTATGTCAACTCGACCGGTACGTTTGACACTATCCTGCGGAATGCGACCCTGCAGGCGGAGGACTTGTCTCTGTGGGAGCAAGAAGGACGCGGTCCGTATGTTGGCCCCGGGGTTGTCCAGATCGCGTGGACGAAGCTGGAGAACGAGAACGTTGTGTTTGGACCTGGCGGGTATCCGGACCCGTCGGCGGGCCCGAGCAGTCCGAATATCGAGATATTGCCAACTGTGGGTGGATCTGTGCTAGCTCGACCATGTCCTGTGGTATGAGCTGATTCATCGTTTTTTTCTCCCCTTCTGCTACGCAGGATGGGTTTGTGTCGTTTATCGAAGGTCTGCCCGCCACAGGCAATTTCCTCACAATGTTGACAAGTGTCGTGTCCCCCGTATCACGTACGTCTCTTCAGAATTGTGTCAAATGCTCTCCGTTCTGACGTTCTCATTTTGTCTATATTAACATTGTCCACACGTGTGCATACCGTTGTCTTTTGCACCGACACATTTTGCTGACCATGAACGTCACATCCATGCACTCCCATCTACGCGCGGCCAGGTGGCAGCGTCACACTCGCATCCGCCGACCCGTTCGACGCACCGTTGATTGACCCGGGTCTACTCTCTAACCCATACGACGTGCTCGCGGCAGTGCAGGCCGTCAATCAATCTCGTCAATTCCTCTCCGCACCGACGTGGGATGACTATATCCTGCGCGAGGCACCCGACCTTGCCGCCGCGCAGAGTGAAGCGGAGCTCGAGGCGTACGTGCGCAAGGGAACGACGACCATTTGGCACCCCGTGGGGACGGCACGCATGGGTGCGCCGGACGACGAACTGGCGGTGCTCACATCGGACCTGCGGGTGAAGGGTGCGCAGGGACTGCGCGTCGTGGATGCTTCGATATTTGTGAGCGCTTTCTGCACCTTGCGCCGCGGATGGACGTGTGCTGATGCGCTTTTGGTAGCCATATATCCCCGCGGGGCATCCGCAGGCGTGCGTTTATGCGGTGGCGGAGCGCGCCGCGGATCTGATCAAGGAGGCTTGGGGCGTACTTTGAGGACCGACTTGCATTACCGTACGGACAATCATTAATCACTGTTCGAATGCGATTAATTGTAGGAACGTTCCGTACGGACATACGGGTATGCATGTCCTACTTACGATGCCGAACTCGAAGCCACAAGGTTTTCTTCAACATCAAATCATGACGCAGAGCCTCATGTTTTGCATCCTTGAATCTACATATCAGACAGCAGACATCACGAAAACTCACTCCCGCTTATGATGCTTTTATCCGCTTGCCATCACCAAAAAAAAGACAGAAAGTTCGAGAAAGCTCAGGACCTCCTTGTTTTGAACTTTTCTCTGGGTCGAAAGCCACAAGCTAAAATCGGCGAAAGCAAATCAAAAAGCAGCCTTTCTCGAGCCACAAGTCGACTTGAGGTACCTGTGCCAGAGCAGGTTGACATTCAAGTAAGATCGAGGCGGTCCTGGGACAAGTTACGGTTCATCATTCTGTCCATCTGTTGTCGTTGAAAGATTTCTCCATGTACTCTTGCCTCCTGTTCGCTCGCCTGTTGCATGCTCGTCAGGTCATCACCATCCATGCATCTCTGCTGCATCTGTATGTCACTTTGACTGGTCCGCCACAGATTACGGGAGTGATGACGAGCTGCCTTGAGCGGCATATCCGACCGAGATGGATGGCCCGGCGTTCAATCAGCCATTCTGTATATCGTTCATGCAAAGCTCGCGTTCGTCCCGATATTCCAGTAATACAGAGCAACTAGTACATCTGTTCGTCTTCTTCTCATGCTACTTGATCCAACTCACACATCATTTACGCATGGAATGTGATCTCCCACGTCCTTACACACCCGTCGGCGCCCGCACTCGCCACCTTATTCTCGGATACCCAGAACACGGCGCTGACGCCACCGGGGCCAGCGTTCTTGATCGCGATGTTGCGCATCGGCTTCTGCACGCTCCAGATGTATACATGCGTATCGAGCGAGCCCGACGCGCAGTGCTGTCCATCTGCGGTCCACGCGAGTGAATGGATCCGTCCGCTATGGAAGGACCAGCGGCCGGTGACGAGCTGCGAGATAAAGCACATTGGAAGGATAAAAGCTAGAGCTAAGGAGAAGGACGCTTACCTTGCGTTGTCTGACATCGAATAGGGCAATTTTCCCGGACGACTGAGGTCAAGAATTAGTAAGCACAGTGCCGAGTGCTGCATGAGCGGCACGTACGTCTCCAGCAGCAAGGAGGGACCCATCCGGCGAGAACGCCAGTGCGCTCACGATGCCCTTGTTTCCTTCTAACGTTGCGACCTCGCTTAGTGCTTTGCCGTCCCAATCGTATAGGTGGACTTTCTGGTCCTACGCGCATGTTTCAGTCGGTAAGCGTCCCGAACATCCTGCGAGGCGACCTGAAGCCTGAATGCCGTACCTCTCCACCGATCGCCACCACTGACTTGGCCGCCGCGATCGCGCTCGGCGTGAACGATGATTTGAGCTCGGACACTTTCTGATTTGAGCGAATCGCCTCAATAACATTTGCTTCTGCGACAAACACCGTTGAGGCGCCGGCGACTGCGATGTCCTTCGGCTGCGAGGCAGTCGAACACTTCGCTGGTCTGCATCATGACATCAGCAGAGACTCAGCCCGACAAAGGTAGATTGGGCTTACACGAAACTCTTCCCGCCCTCAATCTCCCTCACGCAGTCGTCAAAGCCGATGGAGTGGACATTCCCGTCGAAGTCGGAGGCAAGCTTCGCGACGAGTGCGGTGTGCCCCTCCCCTACAAGAGGCGCATACTCTGAGTTGGCGAAAGAGAGGATCCGGCCGTCCGCGGTGCCTGCAAGGAAAGTCGCCGATGGAGACGAAGGCACCGGCACCGCTGTTGTGATTGCCTTTTGCGGGCCCTGCGTTGGGAAGAAGCGTCGCCGGATCAATCATTAATCGCGGACTCGTAGAATGTAAGATGATATTACGTAGAGCACGCGGGTGGGCTTGTCGCTGATCCTCTTATCGAAGATGTTCAACCTGCCTGACACCGAAAGCGAGACAATGTCGTCGCCGCCCGTCCATGTGTTGCCGACTTGCTGATAGTTGACGCCAGATCCCAGCGACCAGGTCGTTATAGCCTTCTTGGCCTCGACGTCCCCTGAATCGATGTCGATCGCCCTCAGCACGCGTTAAGCGTTAAGCAGAGAGAAATGCAGGACCTACACAGCTTTACCGTGCAATCTGCTCCGGACGTGACGAGTGACGCGCTATCGGGGCTCCAGCTGCATGCCATCTGCCATGATTCAACGAATGATCGAACTCCTCAGCACGAAGGAGATGTCCGGGTACGCACGATGCTGCCGGTATGGGGGCTGTCCGTGATCTCACCGATAGTGTCACCAGTCTTGCCGTCGTAGATGAAAATCTTCCCGTCGGAGCCGACGCTCGCGAAGTGGTCACCGGAAGGCGAGTAGCGAACGTCTTGCACGAATTTGGTGTGTGTCTTGATGCTCTGGTGATGGATAGAGGTGAGTCATGGTGCTGAAATAACTTAACTGGTTTTGTACCTTCTCGTACTTATAAGGAGGTCCTGGCAATCAGATGTGTTCAGCGTGAAGCGCCATGGTGTCATAACTGCGTACCTTGGTGAAACGCAATAGTGGCATCGTCCGAAGCGGTGACAGCACGGAATGGACGTTGCGGTCGAATCGAGACGGCGTTAATGACCTGGGCATTCATGAAAGTTACTGAAGCCCATGCACATGCGAACCATACATACCTTGGAATGGCCGATAATCTCACCCGTGGACGATCCAGTGTCCATCATGAATGCATGTCCAAATCTGCAGTGTCATGTAAAATTCCGAACGAGCTGGCACTTGATTCAACGCACTTATCTCGGCCATTACCCACAGCAATGATTCGTTTACTCTCGCCGTCCCAGTCGAGGTCTTTACTTCACGGCATGCGTGTCATGATCGACGATGAGACTCGGGTATCGGGTGAATGAATGAGACATACACAGCTCCCGGAATCGCCTTGTACTCTCCTTTCAGGGTCTGTTCTTCGCCCACGATGTCCCATACGCGAACTGCATGTACGGCCACGTTATTGGGCACTATTCATAAATGTGCCAGAAGCGTTCAGTCTCACCTGTCCCGGAGACGTCTGCGGATGCGCAGTAGTACCCAGAAGGAGAGATGCGAGCAACAATGGCGTTCTGCAAATGACCTGCATTGGTGGTGACGAGTGCTGGATTCTGCGGCACTACTTAGTGCATTGCCGTTCCTACAGATACTGTCCGGGATGATCTACCTTCAGGTCCCGAATCTAGGCGGTATGAGTGAGCGAGGGAATGGAGCTGTTTCCTCCTTAAGCTTACCACGACGGTACGACCATTCGTGTAAACAATCTTATCACCGCTCGAGGAAAGCTTTGTGGACTCCCCGCGCGCCGTGGCGGGGTTGCATGGGTATAGATCTGCCTTCTTGTACGACATGATTATCTAGCAAGAGGTCGGTGGATGTATCTCAGGAGTGCGTCCACAGTCTAAATGTGAGTGATGAACTGAGAGCGCAGTGACTGCAGGTGTCGCAGTAGTGCGAGGCCGCGCCGAGCCTTATCCGAGATAGAGTAGCAGCGCGTAGAGCCTGCAAAATATCTAGAAATACAGCATAGCGTCGAAGTCAATACTACATTTCTATGAAGCTTATCCTAGACTTATCCGCCTCCTTACACGGTCACGTTGCCACACGCATCGCTCCGCGTTCGACTTGCGTTCGACAGTTCGACTCAACGACAAACAGCAGTTACTCGGCTCCAGGCACTTTGCATGCACACCCACCATGACAGACGTCTTCGATGACGGCGCGCCGCCCATTGTCGATGGCGATGTTCTCGAAGCCGCCAAAGAGAACATCCAACCGCTCGCGTCCGGCCGCAGAGTCACCGCGCTTTCTGCCATCCTCTCGACTCCCCACGCTCAGCGCGAGAGCCGTCTTGCTGCCGCGCGCAACCGCCACCGGATCAACGTAGAGGTTGCTCTGGAGGACGAGGATGACGACCCCCTTGAAGCGTACTGCCGGTTCGTGTATTGGACAGTAGAGAACTATCCGCAGGGCCACAGCGCCGAGTCTGGTTTGCTTGAACTTCTTGAGGAGGCGACTCGGGTGCTGAAGGATGATAGAGGAGGCAGGTGGCGAGGTGATATACGATATCTCAAACTCTGGGTTCTCTACGCAAGCTACGTCGAGAAGCCCGCTATCATATACAAGTTCTGCATGGTGAACGAGATCGGCACGAGCCACTCGCTTCTGTACGAGGAGTATGCGATCGTGTTGGAGAGAGCAGGCAGGCAAGTGATATATGCAATTAGTCAGAATATTGCACACTGATCGGCTGCAGGCGAGGTGAAGCGGACGAAGTATACCTACTGGGTATCGCGCGCAAGGCTGCTCCAGTCGAACGGCTGGAGAGCAAGCACCGCGAGTTCCAGAAGCGCATGATGGCATCGATCACCCTTGCTCCTGCTGCGCCTCCTGAGCCGTCTGCGTCGTCCTCAACGGCGAAGCCTCGCGGCGTCCTATCTGAGACCACGTCCACGTCTTTGACTCGCACGCGCAGCACGCGCTCGCGATCTAACGATACGACCACATCTCCGCCTGCGGAAGCACCCCCCTCATCCTCACGGCCAAATGGACGGATGCAAGTGTTCGTTGACCCATCGGGCACCGAGGGCAATGACGCTGCCGAGGCGGCGCCCTGGCCCGAGCTGGGCACACTCAAGGCCCGCGTCAAGGAGAACGTGCCTGAGGTGAAGAAAGCTGGCGGTACTACTCTGAGGCAAAACGGCCGCGCGCAAAGAGCTGCTGCCACATCTACATCTACATCGAGGATACCAGTGTATCGGGATCCTGAGCTCCCTGTTGCGGGTCAGGATGAGATGCTCCCACCGCCCGTGCCCGTGTCGAAGGAGGCTAAGCGGGGTGAGGGAAGCAAGATTCCTGTTGCATCCTCTGGCAAGAAGAGTCAAAAGGCGAAGAGCACCACCATTGTGGTGTTCAGGGACGATGATGCACCACAGGACGTGACCAGCGCGAAGAACAGCCAGAAGGCGAAGAGCACGATATCTGTTTTTAGAGATGACGAACCGTTGCCGGAATCTGGTTCGAAGTCGGACAAGAAAGGCAAAGCGAAGAGTGCATTTGCGATCTATGCCGATGATGCGGAGGACGAACCCGCTTCGAAGCAAAAGACAAAGGCGGCGAAGGCGAAGAGCTCCATCACGGTATTCAGGGATGAGGATGTAGCAGACGAGCCCGCTATAAAGACGAACAAGAAGGGTGAAAAGACGAAAAGCACGATCGTTGTGCATCGAGATGAAGACGAAAGCACTCCTTCGGTTATCTCGACACCGAGGTTCACTCCGTATAGAGATGAGGAGGTACGGCTGTGATTTCTTACATCTTCTGCATCCATTGAATTGCTAAACACACGCAGTCCGCCGTTCCGTCGTCTTCGGCTGCCCCTTCGACAGTCATGAAGCTAAAGGCGATCGGCCCTCGAAGGGATGGACCGAATGCACCGGAAGCGGAGGCGCTCAGGAAAGATCCGTTGAAGAATTACAGTATGGAAGAGAGGCCGGCTGAGGAGGAATGAGATTTCGTTGCGTCCGTGTGTATGATTATGATGAAGAATGTGCTTCCTCTGTTATGTATAATGTGGGTGTACGAATGCAATGTTGCTGTCGGTGCTGGAATATATGTCGAATATGAAGGTTCGTAATTGCGAAGTTTTGTGTAGAAAAAGCGCCATCAGATGTATTCAAACGGTTCTTTTGACCATACGTCAGAGATCTGTTGAACACCCGGAATAATTACACGGGCATACCCGTATTCGACATTTGTTCCGCCACAAGTGCCATCGGCGAGCATTCAGGCACAGGCTGATGTATAGCCTGCAGAGCTTGGAACCTGTGAGGAACTTGAAGTGCCGAGGGATTGAAATATTCAATGATTTCAAGCTTTCAGCTTCAACGTTTCACTTTCAGCGCGTGTCACAGCGTTGATCACCTGACCGCGTCCAGCGCTTTTTGAAATTTCTCCACTTCGCATTTTGATCCCATTCACTGGCCATCGAGCAGGCATTTGGTGGACAACACTTTTTGCTTCCTCTCCTATCTGCTCAGGCATTCGGAATATCGCAGTGCCTGTCTTGTAGGAAGAACATACTGGAGGTGGAACAAGGCGCGACGATTCAGGAACGGCGATCACACGTACCACCATCCCGGCCCATTAGGTCCGCGGGAGTCACTTGAGAGGTGCACAACAACGTGCGGGCGTCCCTTCCGTAGGCTGGATGAACGTTTGCTCGCTCACTAATTTTGCACTAGCCCTGCTCACCTGCGCGGAAAACCATTCCGCACGTCAGCTGCTCAGAATACGCAGGAGGTAGACCGTGGGCGGGGTGGTGGGAAGCACAGATGACATGTATTGGTATTCTGTGCGCATCACGTCGCTCCCATTCGCTTCAACTAGAACGCCGGCTTAATTTGGTCTTCGCCGTATACATTAGAATATAAATAGCCGCTTGACTGGCTTGATCATGTACCGCTACTCGCCTCTACCGTCCTCGCTGAACGTCGCAAAGATGTCCCGCGACGAAGACAAGGCAGCGTTCACTGATGTGGTTGACGAGAAGGGCGAACGGGTCGATGAGATCGAGGAGGTCAAACCGCAACAGAGCAAAATTGGCTCGCCGGAGGAGAGGAGATTGGTCAAGAAGCTCGACGGTCGCATCATGCCTATTGCATGCATCCTCTATCTCTTTGCATGTAAGTTCGTGCAGCAATCATGCTGATGTACCTGTCGACTGATGAGAGTGAAGACTTGGACAGATCGAACCTGGGAAATGCGAGACTGCAGGGCTTACCGGAAGACGCTCTCGGTGGGGACCCCACCGGCGTGCTCTACGGCTGGGTCAACACCGCATTCTTCATCTCATACGTGCGTAACGCCTCACCTGGAAGCATTCCGCTGTGATGTACTAGGTTTCTGTGCGCTTAGATTATCTGCCAAATTCCCGCGACGGTGATCTCGAAGCTCTTCCCGCCGCGGACGTGGATCGGCTGCTTTGCCGTAGGCTGGGGCATCTGCGCTACTCTTTCGGTGAGTTGCTGTGTGTGGAAGAGTCCGATTCTTTCGGATCAGCTGATCCTGTGCAGGCTGCCGCCTTCAACTTTGCCGGGCTCGTCTGCGCGCGCCTTGGCCTCGGATTCTTCGAGGCAGGCTTTGGGCCGGGTATTCCTCTTTATATGTGTACGTCCGTCCATCCGGCTTCTTCTCTGTTCATTCCGTCTCGCATTAACGCTTCACTTCTCCAGCGCTCTTCTACACGAAAGAAGAGATGGGCATGCGGATGGCGTACTGGTTTGGCTTCGCGGCCGTCGCAGGCGCATTCGGCGGGCTCATCGCGTTTGGGATCCAGCATGTCCACGCGGCGATTGCGAACTGGCGGCTGCTGTTCATTATTGAGGGCGCGCCGACGATCGTGCTCGGGTTCCTGACGATGTTCTTTCTGCCCAATAGGCCGGAGGAGACAAAGTTCTTGACGGAGGATGAACGGCAAATTGCTGTGGAGCGGATGAACCGAGGGATTTCGAGCGATGTGGGAAGGGTGGTGAAGAAGAGTGAGTATACAATCATGAGTGTCCAGTAGGAGTGTAGATTGACACGTATTGCAGGTCATATCATTGCGGCGTTCATGGACTGGAGGGTACGTTTCAGCCTCACACAACTATTCGTTCGGTGACTGATCATGCTACTGTCAGATCTACGCTGCAGGCGTTCTCTACTTCGGCGCCAACTGCGCCCTTGCGTCTATCTCTGCCTTCCTGCCGACTATCATTGAGACGTTCGGGTACAGTGAGTGCAGCGTCTGCTCACGTCTCAAGCTCCGTTGATGTGTTTGGACTCCCAGCAAATGCGCTTGCGCAGCTCCTGACCGTACCGCCGTACGCGGTCGCTGCCGTGTTCATGTGCTTGAACTCGTATGCATCTGATCGGCTGCAAAGCCGTGGCTTGTTTGTCGCATATGTCAGCGCTGTCGGTGGAATTGGCTACCTGTACGTAATTTATAGTTTCTGATGTTGTACGACTGTGCTCATGCTGAGCTGTCCGCGACTAGTCTGCTCCTCGCTGTTGATCATAACGTTCACGTCCGCTACTTTGCTGTCTTTTGTATCACGAGCGGCACGTACACTGTCATCGGGATCGTCATCGCTTGGTGTTAGTTTATACCGCACGCCTTGCTCATTTAGTCGCTCATCAGTTTCGGGTCTAGTTGCACACAATCTTGGGTCGGAAACGAAGAAGGCGACAGGTATCCCGATGTACATGGCTATCGGCCAGTGCGGGAGTATATTGGGCTCGAAAATCTACCCATCTACAGAGTCGCCGCGGTATGTCAAAGGCCTTGCAGGTGAGGTTTCTTGGTTGAATTTTGTTCACAACAAAATGCTGACCTGACCTGAAGTATGTTGTGCACTGCTCTTTGTTTCCTCCATCGTGGCCGTCATCCTCTCAGTATGCTGCCGTTTCTTCCCTACATATGTGTTTCTCTGATACTTATTTGCACCTTCCGTGCTATGCAGATATCCTACCGTCTCGAGAACAGGAGAAGAGACAAGTTATATGGCAAGCCCGACCCGGATGCGATGGTCGACACATCCGAGCTGGCAGACAATGTGAGATGTCCTTGTATGAATGTAGGCAGGCGCTGTCTTTCTGAACGTCTTGTTCTTAGGCACCAGACTTCCGCTATGTCCCATAACTGCGCAATCCGTAGACCCTCGGCCAGGTCCTATAGACGGCGCACATGTTGTAATAGGATGCGAAGGAGCCGCTCAAGCTGTAATATATAGTAGTTCGATCTTTCTCGATGTATGCTATTACGTGTGTGTATATGTACTGTCAACACCTCTCCCCCAGTCCATGAGATGCCCAAATGAAAAAGATCTCCTGTGCTTAGGGCTCCCGTAGAAATTGGATACCAGACTCTATACATACTCGTATGAGAACACTGTGCACTCTGTGTGATTTTAATTTAGAGAAACATGGAATGCAGGAAAGAATCAGTGGCACCAAACCCGGACTAGTACCATCCAAGGGCAGGGTTCCACGTATCGATTAGTTTCCGGTCGCCTATGGAACACCGACGGTGGCAGTCTCGCTTATCGACCTCCGAAAGGCAGGGAGAAACCTGATCTACGGAGAACGTCGATGATAAGTACGACCTTCGGATGTGCCCCACGAGGGCCAGTCAATGAATTCTCATATAACGGACCACGGCTCAACGCCAACCTCTAAACGTTGAAACAACATCCCCATTTTTCATGGCGATGACCCAAAACATGGCAGATCTAGTCATCAAAGGCCTGAGACGGCGTTGAAAGCACATGGTAAACACAATGGTTAGGATGTGCTTATGTCAGCTGCTATAGAGGTGCTTTTCGTGCCGCGAACTGGCCTTCCACCACACTCACGTCCTGCGCACCGCACACCGTCTCTCCTCTCTCGTTGCGCAAGCCGGCGAAGATACCCATTCCACAGCCAGGTCTTGCAGCCATAATGGCATCCGACTACAGCGTACCCGTCGATCCTGCAGGCCACCAGCCGCACCCGTACCTGCACGAGCCGCTTCTGTACATCACCGGCCTGCCATCATACGTCAAGGACGAGGACCTCGCCATGGCCTTCCAGGCGTGCGCACCGTTTCGCCCGCATATCCCGCGCGACGGCTCGACGAAGGTCGTTTCAGGCACAATTGAATTCCGAGATCTTGAGAAAGGTGCTTCCCAGTAGCGTCGATTGTGTGCGATCTGCGAGCTCACGCGTTGTGTAGCGGAGAAAGCTCTTGCGACACTGCAGTCGCGCCCGATCCCAGGCATGCAACCCCCAGTGCTGCTTGTGCTGTCGCCCTACCCATCGACCACTCCTCCGACCCCACTGCCACCACCGAATGCTCTGCCACGGCTTGTGAAGCATCTGCCGCCGGGCTTCACTGACTCACAATTGTACGACCTCTTCCGTCCGTTCGGCGCGCTAGCCTCTGCTCGAACCCAGTCTCCATTTGGGAGAGACACTGGCGTGGTGGAGTTCTGGCGGGAGGAGGATGCGCATCAGGCGGAAGAAGCCATGCACTGCGCAGACGTGGAGGGCCAGAACATCGCAGTGCAAGTATATCAGCCAAGGAGAGCCGGCGGCATCGCAGATTTCAATGCGACTGCGCCGACGTTCGTTCCGACGGGCTCTGTGTATCCGTATCCCACACAGGTACGTGGTCTGCCTTAGGGCGCGCACGCCACCCACCGAGCGCGATCACAGTACTCGCCTCCACGTTCCGTACCATATCATCCTCGATCACCTGTTCCTCCCTTCATGCATGGACCTGGACAGCAGGTACAGCTCGCGCCGCTGAGTGGTCCCGGATCGACCAGTCACAGCGGACTGATCGATCCTTGCAATCTGTTCATTAAAGTGAGTTGACAGATGTGTTACATGCGTTTCCTGGTGCTCATGTGTATCAGAATCTTGATCCCTCAATCGATTCGAACAGCCTCTTTTCACACTTCCGCCAGGTTCGTCTTCGAACTATCGTATGTATGCTATAAGACTGAGATCGAATGGACAGTTTGGTCAAATCGTGAGGTAGGCATGGTAGACGGGACACGAATGTACGAAGCTAACCATCTCACAGTGCTCGAGTTATGCGCAATGAGAGCGGCGAGAGCCGTGGTTTCGGTTTCGTCTCATACCAGACACCCGATCAAGGTGTGCCTTCTGATGTCGTACATGCTCTCTCTCAGGCGCTGACCATCCCCTCAAGCTTCGATGGCAATGCAGACCATGAACGGGATCACACTTGGCTCCAAGCAGCTCGTTGTGCGTCTGCACGAGCCGAAACAGCTGCGGCAAGAGAAGCTGGCGGCGCGATTTGGGGGCCATAATGGACACCCGAGAAGCAGCAGTGGCGCAACCAGCCCCACCGCGAGCGAGGCAGGCGAGAGCTATGCAGGCTGGTCGAGTCCGGGTCACCGTCCGACACCATTATCGCCCATGATGCACAGCGAGCGTCTAGACCGGGGAAGAAGGAGCTCGGGAAGCTACTATCAAGTACGTACTAGAATTGTATGATTCTGTGTGCTCAGCCCTTACGGATTTGGCGGACAGGCCGCCTTGTCGGGCACGCTGAACATGCCTATGCAGTACGATGAACTGTCTACTCTGACACCTGTCGTGCGGAAGGAAGTCTTGACGGGTGAACTGAGCCGACGTATCAAGGCCATGAATGTAGCTTTACCTGAGGAGCTCGATGCTGTAGTGGAGTCGATCGTCGGTCTCTCGCTCATTGATGTCGTCCAGGGCATCCAGGATCCGAGCAAGCTTGTTCAGCAAGTGCGAGTCGCCAAAGGCTCAGTCGGAGTCTCCAAGACCTCCTCTCCCGCCAAATCGCCATCACCCGCAGTATCACAGGACTCGCGCAATCTAGACGTGCTAAATGCGACTGCATCAGCGCCCGACCATCCATCGACGCCCATATCCATGCCTGCGACGCTTTCCACTCCTCCGCGCACAGAATCGCCTTCCGGCTCCGTCGCGCCCACTTCCGAACGCGAGCGCATGTTCGCCGCGGTCAGCAAGCTAGAGTCGGCGCGGATCGCCGAGCTGACCGAGCTCCTGATGAGCCTACCAAAGCGCGAGCGTGCTATGTGTCTGTTCAATGTCGAGGTGTTGCGGGCAAAGATCGCAGATGCCAAGATGGTGCTAGAGGTCGACGAGGGTCAGGAGGAGCAGCATGCAAAGTCGGAGCCGCCTGTAACGCCGCAGGCTAGGAAAGTTGCGACACCCTTTGACGTATCACCGAAGACACCAGATTTGTCCTCGCGGGGACCGTCTGCCGCGGCATCGCCGACGCCACCGACGCCTAGTCAGCTGACGTCGTCCACAACAACGTACACGATTGCATCGCTTGCGCGACTTCCTGCAGCAGAGATTATCAGGCTGGCGAACGGCTCGTCTGCCACGGGGCTGCCCTTGCCGAAGGCCGACCCGGCGGTGGTAAAGGCTACAGATGAATTCATGGATGGCCTGACGGATAAGCCTATTGCACAACAGAAGCAGCAATTGGGCGATAAGATGTAAGATATTTCATCTGCATCTGCTTCCGCGGTGAAGGCTCTGCTCACATGTCATGTGTAGCTTCCGTGCGGTCAAGTCGTTTGGCATCAAGGGAGCCGTACGTCGACTTTTGTGTGGATGTTTGGTGCTCGCTGACTATGGTGAACAGCCCAAGATTACGATTGCTCTCCTTGACCAAGATGAGCTCCGTCCTCTCGCACATCTCGTGAATAGCTACCCATCCGTCCTCAAGGAGAAGGCGCTTCTTGTCCAGGCCTCGGTCAGCAAGTGATCACGGCGGCCTGATATCGATCTTCCCATACATACTCACGATTTCCACGTGTCCCAAGTTCTTCCCGTCAAGCGATATCTACTTTCCTCGAAGCATAGCCTCCTAATCGCCGCACCTTCTCAAGGCGGCTCGTCCCATCAATATTGCAATCATATCGGCCGGATGGTCCCATTCATTTCAATTTCACCTCACCTTAGTGGTTTCCCTCTCATCGCTACTCCTCTACTACCAACCGTTGAGTCACGCAATGCACGGTTCTCGTACTTACTTAACGATACATTTCGCGTAGCTACTTGCTTATGACCTTTACGACCTCCAGTACCGTCCGCTCCTTGCTTGTCTCCACGTGGTGCCTGAGTATCAAATCAATGTGTCATGGGTCCACCAATGGCATGATAACGGAATGATTCGCAGCTAGATGCAATCGGTCAGTTAGAGCGGTCGTACCAGAAAGCTATTTTAACGCAGTCAGAGGCCTTTGATCGACCGATCTTTAATGGAAGCAGTGATTGGACGGGCATCAAGCTCAAGCTCGAGTGTCGAACTCCCAGATATATTATGATACCTGCCCAGTTTGGAGATGTTGTGGCACCACCTGGTTGGCCAGTTTATGTGATGCGTATGCTCATGAAGGATGAGCATCTTCAAAAGGCTGTAGTCAATGGCATAATCGCAGATCTAGCACACCAAGGTATTGAGCCCAAGACATACACCCAGTTTTCGTCCTTTGTAGACTCGAAAAGCAGCTTCGGGCGCTAAGTAAGTACTATATAGTTTCTGGGAGGAGCGGAGTTTAGCTTGAACGCTCACAAGAAGCGGAGCGCCGGAGATGGAAGTGAAAACGGCTGGTTCCATATATGTATGAAGCTGGAGCGGTCTCTGCCTGCAGCCTTTGCGTGTGTGAACGACTTTTGTGAAAGCGGGGGACCTATCGACAGCCCCGGAGAAACCATACTCTGCACGACACTATTGGCTACCGCAACATGGTGTGGTTGCAGAAATTCGTCGCCGCCACATGCTCCCCCATAAATAAAATGTGCCTCCAACTTGTCTCCCACACGCTCCTGCAGCACCCAACTTGCCACCTCTCCGCCAACGAAAATGCCTGTCCGAGCCGACGGCCGTGTTAACGAGCGCATCCAGAACTACACCAAATTTTGGCAGAAGGATCTCAAGAAGGATGATAAGGCGGACACGGACAACCGCGTGGACAGCTACACTGATGTCGTCAACGGTGAGCTGGCTTCTTCTCGTCTCCCTGACGCGACTTATGTTTGAGCTAGGCTACTATGACGGTGCAACCAGCCTGTACGAGTATGGCTGGGCACGTTCGTTCCACTTCTGCCGTTTCTACAAGGGCGAAGCCTTCCAGGCTGCTCTCGCGCGTCACGAGCACTACCTCGCCGCGCAAATGGGCCTGCGTCCGGGAATGCGCGTCCTCGACGTCGGATGCGGTGTCGGTGGGCCTGCGCGCGAGATCGCACGGTTCGCGGACGTCACCGTTGTCGGCTTGAACAACAACGACTTCCAGATCGGCCGCGCACGGAGATATACGAAAGAGGCGGGCCTCGAGAAGCAGGTGTCATTCGTCAAGGGCGATTTCATGAAGTTGTCGGAACAGTTTGGCGAGAACTCGTTCGATGCGGTGTATGCCATCGAGGCGACAGTGCACGCTCCTTCGTTCGAAGGCGTGTACGGTGAGATCATGAAGGTGCTCAAGCCCGGAGGAGTGGTGAGTACCATGTATGCTTACAACCTGCGGATATTTATCGTGGTTCGTGTAGTTCGGTGTGTATGAATGGGTGATGACCGACCGATGGGATCCCAGCAACCCTCAGCACAAGGAGCTCGCACGGAGGATCGAGATCGGCAACGGCATACCCGAGATGCGACCGCTGAAGCAGGCACGCGACGCGATGCGCAAGGTCGGCTTCACCGTCGAGCACGAAGAGGACCTCGCCGAGCGCGATGACGAAGTCCCGTGGTACTACCCGCTCGAGGGCGACGTCTTTAAGGCGCAGACTGCGTGGGACTACTTTACCGTCTGGCGGATGAGCTGGAGTGGCAAGCTCGTCACCCATTACGGGCTGTGGTTCATCGAGCAGGTTGGGCTGGTACCGAAGGGTACCTGGGAGGTTGGCGAAACGCTCAAGGTTGCTGGCGACTCTTTAGTCGATGGCGGCAGGACGAAGGTATGTCCTCTATGTGTGCGGCTTGTGTCGGATTTATCGGTTTCTGACGACGCGTTGTGCTTCTAGCTATTCACACCCATGTTCCTTGCTATCTGCCGGAAGCCTTCGAACTAGGCGTCACTGTCATCGGTTGAATGTCGCTGCTCTACGTCGTTCATGTATACCCTGCTAATATATATCGGGCTTTTCTCGGGACGACGTGGGTTGGACATTGATGTATGCACGTTGTGTTCGTGTAGACACCGTCTGCACCTTGTTCAGTCCATTGTTACCGTGTTGTAGATCTAATGGACAACGAGACGAAAAATTATGAAAGCTCATTTGCGATTCGAAGCACAATGGGCCAGAAATGCCAGACTTCCTTCCCTGAAGGAAAATCGCATAAAGCGAGAGATGGCATTCTGGCGTGTCCGTGGCCGCTGTTTCTGCAGTCGTGATGAATGAACGTTGAACGGTAAGAGCAGCTAGCCGGCGCTAAAGGCGTTCTCGCATCACATGATACGATGCACCTTCCTAAAACAGACGTGGCACAAGAAGGCCGGTGATGGCCGAGTCGAGTTTCCCCCCATGTCTGAACGTAAGCCATAGCAATGGGGCTTGTTTTATAATTCTTGTGGCAATTTCTTTGCTGCCTACCACGCCTATAACGTGGCTAGAACGCCTATTTTATGCTATCATTGCATACAGACAGTCAATCTATAGTTCTGGCTTATGATGTTTATGATTTGTGAGCTCCCAGGAACCAGGGATATGGAGAAGTTGAAAACCAAGTGCTGCAGCCGGAAACGAAAACGAAAATAAATCCATTGATGGGATTGCGGGAAGCGTGATCGTGTGAACGAAATGCCTGTACGAGCGGATGAACGCGTACACCTGCGTATTCGTGCAGTAATGCAGCCAACTCTATCTCGACTGTCCTGTTTCTCACCCCATTGAACTGCTTTCGCGATGGATGATGTCGAAATGAAACCCGTTGACGAAATGCCGAACGGCGAGGTCGAAGAGAAAAAGGAAGAGGAATCCAAGCAGCCACTATCTCCAGTCGAGGAGATCAAGTCCAATGTCGCGCTCATCGAGCGAGCGGTCTCAACACTCGAGCCGCGCTTTACGCACCGCGTTCTTCGTACACTTGGTGCGCTGCGCAAAAAGCTGGATGACAAGGTGCTCCATGATGCCATTGATGAGATATACACCAATGGTACGCGGTCACACAATACCTTGCATCATGCTTCTCAGACCATGCTAGCGGACTCTCCGTCGAAGAAGGCTCTTCTCTCGTGGATACCAGGTGCAGCGGAGCAGGAGGGCCTTATGGAAGTTGACTCCGCCCCTCAACCCAAGCACGCGCAGCCGGAACCCGTACCAGAGAGTGAAATCTACTTCCGTCTGCTCATCCTGCATCACCTCCTCGCGTCGCCGAGTGCATACCCGCGAGCTATGGAGCTCGCACATGAGACTATACAGAGGATGCAGTCGCTCAACCGACGCAGTATGGACCCGATTGCGGCCAAAGTGTGGTACGCGCTAGAGCGGACGTACGAGCTCGGCGGAGAGCTTGCTGATGCACGTCCGTACGTCTTTTACCCACTCTCCACGCTTATAGCAAATGTTCACCTTACGCAGTCTCTTCCTGGCTGCCCAACGGACTGCATCATTACGTCACGACGACGAGACGCAAGCGTCGCTCATCAACCGCTTGCTTCGGAGCTACCTGAACTACAACCTCTATGACCAGGCAGACAAGCTCGTGTCCAAGACGACGTTCCCCGTATCCGCCGCGAACCCGCAGTACGCTCGCTACCACTACTACCTCGGCCGAATCAAGGCAGTTCAGTTGAACTACACGGCTGCCCACACAAATTTGCAGCAAGCCATCAGGCGAGCGCCGCCGGCCAAGACGGCGCCTGGATTCTACCAAGCAGTACACAAGCTGTCTGTAGTGGTGGACCTGTTGATGGGTGAGATCCCGGACCGAAGTCTGTTCAGGCATCCGGTGCTGGAGAAGGCTTTGAACGGATACTTCGAGATCGTCAAAGGTGCGTACCGGGTTTGCGTCACCCGAACGGCCAGTAATCTCATAGCCTTGACAGCGGTCCGCATGGGCTCGCTCTCGCAATTTCAGTCCACGCTCTCGAAACACGCTGCGCAGTTCGAAAAGGACCGGACGTACACGCTGATCGTGCGGCTGCGGCAGAACGTGATCAAGACCGGTATCCGGCGGCTCTCGCTCTCGTACTCGCGCATCTCGCTCCGGGACATCTGCGTCAAGCTCCACCTCGACTCGGAGGAGGACGCGGAGTACATCGTCGGCAAGGCGATCCGCGACGGCGTCATCGAGGGCCGTATCGTGCACGAGAAAGGGTGGATGGAGTGCGGCGGCCAGAAGAGCGGGTACGGGCCCGAGGTGAGCGACGTATTCGCGCGTCGGATCACGTACTGCTTGGAGCTGCACAACCAGAGCGTGAAGGTGAGCATCGACGGCTGTGCTATCGCGTGGTTTGGTATAGTCTTTGACCTGCGATGTGCGATAGGCTATGCGGTATCCATTGAACGCGCACCGGAAAGAACTTGCTGCCGCGGAGGGCGCGCGGGAGCGCGAGAAGGAGCTCGCGAAAGAGATTCAGGAAGGTGGAGACCTGGATGAGGATGGTCCGGACTTGGGAGAGGGATTCTGAATGTGACATTCGGCGGTCTGCGTGTATTGCATGAATGTGATCATTAATTTCTTACTACAAACTTGAATGGCGGTTCTAATTTACTGCGAAGAAAGAAAAGGCGCCACAAGGTTCAGCGTCTTCACTTTGGCGACATGACTGTATCATAGCCAGTGTGCCTCCGGGTTGTGCTCGCGATCGTGAAAGAACGTTGCTCTAACGCGCGCCTCGCCAACTCGAAAGACTTGCATTCCGTCACTGATGAGATGGAACGCCACCAACAGTTTCGGAGCGATGCCGAATCAATCTGAGTCAAGAATGTTGCGTCTGCTGAGTACGTCGTCTGCACCAGCTCTTGGCCCTTGACCTGGTCGGGGTGGATGACAATGGTCATGTTCTCTGATACCGCTGAGGAGATGGCCATAAGAATTCCAGGAAACGGGGCAAGAGTGGCATGGTCGGGAAGGGTGAACTGCAGGGAACTGTAGCCGGGCCATATGGGATAAACTGAGGGCGCTGAAATATGAAGACGACCTCATAGCGCAAGGAAATGCACCATAGTGGAGGGTGAGCAACAATATACACAAGTGTTTTATACCAGCTGCGGTGTCCCGGCTGTTCAGGAACTCGATCAGGGCTTGCGACTCCCACTCGAGACAGTCGCACACCAGCTTGCGCAATTGAGGCTTCGGTGAGACGTGCAACCGCCTTAAGTAGGGCCCTGCACGGTGTCGCATCAGCCCTGCACGGCGAGGCTCTGAACGTAGACAGGATCAGACGGAGAGAGATGAGAAGTCAAAACTGACTCTGGGGCTCCTCCCATTGACGTCAGCGCATGCTCGCCGCTGGGCGTACGTAGATAGCCGTGTGCACATACGACCGTGTAGATGTCCTCGTTAGCATCAAAGCGAACATTCTCCACGTTTTATGTTCAGAGTGTCAGGAAAGAATCCAGGGTGGTAAGCTTCGTTCGTTTCTCGAAGTCGCTCTTCTAAGTTAGCCCTTTGAGAGCCAAACTATACTTACATGCCCTCGGGGACGGTCAGCAGGTCAGGACGCTAACGTTCATCCAGACTCTGCGTGAGATCGGGCGGATCCGCCAAAATCTGGAGTTCGAAGACAAACAGGACTATCCCAAGAGAGCTACACAGTATAATGCCGAAGAGAACACGTCGCGAGAACAGAAGAGCTTTGTAGAGGGGTGCAGGTGAGCGCATGCCCCGGTAGAGCCGCAATCTATGGGGTTTTAGATGCACGGGAACAGGATCTTGCATCCGTGACTGAGCACGTCGATGATGTGCTCCCATATATCCAGCGAGGGACACTGTTCCTGGGAGGAAGCCTGCGCCCCGGCGGCAGAACGGCGAATGCAGGCGGGCCGGCAGATCGAGAAATAAAACTAAGAGGAATGCGTTTGATAAAGGCTCGCATATTTGAAGTAACTCGCATTTAATCATGAGCCGCAGATATCTTCATTCCGTGTATCAGTCGTCCAGATAGACTGTCACAAAACCAGGTTCTATCAAGTCAGTTAGTTTTGAAATAGCGTTGATGATGTATGCCAGCAATTCAGTAGCACCTCTAGCGCAAGATATTGGGGGATTATCTACCCATGCGAAGTTGGCATCAAGTATATTCGAGGCCACACGGTCAAAGATTTGGCAGATGGAAGAGCGAGTGTCGGGGATGAAGTGATGAAGGTTGGACTTGCGCCCTTTCGGCAACTGCCGGATGCCTGACGACATCTCACTGGAGACTTCTCTCCGTGATTTCACGCTAGATTACCATATCCGGTTAGCATCATTGACTTTCCAAGCACGAGGCGGTGTTTTGGGTCCCGGATGCTGCGGACTCGCCACTGTTATGTTGAGTCAACCGTACTGACTCAAACGTCATTGGATGTTGAGTGCGGCATGCGCCGCGATCTCAATCTCACAGTCACGTTTGCTTGACCAAACGTTGAATGGGCTCCTTCGGACAACAGATCAAGCATTTTGAATTCGTGATCAACGTTCAATGTCTCAAATAATTGACTCAAGGCTCTCAGAATCTCAAAAATCATCAATCATGGAATCACATTTACACTGATGAAAGCTTCATTGAGTTTGGAGCGGTTCCAGAGTCTGGTTTCATCGTTCGTACTTTGTGGGTCCTTCACACTACACTAAATCAAAATGTATTGATCCAAGTCACCCACATAAAAACTCGTGCTCACTCTTTCTTGCATCATGGATGTTGATGGGTTCGTGAAGCCGATAGCGCAGGCGGAGACTGTGTCCTCGGACAAAGGTGTAGATGAGCAGGCCGAAGGCGAGCGTTCAAAGCCGAAGAAGAGCAAGAGAAGGGAACGTGCAGAAATGGCTCTCGCTGTGCACAAACCACTGAAACGACGACTGTTGTATCATGCCCGTACGCCCGTTCTACATTATGCACACGCTTATCAAAAACCTCATAATGACCTAGACATCGCGCCCATCGTGCCCGACACTCGCATCAAAAGGCCTTGCTGCCAAGTTGGCCAAGGCCATCTCTCAGATCCTCGGTATCGCACCGTCGTCAACCCTCAATGCACCCTCCTTAATTACCTCAGCAAGCTCTACGCCCTTTATCGCTCTCGAAACGCTTGCCTCCAAGTCTGCCACAGCTTCTGCCGAGTTCAAGCTCCAGGACCTGACAACCTCGAGCAAGAGCGTCATGGACTATCTCCGCGAAAAGCTCTCCGCGAAGAACAACCGTGCTTCCGTATTCATGAAGAGGCGTCTGCTGCACGATTATGATGACCGTCCACGGGGTGGTCTAGGGCTGCGAGATCGCGGGTCGAATACCAGGCCAGCAAGGACTATGACAGTCGCTCTAATCGCTAGTACCGTTCCGTCACTGAACTCTGGAGTCAACGGTAGTGGAGCAGTTTGGCGTGGCTGATCCGCGCCACTTCCGAAAACGCGTCACCCAGATCACGTGGCCGCGTTTGACGAGCGCTAACGGACCTCGCCGCGCGTCCGACGCGACCGCAATTGTCTGCACTTCCTCTGTGCCGGAGCGCCCGTATGGCCTTTGCAATCCGAGTCGTAATAGCTGGGAAGGGTGCTCGCAATTCCGTAAAATACACTGAGGAGATAGCAGGAGCGGCGACGGATAGGTCCAGACCAGCCAAACGTGCGCGAAAGGAAAAGACGCGGACATCAGCCAAAGTAGCATTCAAGGATTCGGGAGAAAGTCTGCTCGAGGATGTTGAAAATGAGGTACCGAAATCGAAGCGGGTGAGTCAAAAACCTATGGCTGGCAAGCCCGTTTCTACCGATTTTGCTCCGAAGACTGTAATCGCGTGGAAGATCGGCCCACATGTCTCAGATGCAGGCGAAGTTGAGAATACCATCGTGAATGCCGCGGCAGTTGGGTGAAAGCAAATGTAATGAGGCTACCGTGGTGACTGACTCGTTACTAGTGCGAATGCTTTGCAGTGTTCGACAAGTCACAGCGAAGTTGGGCTTCATCGCCCCTGACCAGCGAGTCTATCGCCTCGCCAAGTCACTCATGAAAGCGTTTGGATATAGCGCATGTCATATACTGCCACATCAAAACTACTTCATAAACCTTGGCAACCCCGACAAGTATGCACTTTTGATTGTTCTTCCCATGGCAAGTGATTGATCATTCCTGCTTGCAGAAAGAAGCGAGAGAAGTCATAACAATACTTTCTGGATGAGTTGAAGATATTCGAAGATCTTGGTCTACATCTTCACAACTTCCAGTGAGATTCCACTGTCACCGACTGTCACAATCTCGTGGCTGACACATCTGACAAAATGTTAGCCCGGGTTCATCCGTCAGCTGAGCAACGGCAGAAGTATCTCTCCTTCATTGCCGAGTGTATCAATAGAGCACGTAAGGAGACTAAGGCAGTGGTGATCATTCTGGAGAACACGGTCCGCTATTTCCTGCTCTGTCTATGCACCTAATCGAGCGAGCGGATGACCACAAGGCCGGTGCAGGAAGTGTACTTGGCCCGCGCTTCTCAGAGCTGGAGGGAGATCATCAAGCAGTTAGAGGACAAGAGCAGAGCCGGAGTCTGCCTAGATACATGTACGTGACTCAAATCTCGACTTATCGGCACAAATTGTCTGAGTAAAAATTTCAGGTCATACGGTCGCTGCGGTATGTAGTATCGGATTTCATACACAAGCAACATCTCATCTCTATCGGTTGTGCAAGGTTACGATATGAGAACGAAAGATGATTGAAGTAAGTTGCGCTACCGCAGGCCCTCAAAAGCGTCGAACTCAATTGACGACGCCTTTGTTGCAGCGACACGAGTGGGTGGCCAACCTGGACCGCTCTCACTTGCATCTCTAACCGAGTTTGGAAGCCAAGTCGGTCTGCAGTACCTCTGCGGCATGCACATCAACGACTCAAAGCTGCTCTGGGAAGCAAACAGGACCAGCACCAAAACGTCGGGCTGTATGTGATTATACTTCATAGCAACGTCTCAGTAAATATATGATCATACAATGCGCCTGCAACGGTGAGCTCGGCCTCACTACCTTTGCCTACATCCTCTCAGACCCGCGCACCAAGGGTATCCCGCTCATCCTCGCGACGCCCGCGTTCGACACCATCGCTTCGGGCAGGATCGTGTGGAGAAAGGAACTGAGGTCCTCAACCTTTTCTCAACCCTTGCGAAGGGGAAGAATACGGACCTGGAGGGGTGGGTCACGGAGATCGCAACGGTGGCTTAGAAAGCAAGCGGGGCAAAGAATGAAAAGGGACGGAAGGTGAGCACCACGAAGAGGAAGACGCGGAAGAGGAATGGGGAGAAGTTGGAGGATGAGGATGAGGGGGGAAGACGGTGAGGATGAACATCTGAAAACGACGGTGTAACTATCGGATTACGAGCGCTGTCAACGCGTCGGACTCTGCGGTCTTCGATACGACGACCAACGTCACATTAGGTCGATTATGACGGAAACATTTCGCAAGAACGCACTGCGGCTGACAGTAGAGTGAGATGATGAAGGCTCTGCGGAGGGGTAGTATCGACGCTTCTTCGTCGCTGGTTCTGGGGCTTCTGATGGTGCAGTGTCCTCATTGTCACCGTTAACTTCAATGATGTTGGCCTCATCCGTGAATGCAGTTTGGAGGCGTTGTGACTGGTTGTCCTCATCGACCGCACCGTGCTTTGGAGATCTCTTTCGTTTCCCTGCCCCTGCTATCCTCTTGGCTTCCTGTGCAGCCTCATTCTCTTCGAGCTGCTGCTTCTTGTGTGTTCTGGTGACATTCGTTTTGGTCCGCTTTGCTTCCATACCAGTATTATAGTCCTCCACGAGCTCTGGATGCACCTGGCGCATCATTGAAGCCGGTATCCACATCTTCATAATGCTACGCGGGTCTGGAGGCAGTTTTATGGCAGGTCCTGCATTTCTGACATTGCCGGAAGGCTCAGCGTGTTTTCCTCTAATGCCCGAGTGGGCCAAAGAGACTAACTGTGCCGGATCAACCTCTACTCGATATTCGAGGATGTTGTCCGTGGAAACATGCCGGCGAGAGCCGACTACCCTCTTGATTAGATTCGAATCATGGACATGGGTCGGCCGAGATGCATGGTTGTCTCCGTTAACGAATACTGCAGTTCGACAGTTAACATCGCTCGGGTTGAGGTATCTGTTGACAAATAAGGAAGGCGTTCCAAAGGCATCATCTCGTGAGGGAGTGAGGGGGCCTTTAATGGTAACACCACCCCGACCAGCTTTGAGTCTTTTTGCCACCTCCTCTTTGTCAGCTTCCAACGCCGCACGTCGAACGATACGTATTATAGCAGCCTCCCATATCAGATCTCGGAACCGCTTTACGATTGCAGACCGGTAGCCCCACTCGTCAAAGTAAGTTTCGCAAAATGCTGCGGCCTCTGGGATATTTAGTTCAGCATTATCTCGTAGAGCACCTCCGCCTTGACGGCCACCACTGGCACTGTTTAGTGGGTTCACATAGCTCCGCAGTAGCTGCACATTTGGGAAGTGGTCCGGTATGTGCAGGGATGGATAGGAATAGCGTAGGAGACCTCGAGCGTTTGTCTTGAGCTCGGTGTTCAAATCTGCACGCCACTGTGCGAGGAATGGAAACAAATCCCGCTGGTCATGCTGTTGATATGCATTGAGGAGCGTGTCGCCGAATCCCAATCGAGCCAATGCATGAGATATCTGAGGACCAAAGCCTCTCAAGCCCTAAAACATCCATTGTAATCAGAATTTGTGAGTCACGTATAATGCTTTGAAACTGTTTACATTGCCATAGTCCCCCCCGGACAAAAGGGCGAAAAGTATCAACCCGCCTCTGGATAGAGAAACATCCGAATGAGTGCGAATTAGATCGATGGTGTACACCATGACATGGTGCTGGCTGAGCTTTCCTGCTGAGTTGAGTGCTGGATATGCCTTATTTCCCGATAGATTGAGACTGGAACTGGACACAGATGGATTTCAGTCTCAGGCAATGGCCAGGCGGGGAATGGACGCACTTCCTTATGATAGTCCGAGCACCAAAAACGAGGGCGTCGACGTCATCAGTCATGACAGCATCTATTACCCCAGTCTGATTGAGGTATGCCAACTCGGCTTCAGCCTCTCCTCGTGCCTGGGATAGAAAATCAGCTCAGTTACAGGAGTTTGGTGCCAGATACTCACGATCCGCCATTCCATCCCGAAAATGTCAAGAAGTTTTTTCAGACCAGCAGTCAGCTTATGAAAGCCTGACTTGCCCACCCTGCTCCCCCTCTTTATCTTCGGCCGCTCAGGACCATCCAACACAAAGAGGAGAACGAGAGGAAGCTCTGCTAGACGTCGCAAGCGGAAGAACAGCGTGCGTAGTTCGGGGTTCTTTCCACCCTTGACGTGGCTAACATGATAACACCATATACTTGCATCAATTCCTACCCAGTAGGCTCGCCTTCCTGACTCGTTCTCCTCAAAGCCATCCACGACAGCGAGGTGTGTTAACGAGCGTGACTGCCCCGCCTTGTGCAAGATCTGCATGACAGGATGTGTTCATCGAAGTCTTATAAACTCTTCTCTGAGACTCACCTGCCATAATCCTTGCACGCCCATGATGCGAGTACGGACGTGGTTCGGCGTAAGAAGGGCTGATCTATATGTGGTCTTATAGATGGATTGCAGGGTCAAGGTTAAAGTAGTAAGGATGAGAACGTCGAGTCGACGAAGCGTGAGTGTGTCAGGTCCTTTTAACGCGACGGAAACATGATCGCCAGACATTGCTTTACAAGAATCTTGAGTCAACATTCAAATTTCAAGAGTCAAAGTTCATGGAGTCAGACGGACCGGTGGGAGTGATTAGGATTGACCCGAGACCGAGACACATAAAGAACGACTTGGGTCATATCATGTAAAGCCGTCATTCATGATGATCTGTGTCGAAGTTTTGATGATCAAAACTAAGAGTATTTCACCTCGGACTACGAGCCACGTAGTACTGACGCACTAAATTATTGACTTTGGTCATGCCATGTTGAGCAGCCGTCTCCAGCATGTTCGTGGACTAGGGTGAAACGGCCAGAAAATGTGTCTATCACATCAAAACATGGTGCGTTTCTGATATTTCGTACAGGGGTAGGTAGCAGGAATCGCCTTGATATGGAAATGCCGCGGCAACTGGGAGATTTAATCGAGTAGACCTAACCTTACGAATGCTTGCGGACATTAACGCGAAGCCGTGTATACGTTCGTATGACAGCCCGAACAACTTGGAAAGTAGGGTCAGAGTAGCAACGATTGAACTCGCACTTCTTCTCATTGGTGAGCTTGTCAGATTGCCAGGTCAGCTTCCCACCTCACGAAGTTACCCTAAACGGAACACAACATCACACAAAACTCTCTTGCCACGCGTTCTGCACTCACCCCAACTGCTTTTTTGTGGTCACAAAAGCCTTCTCCCGAGTGATGAAGGTGAGCACGACTTTGGCGAAGAACTCGGACGCGTGCCGCAGCTTGAACTCGAGCGCAGTCCGAACCTCGGTAGGGAAGCCCATGTAGAGCGGAGCGGGAGGCACCGACAACGCAGCTTTCGCGTGCTCATCGAGCAATTGCGCCCATTAATATAGCTTGGGCAATCCCTGGACATAGACCGCTGACGAATCGAGACTGAAACCAGCGTAATAGAACATATTGATCAGTAGCATTAATATGAAAGACGCACTTCTTCCCATTGGTGAGCTTGTCAGATTGCCAGGTCAGCTTCCCACCTCACGAAGTAGCCTAAACGGAACACGACATCACACGAAACTCTCTTGCCACGCATTCTGCACTCACCCCAACTGCTTTTTTTTGTCACAAGAGCCTTCTCCCGACGCCCAGCTTCTTCCCGAGTTGCCCACAACTCCATCGCACGCGCTCGCAAACTCTTCCAACTTCATCGGCCACTGCTCGTCCTCCTTTCTTCCAATGCTGCCAATCCCTAGCGCCATTCTGCTGCTCACATTCCCTGCACCGAAATATTCTACGCGCCAACACTGCAGTTCGTCCAGCGCAGAGCATAGCACCTCTACCACTCGAATCTTCTCCGGGATATTGGTGAGCTTGCACTGCCCTGTGACCACACCTCTTGCGGCACATGCAGCCAGCGGGTGATATACGCGCCCGCCTTGGAAGTCATCGTCTGCCGGAGAAGAAAAGTCATATGGTGTGTTCTTCGCATAGGTTATGGCCAGGCCAGCGGCGCAGCGGGTATGTTTCCGTAAGGTATTGGCGGCGGACAAGTGGCATGATCATCGTTGGGCCCAACCGGGGCAACATTAAAGCAGTGTTGATCGAGATCAGAGGGGATACATTAGGGTCGAGGCGAGAGGGAATCGACGGTTTTCGCGGAGCGGAGGCGTCATTGGGCATGGTAGTTGCCCCAGATGGGAAGTAAAAACCTGAAGCTGTGGATGAAGAGCGGCCCGGCTGCGATGATTCTCTGTTACGTGAGCCAATGCCCAAACTCAACACAGTGCTTGCAGATAACGCGGATGCTGTTAAACGGCCGTATTCGGTATCGAGGTGGCGGAAGCAGTGGACTCTGTTGGTAAAGAGGTGTTCGACGGTACAATCGAAGTCTTATGCCGTCGCGGCGAGATGGTACCCAGGTGAGGAGATGTGTTGATCAACGATGGCCTAACCGCGGGTGCTGCAGCCTCTGAGCGCACGGAAAATTCTGAACCACCTCTGGGCCTTGGGGTCGTGAGCTGCGTGGCATTATGAGGCGAGGGTGACTCCGAGGCACTCCCAGTAACAGGTGCAGCAATACGAGCGTTTATCGGTGAACCCGCTGAAGATGGCAAAAGAGGCAATGAGTGTGACTCATGGGAGGTGACCGATGATGTTCCAGAATGTAAGGACACTCTCGACTTTGACGGAACAGATCCATCGCTGAGAGCGGGAAGTGGTGTCGTCTCGCTTGGAGGCGACGATAGATCCTCCATCCTCTCCTCCTGCAGAGACGCTAGGCGGCCTGCAGGACTTGTGCACGAATGGCTTGCAGAGCTGACAGAATCGCCTCTCCTTCGGCCGCTTTCAGACGCTCTCAAGTGACCTGCGGATGTTGGCTCTGCAGTCAATTCCACAGCAACATGCGCTGGCACCGGAGTCAGCGGTGGCGATTTCGTAGGAGGTGGGGCAGGAGGCGGAAGGGAGGATGACGCACGAGGTCGCAGACTGCTCCGCACAGTATGCGCCCTTTTTGGTAGGCTGGTTGATACAGTGGGTGTCGTAGAGCTTGCAGTGCATGGACGTGAACTACTACCAGCGCCAACCCCCGGGGACGCTGTCCGGAAAACTGAGTATAGCACAGTCGACATGGACAAAGCAGTGCCGATCGCTTCCGCAGCATCCACCTCGTCATCACCTGAGCTGTCGTTATATCTAATAGTGTCTGCAGGGTAGCGAAGTCCATCACGACTTCGCGGGCGTAGATGTGGCTGAAGATGCTGGCGAGAATTGGATGACTCTGCGGAAGGGGAATATGAATGACGGTGAGGATGGTCGCGTCGAGTCGGTGGACTGCGACAAGGACGACGCATATGCCGAGGGAGGCGATGTTGATGGCAATAGTATGCTGTATATGAAGCTGAGGGTATTCATATGGTCCGCATATGTATCATGCTATTTGTTGGGTGGGGATGGAGGGCATACAAGCGCGATTAGATTGTGAATGGTTGCTATCCACTTATATCACTTACGATCGACTTCAGTCGCCTGACTTCCTCTTCCTGCACTACCATACTTCTCCGGCTTCCATTCTATTTTCTATCATTTTCCATGCTATCTTGGCCCCTCGTGAAGCACGACCGGACGGGACCGCTGTCTCAACAATACAGAGCCCCGTATTGGCAAAGCGAAGGAAATCCAGGGTTATTGCCTCCAGACAGAAATCCCAAAGAGTTGTGGGGCGAAGAATCGAGCCCACTGTATGCACAGCAAGGAGGCAACAGGCAAAGTCAACACAACTAGAGGGTGGACATAAGCAGAGACGAGACAGACGTTAGGTACCGATTGGCGCTCGATCAGCTCGGCACGATGGAAGTGACTGTCGAGATTAAGGCTGTTGCAGTGATGTATACCGGGACGAAGATGAAGATATGTCGCATGAGATAATGAGCAGGACGGTGGAACAAGAGAGCGGGAAAAACCAGGATGAGAAGATCGCCTGCAGCCACCGAAACGGAGCGGGCGCTTGTGAGCTTTCGTTCCACGGGCTCCAGCCTTCTTGTGCTCATTGCTGTCGATCTTTGTCAGGGCAGGATCCGAGAACTGATCAGGATGTGAGCGGGGTGCTCACTGCTCAGTGTCCAACTGTCTGATGACGCCCGGTGGCTGCATACGATTATTCTTTACTCCCAACGCGGATCGGAGCACGTGGGCAGACAGCAAGTGGCAGGCGTGGCGGATGACCTAGCAACAGACAAGATGAAGAAAGCCATATTTGCAGAGCGTACAGACTGCGGATAGGACGGTGACGCGAGGCCCAGGGAGGAACGTTATCGCTGCTGGGGCGTCTTTAGGCTTGACGCGCACACGTGACTGGGACACGCATTTCGAGTGGACTTGCCACATGCTGCACCAGTCTCCTAAGTGCCCTCGGTTCTGATGCTGCTATTCATCCACTTCGTCAGTACCTGGTACCGCACTTGGTCTTTAGAACCACAACTGATCCTTGGCTGTTGGCTTCGGGACGGTATTGTCATATGCATCAAGACCATTCCGAGAGCTGGATGTTCTGGGAAGGAAATCATGTCGTTGGTCCCCAATCCCTCGCTTCTCCGAATGCAAGACTTATACATTGACATTCACAGCTCCCGCAACTCTTATCGGTTTGCGGCTTGATTTATTGCATTTTCTGACCATGCTAAAACCCGCACCCCAGAAAGTCGCGTCTACGGGGCATTGTTCCTGCAACATGTTCACCGAACGTGTTTCCCTTCACGGATTTTATTTCCTGTGACATCTCATCACCACCCCGTCACATTGCCTTGCCCGCCACCTGCCTTCCCCGCCGCAGTATGGTTGGCGCCTTGCGGCACCGTAGAACCGATTGGTCCATCAGCTTGAGGCCTGAGGAACTGTCGAAGCGTCGTGTACAATGTGCTGTAGCACAATAATAGATTGATTGCATACATCAAGTACAATGAGATACCGATCCGTGAGATAATGAGCAAGATACCGGAGGAGGTGTACGTCGATGCAAGACATGACAGGGACAAGAGTACGTTCTGCTATAGATGAGTAGAAATAAGTATCGTCACGACTCGTAAATCATCCCTAAAGCATATTGCCCGACTTGCACGATGTCTTCAGGCCATTTTCGCCAACATACGCTCATCGAGGTCAACTTCGGCCTGAAGTTGAAATGGACAGGATAAGATGCTCAGACACCTCTGCCGTATGTCACATCGAACGCATTGCTAACACTGGATCTGTGTTCGGAGGTCGTTCTACGAGCCATAGCCCCAATGGCTCCCGAGTTCTTCAAGACCCAAACCTGCTCGGCCAGATCCAAGACCTCCTGCGGGTACCGGACATAGCTTCGACCCAGCTCCGGCTGCATAAGCGTGGCTACATTCGCATAAGGCGTCCCCGTATTGAATACGGTGTCGTGGCGCGAGTTGTCAGGTAAATGCACTGCAGCTTCTGCATGGCCAGCAGTTGTGATGGGCATGTGCGGCGTGGATATGATATTCCCAGTGCTGGTCCCCAAAATACCATGGCTCCCACTCCGGTCGTCAGCGTAGTGCTCCGTCCCGTAGTGAACAGACCCAATTGGGTGCACATAGCTTGGACGAGAGAGCTCCGAGGAGTCATTCCGGTCCTTGACGTCCTCCTGTATGGCTTGTGCATCCCGCCCCGCTGACTGGGTAGAACCAGAGGGTGCCCTCTCCGTTATAGCAGCTCCACGACTCGCCCCAATCGATTGCTGGGAGGCGAGGGACTTGCTGATTTCTGAGCTGGCTGCAGCTAGAGGCTTCGCGGGTGTCGGCGGTTGGACATGAATCTTGAGTGTGCTGACGTTATGGTGTGCTCGCGTCTCTCCCGACGTCGTGTGAGATCCTTCATCGACTTGTCGCCGCTTTCTTGCAGAGCCTGTACGTTCTAGATCTGAATGAATCACTATGGGACGATGTAAAGAGCGAACAACTGTACCTTCGGCTTCATGTTTTGCCTGTGCCTCGAATGACCCCAGCCCCGACGTCGTTTTGGATCCTTCCTCGATTTGTCGCCGCTTTCCTTTAGATTGTGTACGTGCCACTTCTGAATTCAGCACTATTGGATCATGTGAAGAGCGAGCGACTGTACCTTCCGCTTCATGTTCATGTTTTGCCTGTGCCTCTGATGACTCGGGCCCAGACGTCGCGCGAGATCCTTCGTCGCCCTGTCGCCACCCCACTGCAGAGCGTCTCCCTGTTCCATCTATCCATTAACAAATCTAGACAGCCTGCCAGTAAATCACTTCACCTTTCAGTCCCTTGTTCAAGTCAGAAGGATCGTGAACCCCAGACACTCCGGTGCTTGAATTTGCTGCAGTACGAATTCGTTTGGAAGGACCAACTTGATCGTCTATTTGTGCCTCCCGCTTCGCGCCACGATAAAGAACAGATGCACAGTTATGCTCTGAGGCGGAATTGTCGGCTTGATGAGTGCTGGTATAGACAGCCTCATGATCTTCTCTTCGTGCGATGAACACTTTGAGGCAGGGTCGACCCTTGCGTGCGGTATCAACACCTTGAAGAACCAAGGAGCCATTATGAGCTGGTCCTTTGTCACCTACGAGAGCATAATGTCAGGAATTGATTGGGTGAGTGGGCTGGAAGTCGTATCACACCTATCGAAGAATGCTTGTCCACATGGATGCGATCTTCTGGGGGAGCCTCAATGAGAGCGAAGTACAAGCGATCAACCTGGGTGTGGTCAAGACCTGCTAGACCAGCATTGTCATCATACAGAATGGTCCACGGAACGTCATCTGGCCAATTAAAACATGCCAGGCCTAAATCAAACAAGGTTGGTAAGAGATGTTTGCTGCCTCTATATTTCTCAGTCATGCCGTTCGTCCCTGCAGGAAAAACAACATTGTGTCAGTGAACAAAAAGTCCAACAGAACAATGCGCACGTAATAGTTCTTCAAATGTGCCCTCTATTTCGGACAAGGCAGCATGCTTCCCTTTGGCTGAGACGTCTGACAGCCAATCGACATGCTCTGTGGGAGCAATCAGAGGAGCTCCTGTGTCCGCACCCATGTTCACACAATCTGAAGCAAAATCATTGTGGATGAGAGTGGAAGACATAATGATGCGGGCAGTGGAGTGGTTGTGCCTGGCGCAAGGTAAGATACGCCCAAAGCAACGACACGATGATGTACCAGACATGAGCTTTGAGATGCCCAATGGCTTCATCGGTTGACGCGTGGGTGAGCTTGCGTAGGAACTAGGGGAAGGTGGCTGTCAGCATCGTAGACTCGGAAACGGCGCCAACCGTGACACGTACTCCCTCACTTTCCGACGATTCGTACGCCATTCCTATCCCGCCATCCTTCACGATGTTATTCCCAGCCATGATCAGCACGGAATGCAATCCGTGATTCTCAGCAAGAGCGTTGAGCTATAGAATTCACAGCTTAGAACGCGAATATATGAGAGAGAACCGCCACTGCAGAACGTACCAAGGATGTCAGCCTTTGCGTGAAGTAATTTGACAGATGCTCGCGTTCTTGAGGCGCATTGCCATCAATGGCGATGTCAGACATTCTGTCTTCAAGCTTGATGATAGATGGCCACGTCATAGGATGGGTGCGTCGGAATTGTCGCCAACAGTTGTATATGTGATCAGCGTCATTGCTCTCGTCTATCATACCAGGCGTGAGTTGTAGGTAGACACAAGGGTTATAATGTGACGGAGAGCAGTACGCACTGTCATTCGTGGCTGCGGGCACTCGGCTGGATTCTTCCATGACGTGTTCCGAATAGTAGCCTTCATAGAGTTTATACGCAAGCTGCTCCTCCTCTGAGTCCAGTCGGTAGGTGTCATAGCGCGCAAGCACGTCCCCCAAGGATATGTTCAAACATTTTGCGACAGCCTGAAAAGAGGAGTCTATGAGCTCGAACTCTTTCAGTATGGTGGCGTTGTCGCCTCCATCGCCGTCATCATCGTTATCGTCATCGTAGGAGTTCCATTCAGTGTCAGCAACCCTTCCTTCTGGGGCAGGTCCATCAGGATTGCTACCGTATTGTGCGCGGACGTCTGCCTTGCTCGATACTTGATCGACGCTTCTGAAAGGCGTACCTCGTCTTTGGCCTGCCGTCACAACCGATTCCGCGCATGGATCCTCCATGATCGGCATGAGCCCTTTCAACCCAGCCCTCATAGAAGGGCGACTGTCCGATTTCTGAGGGAGGCCGCGAGAGGGACTTCGTGAGAGATGGCCGGTCGCGTGGATATTGGGCGAAACGAGGCTTGCGGCCGCTTGACTGAATCCGTTATCTGCGGGAAAATTTTCTGTGGTAACCGACAAGCGTGCCGAGGACCCAGTCTCCACAACAGAGTATCGACCTTTCTGTATTGTTTTATGGCGAGCAGGGATGTCGGACGTGGCAGGTAGGCTTGCAGGCAATTGACCGCACGACAGCGTAGGACTTTGAAGTCCACCGGCAGTTTCAGTTTGCTGTTGTAAAACGAGCTTCTGCTGGTTGTCTAGTTTGCCCTGCAGCATGCGAGCTGTCGGTGTCAATGAAGGCGGACGTGGAGAAGTGCGCATGTCCCTGTTCTCATGATGGAAGTTGCGAGAAGGATCAACCGAACGCTGTATTACCGTCGACTCATCACTGGTAAGAGGATCCGGTTGCGGCGAGCTTCCATCGTCTTGGCCAGGAGAACCTTCGTCATGCGGGGCTGGGTCCTGCTCGTTCTTAAGCATTTGGGCGGATGGATGTAACGTTCGCTGAGCACGAGATGACTTTCGTGTCTGTTTCTGGCCAGCTGCACTGCGCTTCATGCTACGACAATTGTGATCAGTGCTTGCCGATAGCCAATGGCACGATAACCTACACCGTAACATGCACGTGGAGTCTTGAGTGTCGCTAGCGAAGTGAACAAGGTAGCAAACCAGCGCGTTCAGCCTGGACACGGCGTGCATTCATGAAGTTCCAGCGTGTCGTATACGGTTCGAAGTACATACCTTTGTCGAGAGCGTTCACCCCAAGGTGTCTGTTGTACGTTCAACTTGACGGCGAGGCGGAGACAGTACTATTTGATGATTCCCACGTCGATTGACTAAATTCTGCGAGACTCGCCGTTGACGAGGAATAAGACGAGGAATAAAACGAATAAATGATGCTCTGGAGGGAAGACGGGACAGCAGTCAACAACGCGGAAGCGCTCGTAGGTGGTAGTAGCTTCCCACATCGAATTAGACCTAGCATTACAGCTATCATTCAGATCATCACGATCATCGCATCCATCTACATCATTGATTCATTCCTCACCAGCACGGAGATCGTCTGAGCCTGCCAGTCCAAGTACGACAGAATTATCTGAGTGCGTCACGCGGCGATAAGGGCACGAACCTTGAACCTCGGTCAATTGTTTCAGCAGGCGATGGATAGACCGGTTCCGCAATCTCATGGTTGGGTACAATGGTCCGCCAGGCGTCTTTCTGATTCGCGTGTGTGCTTGGCATATGACATACAGCAGTAAGTACTCTGCAGTACTGGACTAGCGCCTATATGGTTGGCGCGTGCTTGGCAGTACTCTCTGCAGTACTGGACTAGCGCCTATATGGTTGGCGCGTGCTTGGCAGTACTCTCTGCAGTACTGGACTAGCGCCTATATGGTTGGCGTGTGCTTGGCATACAGCAGCAGTACTGGACTAGCGCCTATATGGTTGGCGCGTGCTTGGCAGTACTCTCTGCAGTACTGGACTAGCGCCTATATGGTTGGCGTGTGCTTGGCAGTACTCTCTGCAGTACTGGACTAGCGCCTATATGGTTGGCGTGTGCTTGGCATACAGCAGCAGTACTTGACTAGCGCCCATATGGTTGGCGAGCAGGACCAGGTGAAGTCAAGGCTCTTGCTGGCACCGCGCGCCATTGCCGGGGTTTATTGACAGACAAATTGCCTGAGTGTTTGCCTAGTAGTGAGCAGAGTTCCGTACTGGCCCTATATTTATTCATGAAGAGATAGGAATAATTTCTACAAGCATTCGCTTTCCTGCACAGAATATATAAATGACGACCATCGACTATCGTAAATCCTTCTTCATGGCCTCCGCTAACCTTTCTGCTAGCCCAGATGTGCATGCAAGTCTAAATTCGAGCTCTGTCGCCCAAGAGAGATGCGCGAAATTCCGATAAATGTCCCAGAGAACGGAGTGCGTTCTTGGCTTCAAACCAGTAGCACGGATACATGCTTCAGAGGCTGGCCCGAAAGCTTTAATCATCCCAGCTATCGTAGGGAACTCGACCTTATCGGTCGGTGCTACAGTCCCCAGAGAGGCATTTGTTATGTGAGCGCACGCCCTTGGATCGTCTTTGCCTTTCTTCGTGATATCTGCTGCTGGCGGCCCCACGGTTATGGTGGGCTTTGCAAGCACAAAGCCTTGAGCGACAGGCTCGGAAGAATCAACGGCCATGCGAGGATTGTTCTTTGGATTGCTTTTGCCCCTTTTAGCGGAGCTGGACGATTGCGACGAAAGTGCAGTTTCATGCTTCATCAGGAAAGAGCTTGGCATGATGGGTTCGGGAGAGCCAGCTACCACGGACGGTGGATGTTTTGAATTGATTCTGCCTCCTTTCCTGGTGTCGAGAGCTCCCGGAAACATCTTCGCGGGATGGTCGGCGGGTGCAATAGTTGGTATGATGAGCTCAGTAGGACTCGCGTCCTCGTGAGCTGGATTGGAGCTAGATTTGCCTGTCTTCGTGAAACTAGGTGCCAGCGATGATTCAGCATTGGACTGTTGTGCATACACCGAGGAAGGCGTGAAGAGCTCGTGAGTGTTACCGACGGCGTTGAGAGATTTCTTTGCGACGGATTTGCCTCTCCCCGTGGGACATGATACTTGCGGCAATACGGCAGTGGAATGCTCCGCCGGTGCAAAGGTTGGCAAGGCGAGCTCATAATTACCACAGATCGCCCCGGCCGATGCTCTCGGGATGGAATCACTTGTCATCGTCGAGCTGAATGATTGCGGTATAGAGGTACCATGACTGTCTGCCGGCAGTAAGGATGGCCACATAAGCTGGAGAGAATTAGGAACCGCGCGAGATGACCCTTGCGAGTCGGCATTGCTATTCATGATCGGACTGCTAGTTCGCGACCAAACAGGTGTGAGACAATCGGTCGCGGGTAAAGATGTCATCGATGAGATGGACGATATCGACGACAGGACAGAGAGGGAGAACGGGTGCATATTTGAGCGTACTGTGAGATATCATTAGCTCAGCTACCACAATCGATACGAGATGGACGTAGCGCGCGTGCCTTCCGAAAGTGACAAAGGAGGCTCATGAGCTGGTGCCTCGGTGCAACTCACAGAGTACGAGGGTTGGTGATCGTGCACTTGAGACGTTGCACACTCTGTGTCTTATCAAACATGAGCAGTTCATAAATCATAGCGACTGGCTAAGGCGACTCACGGGAATCCTTCTGTCGGATATCAGCTATGAGTTGATATAGCCTATCGAGTTCCCTCTCGTTGGCGCGTATCTCATCCTGGAGTCGCCGAACCTCCTGATCCAAGTCTTTCAAGATACGTGGATGATGGTTCTGCGGTATGACATCTTCACATCCCTGAGTGCGCGAAGCAGCGAGAGACGTAGAGTTGCTCAAAGACTGCCAGTAACAGTCTGGAGATCCTGCGCGAACGCGGCTATAACTCAACACCAGATGGGACGAGGGGCCGGGAAATTGAGCTCCCGCAGGAAGGGCGGTGTGGAGAGATGTACAGCAGTGTTCACTGTCTGTGGGCAAAGGCAGAACGTGATTCGTTGACGAAATCCAAGCACGCTCCCAGCGAGACATGACAGGAACGGCCATGCCGTCGACAAATTCTCGGATGATGCGGTCGACTGACGATTTGAGCTGGGGGATTTCGGTGCATAGGCCAGGGGAATAGTAGACATGGGGTGAGACAGTGTAAGTGTTTTCGTCATCGAGGGTTTGGGGGTACCCGCCGCTATGGGCCATCACACTTGTGCCTCCACTGATGCGATCTATGGCGGTCAACTAATCGAGCGTGTGAGCTTGATATCGGTCAACAGCAAACGGTACCAACCATATCCATGGTCAACGACAACAACGAATAATAAAATCGACACCATTCGCGTCGGCCTGGCTCCCCAGACAGTTGCTCCTGGCTCGTATACCACAAGGCATGGAATCCATCCTGTTCGAGAGCGTGATTATCGTCTTGATGCATGCCGGCCACTAGAAAGGCCATCTTAGCAGCCTGAAGCTGCTCTTTGTACTGACTATCCTCGCTCCTTCTACCAAGATGGAGGTTCAGCGACTTGAGCCCTGAGGGACTGAGCTTGTAATCTTTCACGGCTGGCGTCATGGTTACTTCCAGTGCTAGAGCGAAGGGAACGTGCGGACATAGAGATAGCCAGAGTCGGCCTAATCATGTTTGAGAGTCTGGAGGCGTTCGAGTAGAATGCCAACACGTGCTCTCCGGAAGCAGTAGAAGTTGGCCTCATCATCACGTCGATAACCTCGAAGAAGGCATACCCAAAGCGTGATTGATACATTGCTTGACTTCATGCACGATGACAGCGAGCGAAGTCATCCGGTTTACGAACCTAAGCTTCCGCCGCGACATAGGGGTTTGATAGCGGTATGTTTAGCTAAAATCGAAGTGCTCACTTTTCGGACGTTGATCCCAATCCCCCTTCGAGTGGCAGAGAATTGCCGCCAATCAGATGCTCCCCGTGGGATCACAGAGAAGATAAGAATAAAATGGTGAAAGCGAGCATGTGGTCATCAAATCATGGTACCCCGTATGGGGAGGGATGATCGTGATGGGACGCACGAGTTGGAACATTTTGGAACAATTAGCCTGAATCCTCGATCTCAGAAGTCTATGATTGGCCCAGCAGGACGGCGGCCGCAAACCTAGGAAATGGAGATACTGTCATGTTTGATGACACCTCGCACTGCGTGTTCTTCCCTCCTATATCTATCAGGAGGAAGAGACGAGAACTCCCACGCGGTTGCGCCATGTCCAGGTGGATAATCATCGGTAGGAGTCATGTGTACCACACCAGGGAACGCGGATAGCAGTATGTAGAGCCACGAGCGACGTCCAGGTGCCACATTCTAGCCCACCCAGGATAGTGGGACAGAACAGCTGCATACGGTTCGTCCACCAGACTGTACCGGCAATTGGAAATAATTTGTGGGCATCGAGCAGCACGCGTACGTGAGGACGGAACGGCAAGCGAGCACATCAAAATCGCTCATCTATTCAGTGCCCGATTCCAGGATACATTTCTGTGCAGGCAGTGCGGAGGTGATTGCGAACTATAAGACAACCAGATCAGATGTTATGATAGCCTGAGCCACGCAAAACTTACGCTGTATGACGATATGATGGAGGATCCAATGTCGCAAGGTTCCATAGGATCGTGCCTGTGCAAAAGAAATGTGAGGGGAAACTCACATGGTAACAACAACTTCGGATCAAAAAAAAAAACGAGGTTCAGTTTTTATGTTCTCAAGCCCTTCGCGCCAGAGGTCAAGATGCTCGAAGCTAGTACCTCAAACACACAGAACAAATGCTGTTTGATGGTTCAGATGAACTAGTATGCATCGACACTACCTCGTGGACATCGACATTGCATAACGCTTTGGTACGTGTGATACCCCTGGTCCTACTCCGATGGCAGAATAAACTTGTCGCGCACGACAACTATCACCGCGATGAGAAAGCGAGCTTGTTTACGTCACCGGCACTCACCAGATAATACATGTTCGTCAGCGTTGACGTTGATCGCCCTGTGGCCTTTACGCGAACATTTCACATCAATAAGACGTCAGACGGTATTGACAGTGATGGTAAAGGCAGGCAAACAACGTTATATTGTCGTCAGAGTGGGTTTAGATCCTGTTTTCTCTCCGTGCGTACTGTGTTGCTCCACGAGAGAGGCTGAAGTCGCAACGACACTTGCACACGCAAAGATGGACGCGCCGCAGTTAGTCCGTGCTTTATGTCCTCGCCGAATCTGCTAAGAACGTAGCCTCAGAGCACTTGAGCACAAAATGACCTCATGATATGAGCGAGTCCAGCACCGAGTGGCTTTTTCTTTCCAGAACACGTCGAACTTGCCCCTGTGTTGAACGACCTTGGCACTGCGTACCGGATGGTACCTGATTGTGTTAAGAGATAGCAGAACACTCCTCCACCCGTCGTGAGGATCACCGGGAGGGCGAACCTGCACGCGTTCGTAGACAGTCAGACGACCGTTAGCACACGTTGGCATCATAGCCGTATGTCCTGATCTGTACAGACGTTCATGCAAGCCGATTTTGTGGGTCTCAAGCACGCAAGGGAGCGGGTGTACCAGAGCAGCAGAGCGAAATGGATTCCGTTCAACGTGAAATGGCTGCGTACAAAATTCTGAGACGTACAGTGAAGTACGAACTTGAATGCCGGACCCGAACATGCAGCGCGCATCGACAAGATACATAGGCGCCACAAGCGTTCTTGCATTAGTGATGGAAGCCGACGGTGTTCGCTCGCGGCGATAATGAGCGTCTGGGCCTGAAGTCCCACTTTGTGGTATGCTTCGCTGAGTTCTAACGCGATGATCAGTGTAGAAGGTCAGTGCTCTGGAATTGGAATGGTGTCACCGAATGATATTGAAGTATGGCGGTGAAGTGGCGGGAAAGGACAAAGCTGTTCACGGTGGGTTTCGCGTGCAGACTGCGACACAGCCATGCCTACCGCATCAAGCAGACTCGCAATCCCGTCACCGGCAGCGTCGTATGATCCGGGCGAACGGAATCAAGGGAAGCAGGAAGCCTATCGAAAAAGTATAGGACGGCCCTCGTCATGCGGTCGACCGTGGGTAGGCGTGCCATAGACGAGGTTACTAGAGGCGGGCGGCGCAGTTGCGAAGGGCGATGGGGATGTGTCGTGCGCACACGGGTCACATGGGCGCGGCTAGTTTTGGGATACTAGCAGCGATAAAGATGGAAGACGAAGGAAGAGGAGACTCAGAAGCTGCGACGCGAACTTCGGGATGGAATCGCACACCGGCGGATATTCTGCAGTGGGTGGCGCCGGGATCACCTTTCGTGGTGCATTGCATTGTACGTTGATACATTCGACGGAGTTCAGCCTGAATAGCTGCGCAATGGGCCACATGCGATGCACCGCGCCAAGAGACGCCCGCGTCAGGAAAATCCCAACTTTACCTTTTTGCTTTGTCACCCTTTTCCAGGATTTAGAAGAGAAAAAGTATGAGGATCTCCTGGAATTGCGCCTTTTTGCGCCTTTTTCGACCTTATGGGAGCTTTTGGAGCAAAAGGCTTTCCGGCTTAATGTCCTTAAATGGAATTTCTTGTGTGCCTTTTCTACGAAAAAGGATAACATAAGCGCGGAAATAGGAGATCCCCACGCTTTTTGGGCTAAAAGGCAATATTCAAATTTCCTGATCTGGGCACGGACGGGTCCTGGTGATGGGGGACCGTTGGATAAGCTCGCGAACCTGAGAGCTCGCAAAATGCGCCATTAATCAAAATCATGAGGGGCGGTGACAACATCGACTTATCTTATAAGACAAGTGGTCTCGATCCGAGGCCGCTCTGATTGGATGTCGATGGACCACAACTACCGCGGAATCTTTCATGGGTGTCCAATTCTATGGTAAGTCACTTAGTAACATGATGATAAAGACTCACACCTGTAGGAGAGGTCGGTGCATATGAGAGTCAGATCGGGACCCTTGGCACCGCATGCCTCGGGCATCAGGCCTTCAGGTCTCAAACCGAAGGACTATTGACTATTCAGAGGCTTTCAGTGGGTTACTCTAGACCTGTCGCGATGAACGACAGACAGTGTTTATACCATGGCTCCCCAATACCCCAGATTGGGGTCAACTATTGAGTGAATCAGCAGTGGTGCTGCCTCAGTCTGCACGATCCGCATGACGCATTAGACTCGAGAGGTTGACAGATTTTAGTTTTTAATGATCATGTACCAGAAGTGTTTATGCGTGCAGATACGATCAAGAATAAATTGACCTGCTCGGGCGGCCGAACGGAGGTTGGCATAAATCAGAGTTATTGCACGAGATCGAGATGGCTGGATCTCCGCGATCTCAAAGCTCGTACCTCAAGTTGCTTTGTCGCGGAGCGTACTCTGAGCAATTGCGCCGGCCCAAGTCTGCACGCTCTTTCTGAGTCTGTACCTGTTCCTACTCCATATTGTCGCGCAATGTTTTGGAAGGCCACTTCTGCGGACGTCGAGGCGGTCCAAACCAGCGGGATTTGCAGGCTTGTCGACAGTCCCTGTATGTCCTCCAGGAGAGGACCTAGTATGCCGTCATCCGTGAGCCCCGACACATGCCATAGGATATGAGCATGACGGAGGAAGCTGGGCCACATGTCGGTGGAGGACGTGAGGCCGAGGAGAGATTGAATGCCTACGATGTCATCAGAGGGTACGTATAGGTTCGCTTCTTCATTTTATCGCTCTTCTGTAATACAGATACGTTCTAGCTGTGTTGTAGATGAAGCACGGCACTTCAAATCAACTGGAATTGTTGTCTTCCTCTGTGCCTTCCAACGGGTGCAAAATGGCTCTAGCATCTCTATTCCAAACTCTCTCTGCGACATGCGACCAGTCACATCGGAGAGTCCGGACGATGGGAGGAGCTGGGTGTGTGCAAGTGCTTTATGGTATCAGGAGGAAATGCGAATTCGGCCGTCAAGATATGTGGTGGTCCGGTTGTGTAGTGGAACCGTGCGTAGTGAGACAGTGTTGTGGTATTCGGGTTGTACGTAGGGAGACAAAATGTGCAATGGTGAGAACAATCCATCGCCGGTATCTCTGTGTTATGTGCTGATGTTTTGCTCCCAGTTTTATCTGCTCGGTTAATGTCAGTCACATACAATCTCCTACAGCAGCTTTATTTCTACCTTCACTTTTCCAATCTCAACCCCCGCACATTCTGCAACAGCACGTTATTGTCCGGTGAATCCTTGTCACGTTCCGCTGCGTTTTATATTGCGGTCCTCCATAATCGCTTCTTCCATGGACCAGAACTGTGTCGTGGCGGTTGCCATGAGCGTGGCAGAAGAAACGGTCGACATCATCCTGTAGAGCCTTGGCCGTGTTGGACCAGTAGAATGGTCTGATGCCTGGTCCAATGACCTGTCTTGCCCAGGCCTCCTGTTCTTGTCCAGCGAGATTATGTGCGGTAGCCCTTCTGGATCCCAGTTCCTCGTCTCCAACCATCATTTTCGAAGATCCTCCGCGCATAATCGGGTCTCACCGCAGCGTTTTTCTTGCCGCCCCACGGTCATTCTCGCTACCTCTTGCTCAGCTCCAATGCATAGCCCTGATAAGCCTATGCAGGTCGGCTCTTCGGATCTATGACGTACAACATCAATATTTATATGTGCGCAAGCTACGTCAGGTACACGTACCCATTCTCACATGAGGCATGTCATCGAGGTCCCGGTGCGTTTCGTCGACTCATGCGAACTTTATTACGTTTGCATAGTCCTCTACGCTCAGATCAACGGGAACACGGCATTTGAAGCGACGCCCAACTTCGCTTGGTGCGTCGCTCAAGCAAGCTTTGTTCTTTATATCTGCGATAGAACAATCTTCTAAGACGTCCAACGCGCTGCGCGAAATGCGTACCTCGACATACCGACGGCATGCACCGACCGCTCTCTCGTGAAGGTGTCTGTGTACACCCCTCTGCGTTACCGTACCTATTTTCACAATGTCTGACCGTACTCCTCCGGTCATTCGCATTCACGTCCCTTGCTATCATGGAAGGGCAGATACTTCTGGATTGTCCCCGTTTCTGCACCGCCAATTGATAGTCTTCGCGCAAGATGCCCCGCAACGCATTCACGAATTCTATCAGGGAGGCCACAGCAGTGAGGGAGGAATGACCGACAAGGCTCATAATGGGTCATTGCTTATAATTGGGGGACAACTTAGCCTTTATCGGGGGTTTCGGAGGCAAGGAACGCAAGTTCGATTGCAAAGAGAGTGGTAGGATGCGCTAAAAGTGCGCTGTCTCATCGTGCGAATATCGCACAGTCAACTTTTCTGAGGCAGCATACGTTGACTCTGGACGTGCGCGTCTGTTGACTAGTGCATTCGCTCAAAGTCACGACTCAAACTCTTTTACATGCTTGCTGGCGACACTTCTTCCCAGGAGCAGAATGGCGGTTCTGCTTCAGTCCGTGCTGGAGTCTCATTGCCGACGGATGCTGTACATTTAACATTTCTACGCTACTCATCATCGACAATTCCACAACGTTTCATCATTTGACGATAAGCAGAAAAGCTCGCTCAGGTGTCAAAGCACAAGGTGATTCGCCGCGCTTTAGGAAGTCTACATGTCGGTGTTTGCTCATCGTTTTGCGTCGTACATTGGTAATGTCGCTTCTTGGATACCCAGCCGTTCCTAGGCCGTTCCTATTCATTCTGAGTGCATCCACGTCTCCACAAAGTCCTTCCGTAAACATGGTAGAGAAATGGGCAGGAAATTCATAAAGAGGTGAATATCCCAATTGATGGACTGTCGCCTGCCTGATCCCATTCGCGACTTAAAGCCGCCGCTTTGGAATGAGCTGCCCATCTCCACATCGGACAGTAATTCGGGGGACCATTGCATAGTCGCTGCGAGACATTCATTCGCATTTTCACAAACTGCAACGTCGCCACAATGATGTGCATTTCGACAATCCGCAGGGTTGGACGAGATATGTCTACCTTCTTCCTAACCACCCGACGTTCATCGCGTGACCTCGAACTTCCTATCTGATACCTCCATTGAAGCATGACGGTAGTTGTTACTACAGCAATTGAGTGCAAGCAGCTGCCCGGAAGGCTCGAACTATGCAAAGTCTCGCATCAACAAATGAAGGCTGTGGGCGTCTTTGGGAAATGATTCCGAAACAAAAAAAGCCCGCCCTTAGCTGGCCGACAGACTGCCATTCGCCATTCAAGCGCTATAGTCCGGAAGACAATGCTGAGTCTATTTGCGGCCAAGGGCTCTCTTGTCTCAGCTTAACGTCGTTCACGTTATCTGATATGAATCATGCTCGTTGAAAAGCCAGATCGGAGCAGACGGTAGCGATGCGCGCCGTTTCTGATCTGGTTATTCGTCTTCATTCCACAGCACACGCGGCTTAAATTTCGGGGACGTTCTTTAGACGTCAATATTCACTGGATAATTTCTCCCAGACGTGCGAAAGGTTCGCCATGGAATCAGGGAAGGCGAACGTGACCGCCGATGCTGCATATTACCGATTAGTTCAATTCAGATGCCTTCAGGGTGTAGGTGAGCCTCACCCTGGCTGTGCGTCCCTGAGTAATCCGGTTCTCGCAGTCAGCTACCATCGACAGCTCTTGCTCGGCGAACTTCGGTACGAAGTCCTGCGTGCTCTTCCTCTCTAGAGCAGTCTTCCTTCATCCGATGTCGGCATGATAGCGGCCCTCAAAGGCAGGTCTGGGTTCACTTTTGTGAAGCATCAACAGGACTGAGAATTCGTTACCAGGCATGGTATGGTGGTGATAGAAGGCGAGTTCCTTCTGATAAAACTGGCACAGATGATAGATGCAGGCGAATTTGAAGACCATATTATTTGAATCAACTGACAGAGAAAGAACCGTGTGGCTTAACTAGGATTTCTCGTGGCTGAGAGGACCGGTATGCTTCCGCATGTCCCAGACAAGACGATAGCCGCGTCGGTAAGCGCCTCATCGATCGGTCTCAATTACACGGTGATGCCCGATTGGCTCAAGTCAGGCAATTATGGCTGAAGGTGCGGCGCGGAGCATCAGAAGCAGGACCCTTATTCTGAACCCCGACATATGGCGGAACACAGGTTTTGAGATGATTTATGGCAAGATGTTCTCATCGCAAGAGGCTGGGGTGTCATGGTTTTTTGGCTCGAAGTTTCGCGATCAACGGCTACAAGCGACGGTCGAACATATCCGTTCTGTTTGCCACGATAAGCCTTTTCCCCCAGGTCTTCTTGCAATGGCCGAGAACAGAGTTGCCGCTGACGTGACCCCCGACCTCCGCGAGGCGCATGCACTCTAGGCTGTTACCACCTCTTCCGGAGATCTGCGTGCAAATTACTCACATGGCGAAAGTGGGTGATCCTTGTACTTTCGAGATCTCACCGCATTGTTATCCTCATCGCATTGTTAATTAGATATGTTTATAAATCTATGGGAAGATTGCTTCTGTATGGATACAAACAACAGAATCCCGTCCGAGTTAGCTGGTCAAGTTTTACGTGTCCAATACAGTAGCTCCTAGTTGGCTGGGTGTTTGCGTATTACTATGCTTAGGGTCATCCACCGACTTTGACTCGACACCCAATTCTATGCCGCGATAATTTTTGATGGAGCTAAATCAGGTTCCAGAAGACTTGTAGCCTTCATTTCGGCTATAGCTCCGGTCGCAATTGCCAGTCCCCCGTCTCTGCTCGACCCTGCATGAAGACAACGGATAGACTCGGGGAAAGTTACAGTCTAGAGGCTGCTTCGGCTGCCGGTGGCATTCACATCTGGGAAACTATCCGCTGGAGGTGTCATGCGCGGCAGCGGCACGAGGCATGTGGTGTGGTCCTTATGAAGCGAAGGTTGTGTTTGGGCCGGCATTTGACCAGCAGAATAACAAGGGCGCGGAGCCGCTGCGAGGCTATTCCAGCGTAATTGTGATTTTGACAGAACGTCAACCTGCAGTGCGTGCCTCCATCTAGCCGCGCATCATCGTCGACACGGCCTCTGACGACCAAGCGTTCACTCAGCACGTTCTCATACCTCAGGCGATCCTCCAGCAGGGCACGCTGCGTGCTGTGCCCATCTACGCGTGCCCATCAGTACTCATCACCCCAGACCTCAGCTTTACCTCGTGTACTGTATCCGGTGTACGACTCGGACCCACTCGCTTGTTGTGTCTCCTGTACGTGTAACAGCGCTGGCGTGCTGTAGTCGCTAGGTGATCGCATTGGCCGAGACAGCGAGCTTCGCTACCTGCCATTTCCGCATTGACGATATGGGTAGCAACACTCGTGCCTCCAAGTACTTATCGTGGGAGAAATATGCGCGAATTTCGGAGGATTCTCTCCATTTCTTGCCTGGATCTGCAATGTCACATCCACAGAACGATCATCTATCTTACAGCTGCTTCCTGAAAACACCTCACCGCAGTACTCCTACCAGAGGTAACGCCAGCACCCCGCGTTGTGGCCATGGAATCTTTAACCTAGGACAGGGTGGGCGAACTGTGCTCCCTCCTCTTCATCTACCGTTTCGAGCCTCACATTCTCCAGGTCCGTTTTTATTCATAACCACTCGTACTGTATGAATTCACGCTCAATCTCCAGCACCTACTGTAGTTCCTGACCTCTCGTTTCCCTCTAACCAATATCCCCACCAAGAACCCAGGCAAGCTCGTACTGACTATACTGCAGCAGCATTCAACCAAGCGGGCTGGCCCGTAAATCCACATTAGTAGTATGCGAGACAGCGTAGGCTATCACTCACGCGTCATCCACAGAGGCTATGCAGCAACAGCCGACCGCATATGCAACCGATCCTAGATATCCTGCTGTGCAACAGCCATTTGGCGCGTATCCTGCCAGGGGTCAATCGATCATGCTGCAGGATGTACATGAATCCCTCACCTTACCGCCACTTAATATGCCACAAGGGCAGGCTCATGCCGGTGCCGTGAACCCTTCAACGATGGCTGGTTCCCACGGCAGACCACCGAACGCTGCCTACCCTACCACCTATAATCCCTATACAGAACATCCACAACAGCCTGCTTCTTATCACTCCCCTCCTGGCTCGCGCAACCTTCCTCTTCCCATTCCTGCTATGGGAATCGACCCCGCTATTGGCGGCATGCCAAGACGTGCGTCGATGTCCGTTGATCGTACTGCACCGTCACGGCTGTCAGTACATGGGACATCGCCATATTTACGTATTCCCAGCATGGCATCACCGTCGACGTATATCCGAGAACCTTTCGTGTCCGAGCCCACTATCAAAAAGAAGCGGAAGCGGGCCGATCCGGAGCAGCTGAAGGTTCTGTATGAGACCTACAATCGGACTGCATTCCCAACAACTGAGGAGCGGGCTGAGCTTGCGAGAAGGCTCAATATGTCTGCTAGAAGCGTGCAGATTTGGTAAGTGATCGTGCATGGTTTGCCAAAGCCATCATCGTCTGATATACAACCTTCCCCTGCTCAACGTCGATAGGTTCCAAAATAAGCGGCAGGCCATGCGGCAGAGCTCACGTCAAGCCTCCAACGCTGCACCTCCCACTACCAGCGAGCCGTTTCCGGCTGCTGGCAGCGGACCTTATGGTGCTCATGTGTCGGGTACAGCCACTGTCCCTTGCTTGGAGATTCCTTGTATTGATAGTGGCCGACCGACAGCACTTCTAATGGAACGTGCTCAACACGTCGGGAGGAACGAGCGTCAAGCAACAGCTGAAACGCGTTGCAGGGAGGTGCCTGGAAACAGAGCGGGTGAATACGGAAGGGCGGAATATGGTATAAATACGCACCTGTAGTACTGTACTCCCCAATTGTTTCAGGGCACTGCGCGATTTCCAGTCCAGAAATGGCGGAGTAGACAGAAACTTGAAAAAAAGGCTTAAGATTTGACACTGGACATAGTGGCTGTGCAGAACTTTCTGGTCGAAATCAGTCGTGGACGAAGAAAGACTCGGAGATGATTGACAAAGTAAGAATGACTGACACGGCAAGAGGCTAACATGCATTTTTCTTTCGATACAGTAGAGACTTAGCCAAAATCATGAACCTCATGCATTGAACCGAGTGTCGTTCAACCCCAATCCTTCCGCGGTGCTGAGTACTGCGCGCTGAGTGAACTAAAGACGCGCTTGTGGCGTGGTAAATGGCCCGGGCAATGCCCGCCACACAGGCGCTGGAACGTAGTTGATTAGCGCGCTTGTTCGAGATGTCTGTCGTACACCTTGCGGGCAAGTTGCCTAGACTCTGGCAGAAATTCTTACTCTGAGCTCGCTGTTCTTCAATCATACAAGATCAACACCGTAGCAACAGAACGACAAATTCCCAGGCCTTCTAACCACAGACCTCAAGCGACGACGTATCGTGCATCCATCTACTTGAGCCCGATGAGTAAAACTGCCACCCCATTGTCTGCCAATACGCAAAAGACCACGCAGCCGAGCCCTCTCCTGCTCTCCCCCTCCAAGCGGAGATGTCTCGCAGCGATCGAAGCCGCGACCAGAGCCTATTCCACACCTCAACCTACCGCAAGCAGGAATCCAGAGAAATCTCCCTCGGAAACAGCAGGTCAACCGGCTGTCTCACCAAAGACCGTCTAAAGTGCCCGATGCGCCATCTGCGGCGGAGATATGGAAGTGGACATTGTCCAAGGACGCCATGGCCCCGTGCTTTGCCAAGGATGTGATGGACATGCAGGACAGCGGTGCTAAAGGTATGTGGCTCGTATGTGTATGCTATGTGATTCGCTGATTGGCAGGTTGTGCATCAAGACGCAGAGTTTTTCTGGCTTGGCCGGGTACCGTGTCGTTCGGTGCACCTTGTCGGCCTGCGTATACGAATCGTGGGCGATCTACTCGCGTACATGCCGCGTAACTAGCTTATGCTTCTCGGCTGATCCTGATCTACTTTACTTCAGATATGGGTCCGTTCGTGATCCCCAAAGCGGCCGCTTGGCTGCTGATAAGGCCAGCAAGTAAGCCCGCGAGCTCAGCCAAAGGCAAGGAGAAGGCATCCGACGAGTAAACGGAGGAAATGCAAGCCCAGGTGGATACAACGCCAGGTATAGCGGCGCCGCAGATGCCGGCCTCCTCCCGTGTGCCTTTTGTAGTTGGCTCTCCTGAGCCTATTTCGTCCAAGGTTGTCGGTAGCGAGCCGCAAGTAAGTACTCGAAGTGCTCGTCATGACGTGTCTGCTGACAATTATTCCTCAGTCACCTCCACGCCTTAGACATCCACCCTCGTCTGCATACACGAGACCTCACCACGAACACCTTCCGCATATACCTCAAGCACTACATGGACCACGCACCTCCGCTGCACGGCCGCGCTCGCTCACGCTCTGCGTCCCCCTATCCGCCAAGCAGCAACCGCCGCGCCGGCATGATCGGGTCGGCGAGTGGTTTCACGAACCTCCTCCTTAAGATGCAAACGAAGTCGTCAGCCTCTGCTCGGGCACGCGAAGAGTATATGCCGAGTTTCATATCTTCTGCCACCCTTGATGGAGCGGGATATGCTCATCTATTGCTTGTATGATGTATATAATATAGAACGTCTGTTGCTTCGCGTTCGCGCACGTCGAGGTAGCGGAAATATGTTGGTGACACCACAGATGGCATCATTGAGAATTGGCCATTCTTTCTCGCTTTGCAACACACAGTCCTTATGGTGCGCTAGCACACGAGGCGTGCAAGGGCTATTTAGAGCAGCATAGGGGCAAAGGTAAAATATACAAAAGACTAGCAAGAACATATCACGGACTTGAGAAACCATCTCAATGTCGCCTTCCTCCTCTACAACCATCGCCGGCGCGGCCGCAGGTGCCTCAGCTGGCTTTATATCATGATCTTTCATGAAAGCATCCAGCTCCAAATCCAACTCCTCCCCGTTCACAGGTCCCGGTCAGCCTTGGAGACGCGCCTGTGGCGTGGCAGTCACCACGTGCTCGAGTGCGTCCGACCAATCAGCGCGCCTGAAAACAACTTTGGCAGTCCTTGCATCGGAGCGCCCGCTGCGACGAGCGCGGTGACACGATAGTCATGAATTCTGTAGCCGGCGCGCTTCGACTTCATGTTCTGTTAAGATGGGTGTGCAGGCGATAAGCCGTGGCCTGCCAAGCAATGAGACCTACACACGTACAGTCACGATCATGTTACGTCATGACTGATCGCGAGTGTGACTCGTCCCAGTTGAGCACCCACCTATTCGCGCGATGCGTCTGCCCCATTCTGACCGCATTTCTCCTCCCCTTCCTCCTCCCCCCTTTGACCATCTCGACATGGCACGAGCACAAAAATCTGCCACGGCACGGGGCCGGAAGTCCCTCACCTCCTTCTTCAAGGGTTCTGCAAAGTCTGAACCTGATGGAGACGCAGCCAGTAGCGACTTCGAGGCTTTTGAGATCGAGGAAGAAGTCGAGAAACCCACCGCTGGAACAAACAAGAGCTCAGCACTAGCTCCAGATGCGTCGGACCTTCCCTCCATTCATAACGTACCAGCCATCTTCTCTGATCTAGTCGTAAGCGCTCCCCAGATCAAGGCAGTGACGCAGCACCTGCAAGGCCACAAAATGCGCGTCGCTACAATGTGTTCCGGCACAGAGTCTCCCCTCCTCGCACTCGACCTCATTCGGCGGTCCATACTCGAGCACTACGACGTGAAGCTCGAGTGCGAACACGTCTTCTCGTGCGAGATCGAGCCTTCAAGCAGGCGTACATCGAGCGGAACTTCCAACCACCCCTGCTGTTCCGGGATGTCTGTGAGCTTAGGGACACACATGCGTACGCCAGGTATTTCATCTTATATGACCTGACGTTTGTAATGAAGTACGACAGCGTACGGGTCCCTAGCGCCCGTCCCCGGAGACGTCGACATCCTCATCGCGGGTACCTCCTGCGTCGACTACTCCAACCTCAACAACGAGAAGCAAGACATCGACGCGAACGGAGAGTCTGGAAGGACATTTCGGGGGCTGATGTCCTGGGTGAAGAATCACCGGCCACCCTTGGTCATTCTGGAGAACGTGTGCTCGGCACCTTGGGAGCGCGTGGTCGAATACTTCGAGAAGAACAAATGCAGTGCTCATTCCTTACGAGTTGATACAAAGGACTTTTACAGATCCCATACCCGTACCCGTGTATGCCTCCTCGCTGTCGACCAGCGAAACTCGGATCTTCCAGATGCGTGGGCGAAGCTTCTCAACAAGCTCAAGCGACCCGCATCGTCCACTCTCGATGCCTTCCTGCTCCCCTCCGACGACTTCCGTATCCATCAGGCACGCGAGAAGCTCATTTCTGAAAGCTACAACGCAGTCGACCGACGGAGAGGCCGGACAGACTGGGGCCGATTCGAGTCCCAACGCACAAGGCTGGAGATGGAGCTCGGCTCGAAGCGCCCGCTAACGAGCTGGGAGGAAGGTCAGTCTGCACATCTAGTAGTGCTGAGTGACGCGTGTTTATCATTTCTCAGGAGGTTTCTGTAAGCTGCCAGTCGTTGCGTGCAACGACTGGGGAGTTGGGCAGGTAGAGCGTGTCTGGGACTTGATGGACATCAGTTTCCTCCGGTCCGCCAAGAAGGGCGTCGATCCGTCATACAAGACGTAAGCAATGCTACTCGCTATACTCCACCGCCATAAAGACTGACAATGTAACGCAGGCAAGTATGGAACCTCTCGCAGGACATCGACCGGACCATCGGGTCAAACAAAGTCGGCATCTGTCCATGTCTCACACCGTCCATGATTCCGTACATCACGAACCGCGGCGGGCCCGTGGTCGGCATCGAGGCGTTCTCCATGCAGGGCTTGCCCGTGGACGAGCTGTTCCTGACGCGCGAGACGGAGGACCAGCTCGCCGACCTCGCTGGGAACGCGATGTGCACGACCGTCGTCGGTGCGTGCATCATGGCCGCGCTCATCATGGGCAGGAAACTGCTGAAGGAGGGCAGCGACGTGAGCACGTACGAGTCCCGCAATGACATGTCGATGGATGTGGATGTTGACATGAAGGACGTGCAGGACGACTCGATGGATGTCGACCAGGCGCCCGACGATATCCCCGTCGAGGACCATGTCTCCGGGGAGGACCAGCTTGTAAACCAGCCCTTGGACCTGGCGTCAACCGCTGTGGTCCCACGCTCCTCGACAAGGCGGTGAAGAGCGCGCGTCTGTGCGAGTGTGAGGGCCGGAAGGACGTTACTGACCGCTAGGTGAATCGCTGCAAGGACTGCAGCTCGTCGTCCTGCGTCAAGTGCGGTGGTCGGCCGGAGCACAACACTCAGCACGTCGATGCCCACGCACATCCACGGAAATCTCCAACGGCTTTTGCGAAAGAGTTCTAAATCGACGCTCCCCATGTCACTCTCGGTGTCCAACATCTCCCAAGCGCTGCTCGACAGCCTCAAGGAAGCATCTGGAGTCCCCATCTCAGGCAGACGCTTGTCGAATTGGTGCGAGGCCGTCCTCCGCGTCTCTTAGCACGAGCTGCGATTCGTCGAGCCAAAGCGACAAGACATCTGCGTGGCGACGTACCAGTCACCGGTCGCGCATCTGAAGCTCCTGCTCTACCGCCAGCAGGCCGAGTGGCGCCTCTTCGCAAAGCCAGAGGAGAACGAGCCAGCGAACTCGGAGCTTCGCAGGCTGCTAGCACCCGTGGGCAGGATGGCCTGCCGGGGCGGACTGTTCGCGGGGCGGTGGGACTTTGCGCTGCCACACGCTACCTCTGAGCGTATCGCGATCTCTGGCAGCGAGCCCGTTCCGTCATGGGCGCAGAGGCTCGGATTGCAAGGCGACGAGTTTAAGGACAAGATGGTCAACTCGAGGCTTGAGTATCAGCGTTCCGCAGGAGGATTTGGTACACTTTGATAGGGATATCTTGGGTGTGTACACGTTGTTGGACAAGTGCGGCACCGCGAACTCTGCGCTGCATAAGAAGGAGTCTGACGAGCACGACTCCCACCTTCCGCCGCTGTTCTTGATTCTCGATCCAACGCGGCGCGGAGATCCATCGGACGACCGCTTCGCGATCTTCATCAGCAACCGGCGTTACGAATATGGTGAGACGCCGCCTCTCGTTTGCAAGTTCGAGCCCAAGTGGAGGCAGTGCGACACTGTGGAAGAGCAGAGCATCGAGTGCCACATTCTTCAGAGTGGGTCGAGTCGCCTAAGACGCGTCTGACGGTAAGCAGTGCCATCATCAATTCTTCCATTGGCATGACTTACGCTTCGAGCTAGGCCGTGGCCGGCCACGAAGCGCACTTCACTGTGCCAGGAGACTATCTCACCATCAGCATCTCAAACGACGCCTGCTCCAGCGCGAACGCCCGGAGTGGCCTCGCGGCGCCTGGAAGGAGGCCGACAAGGTCACGAGCACGTCACGTTCAAGGCCCTCGCGTGGCTCATTGAGCGCATCCGTAACGTCGGCGATCACTTCGGCCAGTGGCAGGACGCGGGGATGGTACGTGACCACCGTGTCAACTGCGATCGCTGCGCGCCCACCAGAAGATCAACGAGAGCAGGAAGCTAGGTATAAGTTCATATTTGGTGTCTTGCTACTGTATGCTAAGCGTTTTATACCTAGACGAGGACAAAAGTAACTTCCTGCTCTCCACGATTCGACTGAAGGTTAAGACCTACCGTCAGGCAGCCGACGTCGCAGAGGGGCGGCGAAGCCGGAGCTCCCAGAAATGAAGAGCTCGCGAAGAAGGATGATCATGGAGGTCGTCATCCCTCCTTTTCCGAAGCGCAGCAAGTCGCCTTCAGCGATGAGCATCGTATCGTTTTCTGCGCCTGAAACGACCGAAGGAGAGGACGACTCGGATGCGCTCACCAGGCCACGTCGCCGTCGAAGCTGTCAGAGGCGCCCGATATTGATTTCCGACGACGAAGAGGAGGACGCCCAGTCTGACGACGACTTTGTGCCTGACGAGGACGAGGACGAGGACGAGGATGAGCCAACGATGAGATGCTCCGCGAGGAAGGCAGTCTACGTCAAGCGGCCTAGGAAGTGGCAGGATTCGGATTACGATGAGTTTTGGGCGGAGGAGATCCAGTCCGAGGACGAGATGGCCGTCGATGACGTGGTCACATCGGATGATGACTACTCCAGCAGATCGTTGAAGCCGCCAACAACGGGGAAAATCGTGAGGGGTAGCAAGAAGTCTGCAGCCGCTTCGGATAGCGATGCCATGGACGTCGACGAACCATAGTGCAAGCTGAAAAACGTTGTCGAGAAACGCAAAGCTCAGGATGACGGCGAGAGGCCCGCGAAGAAGAAAAGAGAGACCAAGGACCCTTGGAAGCTGAGGTCGATTGCAGTGAGTAAGGACTGGACGAGAATGCAAGCGCCACCGCTCGAGATGTTCCACTTCTCCCGGAAGGTCGTCGATAAGTACACGTATCTCGATGGCAAGATCCATTCCATGGTCACCAACATCACGGCGGAGCGATACTGGGTGCTTTCTGGTATCCACGACTTTGGCGTTCTCAAGACCATCTCTGCCTTCTTCAACTTGCATCTCGGCATGGACGATGATGCTGAAGGGCAGTCGGTGCAGGTGAAGAAACGCCGGAAGGAACAGACCGGTGAGCACTGGTTTACTGTTAGTACCTGAGAGCTTGTATTGACAACTACTGCAGCTGTGGAAACGTTCCACTCCTTCCGCGATGTCCATAGTCTCGAGTGGCATGCTCACCGCCCTCAGATCAGGCAATCCTTCTTGGATCAGTTCGTTCGTCAAGTGAGTGCTCTGTTTCCGTGTACCCCATTTCTCTAATCATGTTGATAGAACATTGCTGAGATCGACGAGATCCCGTCCAGCGAAGAGATCAGGAAGGTGGACCTGCCTGCAGCTGAGCGTGCCATCTACTTGGAACTGGAGCACCATCTCCGTGCACTGACATGACCGTCAAGCGAGGCAGGAAGAGCGAAAGCGACCGTCAAAAGCGAGTGGCCCAAGCGCTCGGAGAAAGCAGGTACGTCGTCATTGCATGACAGGAATTCTCAGGATTCTCAACCGTTTCTCTCCAGCACCGCCGAAGAAGCCCTTTTGAAGCGCTGCTCACATTTCGGGCTCGGCTCCTCCGACAAGGAGAACGCCACGAAAACGTGCGAGGTGATCGTCTGGGAGCAGCGCGCGCAGCTCGACAGCTGCAAGGGTGAGCTCAAGAAGATGATCGCGGAGGCACTCGAGAAGGAGAAGATGATCGGCAAGGTGGAGACCGAGTCGCTCTTCCGCGAGTACATCCGCATCACGTGAAACGAGGGCGTCGGCGACGGGGACGCGACGGAGGAGATGAAGACCCTGCTCGACCAGGCGAACATCGCTGCGCCCCTTAGGCGATCATGAACAAGCAGCTCGACGCGCGCGCCAAAGCAAGTCCAAAGGACGACGGCCTGCCGGAGAGTGTCAGGCAGCTCATCTAGAGCACCGCGAGCAGACGCACGAGATACGCCGTGTGATGAAGGAGCTCGTGGGCCGCGTGCGGTCGTTGCGGTACTTCACTGCCGTTCGGGACTTGCAAAAGCAGGCCGATGTGCTCCCTGTGGTGTCATGTCCCTTGTGTGGGCGGGATCAAGTCCCGATTGAAGAGGTCGTGGTGTTCTCGCCTTGTGGCCATACAGGCTGCATCGCGTGTGTGACGGAGCACGCGGAGCGGGAGGAGTGCGTGTATGCTGCATCTGGCGCGTGTAAGGCACTCTCTCTCTACGTTGCTCATCGGCTCCTCGTACTGTGAGTGCTTGATGAAACGGATAGACGTAGCAGCTTAAACAGTGACGCTGGGAATGTTCCCATATGTTAAGGCATGGCTTCTGGTAGATGGCCATATTTATATCGACCAGGGATTTGTAGATTCAGCGCAAACAGTCTGCACAGGTATACAGCCTCTGGTGCTGGCGGCAATATTTGCAATGTACCTGAGCATTTAGACGTTTTTGAAATTGAGCTACTTTGCGTGGTAAATTGTTTTGGTAATACTATAAGTAGACCACCCCAACGTAATGTGTGCAGTGCACCGCGACATCGACCATTGGTTTTCTACCACTCAGACGCTGTCTCGCGGCTATGCTACTGCTCTCTGTTGCCTACGTCCCCCTTGCGCTCTTTTTTGCATTGCCGGCTTTTGCAGTGCCGTCTTCTCCCAATGACTAGTTTCGTGAAATTGCCCTAAAGGTCGTGAAGGAACCTGAACCTCCAGTGTGCTGTTTGAACCCTCTGGAACTCCTGGGACCTCCGGCAGAAGAGGATGTACTGCTCTCGATTGATGACTGGAAAGCTAGAAGGCTGGGAGAGCTGAAGGACCCAAGTGCACGGCTACCGGGTAGCGAGAGTGCGACCATCTCTGGTCCAACACAGCTCGCGGATTCGTCCACCACAGCACAGGCTACACAGATGCCGTATGCATCTGCCACAGTCGCGCCAACTGAGGTCACCTCGAGCAACGTTTTCGCTCCCTCTCCTAATCCTTCCATCTCGGAGGCCGCAAAGACAGTGCGAGGATCCACCAGTGAGGAATCTGACCAAGAAACCACCCTCTCCTACTACATTGAAATCAACATGGCCTCTTCATGTGCACATGAAGCGGTAATATCCGACTCCCGCGCAGAAACGACCTCTAACGACAGTAACTTATCTTCCAAGATTCTTCTGCAAATACCTTGTACAACACAACAGATCCTTCTACGTCTACTCAACCCTTTACCAGCCCCGTCCCGTCCACGAATCAAGCGATCCCATCCTCCGTGCAAGATTCTGACGACACACTCACAGTATCATCTGAATCACCTTCCATGACACCATCCATCCGTCCGACGACGTCCTCTTCGAACTCCGTCGTGTCTCCTTCGATCGCATCAGCCAGCGTTGCACAGCAACCATTCTCTCTACCAGAATCGCAAGTCCCGACAGGCGGCGAGTCAATCTATTGGACGATCATGAACCGGCTCACCGCGCTTGAGGGCAATACTACTCTCTATGCCAGGTATGTCGAGGAGCAGACCGCGGACATGCGGGAGATCTTAAGGAGTCTCGGCGAGGATGTCGGGCGGCTCGAGGGTATCGTACGTTTCATCGAGGTGTCCTTAAACGATTGCAAATGACAAGCCACGGCAAGGCTCAAGCGCAGATGTACCTGCAATCAATGTCTGAGTTCGACAGACACAGACGGCGGCTGGAGCTCGAGCCCCGGGAGCTACTCTCCCGAGTGAACCGCCTCACCGACGAGGTACGAGCAATACAACGTAGTGCCAATATTCTCTTTTTTCATCTGAGTTCTTCCTCATAGGTTGTTCTCGAAAAGCGGCTGGGTATCGCGCAGCTGTGCCTTCTGCTTGCAATCATGGTCTTTATCATGTGGACAGATGGCTCCCGAGGTGAGCTCCATCGGATACGTGCCCTCGGCGGCCAATGGAAACCTCCGTGCGTACACTGCTACGGCCGCACATCGTGACACTACGTGACAGGTAATGGCGTCTGCCTTCCTCCCTTCCTTGGCCCAATGAGCACCAAGGGCAGATAGCAAGTGAGCAACGCGGAGAAGAGTCTACGGAATGTAAGGGACTAACGAGACCATGTACGGCGAGTTTCATTCACGTATAGTATGGAGGAGATGAGAAACTCACCCGGGGTCCATCCAACATAGGAGGGGAAGGAATCGGCTGCTTCGAGAACGCGCGGACTTCTTGCAGAAAGCAGCCAGGCTGGCAGGCCTTTCTTGAGCGACAAAAGAACCACGATGGACATAGAGCGGGAGACGTCCCGCAGGCGACGGCGGGCGTGAGCGTGGTGTGGGCATTCGACCAGGACGTAGAGACGGGTTTCAACGGCCGCCTCATGGCAAGGGCAGGCCGCGGACTTTGAGGGGACGTAGCGGGAGTACTACTCTCTAAAGTGCCCGTGCCCCAGCATACAGTTGATAATGCGGGCGTGCACCTGGCGCGGGCCATCAAAACGCCGGTGGAAAGGTGACAACCGATAGGATGGGGCCTGGGTCACGGCCATCCAAGCGGCATTGGTGTGAGGCTGGAGAGCCCAGTCACGACGCCAAAGGCGAAGCGTGTGGGCTGGGTCGCGTTCGCGCATCTACGAAGGGTTAGGCCAAGCACAGAGGGGCGGGTGACGGCATCCTTGGCCAGCTGATAAGCGCGCTCATTTCCAGTGAAGCCATGATGACCAGGGCACCAGACTAGCATGACGGTGAGGGAGGGCTTGGCATCTAGGGCAGCATCAATATGCTTGCGGAACAGAGTCCGACCGCAGTCTCCGGTTGGAATGGTGCGCTGTGGACATGCTACTATTCGTCTATGAACAAGGTACTTTGGACCAGCCTGATATCTCATGTGCATGACTCTGTATGACGTCTTCCAATTTGCCAGAGCGAAGAACGTTGTCAGAAAGCTGAGAGTTCGGAGACACCGTGTTCACTGAGAATGCAAAATGCAAAACTCCGCCGGTGTGTGATGTAACATTGTGGACGCGCCGATCGACCCCGACTCAATCGGTGACTTCGACAATATCAAATCCGGCAGTCTTTCCCTGGGTATTGCGCTGCGGAAATGAATGGTGACGACTTTGTGTGGATTTTTAGCGCAGAGAAGTGGGCTAAAATCTGCAACAATGATCGGATAGACGGTAAGGATACTGGCCAAGATTAAATGAAAATCATCTCATTGCTAAGCCTTCTGGTATACTTTCAGCTTGGCGAGCTCTCGCACCTGGCACGAGCTTCCGATACTGGTCTTGATACTAGCGTGGCCTTTCAATTATCTCCAGGCGCACAACGGCTTATTCATTTTCATACTGCCTGCGACGCTTCCAGAATGAAAAGGGTTCAGATTCCACGGAATTAGAATTGCACCGAAGAGGTTCACGCGGACCAGTTATGTACTATCTTCCTCAATCATCGAGTGTTATTCACTGACATTCATGGAAGCGCGTGCTAAGCAGGGACGAATATTGGATATCGATGGAGATCGGCGATCTGATAGTATGAGGCTTCGTGGAGCAACCGGGTGCCTCAGTTTGACGAGTTTCGCTCCCACTCCTGGCACGATTTTATGCCATTTGGAGGTCGGCTCCCGGCTTCATGTGTGCCGAAGGCCTATTGGAGAGATTGGCTCACTCATCTCAGTAGCACCATGACGAGTTTGGGAGTAGCCACGCATCCACAACCGGACGTCGTTATTTGGATGACAAGACGTCGTACTTTCAAGCTTCAAGCTTCAAGCTTCAAGCCTCAAGAGCTTCGCTGAAGGAGCACTGCTTTGTATGGCGATCACGCTGACACCCGGTATGTAGACGCGGCATAGCGAGACCGGCATCAGAATCGTCATGGAGACGCAACTTAGGGTCACGCTTAGAGTCACGCAGGCTGTCAATCACCTCCTGCCGCCACTGATCATTTCCTTCTATCACCGTGGGTGTACCTGCTCGAGCCGTCAACACATTGTCTGTGTGCGATATTCTTTGTGCGACTCAATAATCACCGATGCACTCTTTGATAGTGCCGGTGACCGGTGACCACTCAAGCCGGCCCCGAAGAGGGATGAGAAATGATGCTTCGAGAGAATGATGCTTCGAAGAACTCCTTATTCGCAATATTTGACTCGAGGCCGCAATGCGGCACATAAGGATGCGCGACGCGTCCACGTTTGGAAACCGATGCCATGTGGTCGAATGATACTTGTACTTGATTTATATTGCCGCAGGCGAGTACTCGAAGATCTTCTCTGAGTACTCATCACAGGCTACCACGGATTCGGCCCTCCCCGAACAGGTTAGCTGCTTCCCGAGACGGTTCATTGCTCTCGATGGGCTTCTCGAAGGCGAGGAGAAGCCGAGCGTAGTGTGACAACAATCCTTGCACAATACCTATCGGGAACTCTGACGGAGGCGCACTCATTCCCTGATGTTCGGCGGATCGGTTCTACCGAGATGAATCTGGATATGCTATACCGGTGATTTGCAGCGCCAGTCATCGATCACGCAGCATAACAGTTCAACAGCCTCTAACGCAGGCATCAAGCATACCAGCATATGGCGAAGCTTAGAAGTCGAAAGGTGTGGATGCTGCACTGTCAATAGACACTGCTAATGACGCGAAGGTGTCGAGGGTTAGTGGTTCAATGGGATCTGCGAAGCTCTAGAAGAGACTAATACCCCTTGCGTCATGTTAGATATAGCTTCACTAGAGCTGTCCGAGTTTGGAGGTACGTTGTCTTACGACAGCGAGAGAAAGGGCACCTTGATGTTATCGCGGTGCTGATGTTCCTGGACGGAAGAATCTCAATAGATCTGGGGGAAAATTTGACGTTTCGCCGGTGAAATAGATATTCCTTGTCCCACCTGAGTGGAACGTCGTTTTTCAGGACGCTCCCCACAGGGCGCGAAGTGGATACAACATCGTCCGTGCTTGCGGACGTGAATGAACTGCTGAGCACGCAGTTTTATACACAACCTACAGATTGCAGCGGAGGACCTGTCAAGTCAAACAGGGCCATTTTCTGACCGTTAAATGCTTTATGTTGAGGGCAGAGATGAAATTACCCCGTGAACATCCCTATCAGGTCGTGTACGTCCGCTCATAAATTAATATCGATCAAAATTCAAACAGGATTTGTTAAGTGATCTTGTCCAAAATGCTGCCAGTCTTCGCGAGCGGAAGATGATCAATTGTTCCCGGGGTTCGTCTTAAAACCTCTCCATGCCATCAGAAGCACTGAAGACGCCGCAACCTGATTGTTTTGATCCTCACACGTTCGTCTCGGAGCTCATCTCAAGCTGTCGGACGTCTTTGCTCTGTTGATCTCCTGATACCAAACGAAAACACGTGAGTACGCTGCCCAATTGCACTTTATGACCGAATGACGCATTTTTTCTCATTGCCCGTCTCGACAGGATACAACGTCGATGTGAGCTCATTTCTTTTGATTATGCGGTCGTGACCACCGTGTTTACGTTGATTGCATTCTCGAAGATTCCATGAATCGTCAGACATTCGAACGCGACCGACTGCGCGGCCGTATATCCTCTCTTCAGCAACAGGAAACCCTGCGCCCGTCGGCGTACTCATACGGCTCAGGAAACGAGGAGATACCAAGCATGTATCCTGATCAAACGAGCACTCACGCAAGTACAGTCTACTCGTCGAGAGCTTCCACGGCTGATCCTCATTAGTTATCGCAGTTCCAGTCAAGACCTCAACTGAACTCAAGTGGACTCTATCCTCCTCCACATGTTCCTGGGAGAATCACACAGCCAGGAGCGTACATCAGCGAGATCGGCAAGGTTATGAGTCAACATGCGAGTTCTAGGCAGGAGGACGAGCGGATCCGCAATGTGACGAGAAACAGTTCAAGTAAGACATCTCGACATCCATTTTCATCAATGCTAACTACTCGCGAATTGGCGGGTGGACTAGACAATCAGCAGACCGTCCTATTGCCTACGCGCATGACTACGACAGATGAAATGGTACAGATTCCTGCACGATCACGCTCCCGATCGCCTACGGACCTGTCTGAAACTTTCACCTCCCCTGCTCATGCGGGTAGACTACACAATCGACAGATCCTCGGTGTGTTCCAGCAAAGCGCGACTAGAGGCGGGTTTCATGCAGGACTTCAGCGTTCAACTCGATTTCGGTCTCAATCGCCTGCGAGCCTACCTGCCACGTCCGACATCCCTGCTCACCATAAAACAATACAGATAGGTGGACACTCTGTTGTGGAGACTGGGTCCTCAGCACGCTTGCCGGTTACCACGGGAAACTTTTCCGTAGACAACCAATTCAGTCAAGCGGCCGCAAGCCTCATTTCGCCCAATATCCACGCGACCGGCCATCTCTCACGAAGTCCCTCTCGCGACCTCCCTCAGAAATCGGACAGTCGCCCTTCTATGAGGGTTGGGTCGAAAGGGCTCATGCCGATCATGGAGGATCCACGCGCAGAATCGGTTGTGACGGCAGGCCAAAGACGAGGTACGCCTTTCAGAAGCGTCGATCAAGTATCGAGCAAGGCAGACGTCCGCGCACAATACGGTAGCAATTCTGATGGACCTGCCCCAGAAGGAAGGGTTGCCGACACTGAATGGAACTCCTACGACGACGATGACGATGATGACGGCGATGGAGGCGACAACGCCACCATACTGAAAGAGTTCGAGCTCATAGACTCCTCTTTTCAGGCTGTCGCAAAATGTTTGAACATATCCTTGGGGGACGTGCTTGCGCGCTATGACACCTACCGACTGGACTCAGAGGAGGAGCAGCTTGCGTACAAACTCTATGAAGGCTACTATTCGGAACACGTCATGGAAGAATCCAGCCGAGTGCCCGCAGCCACGAATGACAGTGCGTACTGCTCTGCTCTCCATCACATTATAACCTTGTGTCTACCTACAACTCACGCCTGGTATGATAGACGAGAGCAATGACACTGATCACATATGCAACTGTTGGCGACAATTCCGACGCACCCATCCTATGACGTGGCCATCTATCATCAAGCTTGAAGACAGAATGTCCGACATCGCCATTGATGGCAATGCGCCTCAAGAACGCGAGCATCTGTCAAATTACTTCACGCAAAAGCTGACATCCTTGGTACGTTCTGCAGTGGCGGTTCTCTCTCATATATTCGCGTTCTAAGCTGTGAATTCTATAGCTCAACGCTCTTGCTGAGAATCACGGATTGCATTCCGTGCTGATCATGGCTGGGAATAACATCGTGAAGGATGGCGGGATAGGAATGGCGTACGAATCGTCGGAAAGTGAGGGAGTACGTGTTACGTTTGGCGCCATTTTCGAGTCGATGATGCTGACAGTCACCTTCCCCTAGTTCCTATGCAAGCTCACCCACGCGTCAACCGATGAAGCCATTGGGCATCTCAAAGCTCATGTCTGGTACGTCATCGTGTCGTTGCTTTGGGCGTATCTTACCTTTTGCCAGGCATAATCACTCTACCGCTTGTCTGGAGAAGATCTATGCGCATCGGATACTACATGGAGCTCCAGAACCAGGCTTTGACCAACTGCCTGCCGAAGCTCCTGCAAACGCAGGTGAACAGGCTGATTTTGACGAACCCGTTGTTGATGACTTCCCTGTCAATTTGGATACGCTCCTCAGCCAGATCAAGGAGAACATAAAGATATTGCTTCGTGAGTTTATTGCTGTCACACTGGTAACTCCAGACTCAGCTTCAATAAGGAGACCATCAGATCACGTATACGAAAAAGTTCCCTTGGGTGACGCTCTTGCGTTTGCTTGCTGAGAATCATCTCGTCTGTGAGAACTGGCCGGAAAAGGTCCACTATCCTGGGCAATGGGGAACGAGCAAAGGTATACAAGAGCTGAACGGAGACGAGAGGCAAACTCTGTGGCGTGCGCTTACACAGGGTGCTGAGGAGCGGCGTGTTAGAATTCGGAAGCGTGAACTACATGGTTCGTTCAGGCGGCATTGAGCGAGTCCTCGCGGATTAACTATACTTACTTGAGCAGAAGTTCACGGCGTGGATGAAGTTCTCGTCATGCTGGGCGAATCTCCCTCCGGACCTGGTGAAAGAGGATTGCGCGTGTTCATCTCCTTGCCAGGCTTCCAAACGAAGGTTGACTGGCTCGGTCTACAAAACGGACAGTTGCGTAACGACTCTGAGCAGGAGCGGTCAGATATGCGAAAACGGAAATTGGATATAGACGATGTTCCAATCAAAAGGGTTCGATACTCGGTTGTTTCTCAAGGAGGGGTTCAACATGAGATCTTGCCGTCAGATGACATTGACGAGGACGGGGGTAAGTCCTGTTAATTATTCACAAACTGTACTAAGGAATGCCATGGCCAGTGTCCTCGGAATGTAACGAACTGCCGACTGATGACATACAACTTGACGAAGCCGGCGTCGCCAATGTCATTCAGTCTTCTTTGGCGCTTTCGAATGCGTCGAGCAAAGCAAAAGGTATGATTGTTGCTCTTCACCGTGCGATAGCGCTGGATTCAGAAGTGGAATTTACACACTCTGAAGGAAAGCGGCGACAAATCGACGAAGGATCTGACATGACGTCGGGGCCGGGGTCATTCGAGGCACGGGCAAAACATGAAGCCGGAGGTACAGTTGTTCGCTCTTTGCATCGTCCCAGTGCTTGATTCAGATCTAGAACATACACGCTCTGCAAGAAAGCGGCGACAAGTCGATGAAGGATCTCACACGATGTCGGGAGAGACGCGAGCATACCATAACGTCGGCACACTCTTGACTCATGTCCAACCGCCGACACCCGCGAAGCCTCTAGCTGCAGTCAGCTCAGGGCTCAGCAAGTCCGTCACCTCCCAGCAATCGATTGGGGCGAGTCATGGAGCTGCTATAATGGAGAGGGCACCCTCTGGTTCTACCCAGTCAGCGGGGCGGGATGCACAAGCCATACAGGAGGACGTCAAGGACCGGAATGACTCCTCGGAGCTCTCTCGTCCAAGTTATGCGCACCCAATTGGGTCTGTTCACCACGGGACGGAGCACTACGCTGACGATTGGGACGGGAGGCATGGCATTCTGGGAACTAGCACCGGGAATATCATATCCACCCCGCACATGCCCGTCACAACTGCTGGCCATGCAGAAGCTGCAGTGCCTTTACCTGACAACTCGCACCACGACACCGTATTCAATATGGGGACGCCTTATGCGAATGTAACCGCGCCTACGCAGCTGGAGCTAGGTCGAAGCTATGTCCGGTACCCGCAGGAGGTCCTAGATCTGGCCGAGCAGGTTTGGGTCTTGAGGAACATGGGAGTCCTTGCAACTGCAGCTCGTGGTACGAGGCCCGAACATGAATCCAGTGGCGGCATTGTTCCGGAAGGGACCTTTAGCAGCGAGTACAATGCTTTCTTGTCGCGTCTACCTGAAGAACCACTTCAGAAAGATTTAGAGCTCGACAGTCTCTTTCAATTCTAGCTAACGAGGCTGAGCAGTCAGAGCTGTTGAACACCTGTACATATTTGTTCAGAAATTGAATGCTTCTGCTGACATGAACGCCAAGGCATACGTCGCAGTCATTCCTGTTGGAACCTGGGCGATCGACCGCAACAGAAACGATAACACGGTAAACACGAGCCTTGTTGAGAGTATAGGAAGAATGCTGCAATAGAACACGGGGCTGAGGGTTGGAAGGACTTCCACCGTAGCGCAAGTCGTGGTTTCTTTGTCTCTGAGTTCTCAGCCCGCGTGAGGGCATTCATTCCCTCGCATACCGCAAACCTTCGCGCACAAGTCGCTAACTATTCATTTGCCCCGGCTTGCCGAGAGGCTCTCAGTCGAAAGTCTGGGGATGACGTGTAATATAAGCGGCGTGAAACATACAAGCCTTGCTCGATCTCAAAGTAGCAGCGTGGACGAGGATGATGCCTGAGTATGCAGGTATGCATCCATCCTCTCCTCTAGAAAACGACGCAGTTGATCCTGGCCCCCTCTGCTACTAGGGTCTGCAAGTCTCTCTACAACCTTCGGATCCGCTTGCTTTGAATGAGGCCCGATCTCTTGCAAGATGGCGACAATTCTGTTCACAGGCGAGAACCAGCTGGTATCTCTGTCGAGCAGAGTGTATAGGTGCTTCTTAGTGATACGTATCCTTCGTGCTGTACCATCATTCTGGATTGAAGAGGATGAGGAAGCGAGCACAAGCGGACGAGGTATCGGCGTACTTTGATCCAAACAGTCTGTCCGACCCACTTCTTCACGAAATCAAATGCGAATTGGAAAGCCTCCACCATGTCAGCATCGGAGGGGACTTTGTATCCCTTCTGTTTGACAAAAGATTGCCATCGTTCCGTGAAATCTGAACTCTCCGAGGCAGCGTTGACGTTCTTGATATAATTGAAGACGGCAGAAGCTTCTTCCAAGAATATCATTCGGCCAGGTTGAGCCGTTGAGCGTGCGCGTTTAGTTTCCTCCGTTTCCTGAAGGACACGTTCCGCTTTCTGCTGACTGGGTTGTCCGATGCGCTTGCGCTTGCCTTGGCCATATTCCCCTGGCAAGGTGGGGACGTCAGATAGCTTAAACCCTCAGTTGTCAGCACCAGTCGACCTATGCAATGCGGCAACTGACTTTGAGAATGTGGAGCTCCAGTATTTCTCCGCTCGAATAATACAGCATTTCACGAAAACAAGCGCGCGTTGTCTCTTTACCAGGACCCGTAAGTTTGACAAACGGTTCTAAGTCGTCATCGAGCGCGGTAGCGAGACGAGCGTTGCCTAATATATATGGTAAATCATATGCTAGTGGACGAACAGACAGCGAACACACCCTCTATGCAACATGGCGAGTTTTGAACTGCCTCGAGCAATTCCTCTGCTTTGATGCATGTCTGTCCAGAGGACCCCACCGTATAGCACCGAAGAGTGAACGAACTCCGCAAAGCCAGTGACGGAGAGCCCCGATGATCGATGATTCTAACGTCAACTTTTGTCTAGAAGACGCATGAGCAGGTCTTGTACCCAGGCCATCTTATGAAATAATCTTCGTACCTGCATCATGTCCATGGTTGAGCTCGCATGTCTACGTTCATGACTGCTGGCGGGAAATCTCTCGCTGCTGGTCATATGGGCCTCCGAGCGCATAAACATATTGCCCAAGAGAGCTTGGGTGTGATCAGCGTCCAGATGAGCTCTGGTTTATGGCGTACGATGCTTACTCACTATGATTGTATTGTACCCGATCTTGATTCCACAGCACTGAGTTCAAATGCGAACCTTGCGGACTGAAGGAACGATGCTCGTCCATAGCAGCGTTAGTGCCCTGCACAGATGCTTCGGTAGGATTCCTATAGTCTGTATAGCTCTTAATCAGGGCTGGAAGCTGTCTGTCATGAACACGCAGACTCACGTTGCTCAATTGGGTGCATATACTCTTGAAATCCTGGTTCATCTTCATAACCTTCCATACCTTGTAGAAATTCTGTCGGCTCCCGAAAAGCTTCTGACAGAGGCCTTTTGGAAATGACTAGCGACATAAACGGCAGCTGCTTACTCTGCTCAATCAGTTGAAAATCGTTTGCAGCGCGTGCGATGTCGGTGTCACGCACAGGAGACGTGGCCTCCGGTGTATTGTTTCCCTCAATCGAGCCCTCCGTCATATTTGCCATGTCTGGACGGTACATCTGTTACTGCAGAAGGAAGTTGAGCTGGACAATTGCTCACCTCGCTCAGTTGTATCAGCTTTGTTGACATGCTGGGCGTCAGAAGGAGACAATGTTCCATTCGGTACGTTCGCTTTATCAAGATCACCATCCAAAGAGTCGGGGATCTCTGAAGGAAGAATCTCAGCGTGGCAGGATAGAATCAGTGGGACTTCCGCTGACGCTGAGCAGCCGACTGCAAATCTGGTACGAGTACCCCTTGGTTTACATCCTCAGAGAAATCATCGCATATGGATGCACTGCCGAGAGATAGGCGACTTCTATCCATGCTGATCATGTCTTGACAGAATGATAAGTTCGATAGGAGGCATGACTTTCAATTTACTTACCATTATGAACCGAATGTGAGTGCTTTACACTGTGTTGCTCAAGGGCACAGTCAGTGACTGAATCTTCCGACGCATTGCCATCGTCACAAATTCGGAAGCCATTGGCCGCATTTGCTATAACGTTTATCATGTCACGTTTTGTCGTACGTCCCCGAGGCTGATATTTCTTTTTTGCGGGCCAGAGATGTATGTTGGACTCAATTATTGCCTGAAGGGCTTCTTTCTTCAGAAGATTCCTGTTGTATGTTATGCCATTAGAAACAGACGGTGCGAATCGTCGTTCAACACTTACAGTTCCTTCTTGGTGTACGGTCTGGAGTGAGGCATTTTCCGGCTGATCCGTATGGTGATGAGCTTTGGGTACTGGGATGGTACGATGTGGGAAGTACTGCACAACCCTCCTATGATAAACGCGACGTGCGTTAACATTTTTGTTAGAGTCGCCACGTGATTTATACTAAGGCTTCACAAACCGGCCTTCCATTGCTGGCACCTGTGGTTGAAGTGGTATCCGTCATGCTAGTAAGTTCTCCCGAAAATCAGTCCGGACATGAGCTAATGTAACCCTAACGGGCAATAGGGTACCTCTAATAGGCAACCCACCAGTAGTACCCCTAATAGGCAATCGGGATAACCATGGAGTACTGGCTTGGCAACACCCGCACCACCGCCAACACCTGCACCACCGTGAGGCTTTGCAAATCCTCACACAATTGAGATGAAATTATCGGCCGACCGGCTGCCGGGTGTGACTGTGATCGTTGTCAATGTCAACCAATTCGGCGGGGAGCTTTACGATTGGGGACGGGACCATATTAGCGCCCGTCAGCACCAAAAACCGCGCACTCGCTTTCAGCATTATGATTTCAAGCTCAAGTCTGCAGGATGAGTTCCGGAAAGCTACGTACGTGCACAGATATTTACTCACCGTTTTTGCGGTGCGATATCACGAGTACCGACGGGAAATGCTCCGTCCCCGAGCTGCGATGCTTTGTCACAGTGTAGAACGGCTTTCCTCTTGTCCACCTGGTGCTCATTTTTTCGCGTAAAAATCTCGATACTACTCAGAACATGAAGTATGGCATCAAACTAGCATATATCAACAGTCAAGTTGTAATGGCCATCAGACGGTCAAGGCAATAAACTGCTTATTCATGAAGTCGTGGTCCTAGAATCGTTCTCGAATTAGTTAAGCACTTCTTTGAATCTATGGATGATCTGACCCATGTACCTAAAAGGACGTGCGCGAGCGACTGCCATGCATTCTGTGAAGTACTAACAAGCCCGATACGTCCAGGTTCTCACGGCCGGGGTGAAGTACTGGATAATCTACATCACGAACGATTGACCGAAATTAGTTCATATACTCTCATCATGCGCAGCCGTCTCGTATTCTTCCACATTGAATATAGCGCTCAGCTGTTTCCTTCCTTCCTCAGTAGTATGCAGCTCATAAACATGCGCAATTCTGGCGGCGGTCGACCACTATAAGAGCATCTGACCAATTTCCATACAGCAACTCGTCACCCGCCCGGGTATTGTCGCTCTGAAGTCCAGCCATCACTATGTCGAGCTTCATATGCCACGGGTTGTCCATTGCGCTTCAAGAGCCAGTTGAAGCGGCCGAAGTGGAGGACGAGATAGACGGGGAGAGAGAGGCTTCCAATGCTTGGGAACAACTTCGCACAGAACACCTTTCCTGTGTCGATCCACAGGAGCTCCGCTTACAAACGTTAGAGCAGGTCGTAGAGAACGCTTCGAGAGTCGTCACTGATGCTACGGATCACGAATACCGAAGGTGATCATTGATCACATGGAACCTGCCGTCGTCTAACTTATCAATCAAGGTTGATGAAAGCATTCGAGGTTTGGCTCAAGAACAAAGGATACATCGAGTATGATCGTGATGTCTTCGGGGACGTCATACTTGACAACATGCCGGAGTGTATCGCTGCCTGGATCATGGAAGAGTGAGTGTGGACCACTCTGTCATACTGTTTGCTGACTTCGTATGTAGGTGCGATGAGATTCGTCTGGACGGTACGGCGAAGCCACCCACAGAGTATAGGGCATCTTACAGCCAGGCAATGAAGATGAGAGCTTCGATGACTTACGGGTTTGGAAGATTAAAACTCCGAGGCATCCACACGTGGATGAAGAATGACAGCGGCACAAGGTGGCAGGGTAACCCTTCCATGTCTACACAAGTCTCTCGCTACATGGTGTCGCTCAAACGTAGGAAGGTAAGTTATCACCTTTCCATAAGCGTCGCTCCTCCCTAATGCCTTTGTGAAACAGGTGCGCAACGGAGAAACTGCGATGAGCTCGCGAGCAGTTACTGCCGAAGTGCTTAAAGCCTTATGGACTTTCAATCGCCAGCCGGATCATTGGACGATAAGGCCATACGAGCCCGGGAGCCGCGACAATCAAGACATTCACTACTGGGGTGGTGGCCGCGCCCGTCGGTTGCTACACTGCGCTTATACGATTGCGTTTTGGTGCCTTCTCCGCTTCGACGAGGTGCTACAGATCCAGATACATGATATAGAGCTTGTTTCATCTACCTGCATAAAGCTCACTATTCCTTTTCGGAAGACTCATCAGAACGGCGGTACGCGACAGATTTTCCGTTTGAACATGAAGTATCTGTAATAATAATAAAATCTTTATGCAGGAGTAAAACCGTTCTACCTGCATATACTCCACTCCTCCGAGAGACATCTCTGCCCCGTTCGTGCATTTGCTGAATGGTATGCTATCAATGGCAGGCAGCTACAACACGGCTACGTCTTTCGACGAATCGCATCCGGCGATCGGGTCAGCGACGAGAATACTCCCCTTGTAGGCCTTTCTCTCCTACAGTGTGTACATGAGCCCTGACTGTAGCTGCTGTAGCGAGCAGAGGAATTCCTCGAGATGTTCCGCAACAACTTGTTGGATATCAACGTTGATCCACATTTCTATGGAACCCATTCTTTCCGCCGCGGCGGATGCCAGTATCTCTCAAGTGAACGACGATGGGGATTACGCAAATTATGCGACTGGGGTGGATGGAGCGTGAACTTTACCAGCCTCACCATCGTCAAATATCTCATTTCTTGGAACGATAACCCGTTGGAGCCGCGCGAGGAGTTTTTGAATCCAAATCGTTCGCCCGCCCTCCACTGCCCCCAATGTGGACGTTCTTGCCATTGTGCATAAGGTTATCTGGAGGGATGTTGAGTGCGTTGCAGATTGTGATGGAAGAATATGTGAGTTTCACTCCTTGTACTGTGCTCAGGCTCGCCGCTCACGCTTTACTCCTGATATCGAGTATGTTTAGAAGCATTGCTGTACGTCTCGGACATGAATGGTCTAGTTCTGTCTACCCCCTTTCTCCTCGCGTCATCGTACGATAGATTTGCGCCATCCTCACTGTCATCAGTATTATTGGCTTTGATATGTAATAACCAAGCACCAATTCCCGCGGTTTGAATCAGCGAAAGCATGATACATGGCTCCAGCAGGAATGAGTATATCGACTCTTTCAACCCAATGTCTAGTATGTCAGACGAGAAATCTAGCGGTGGATTGCACAGAGAGGCCGTTCTTCGACCGACGGGTTTGATCAGCTTGGCATCTGTAATTGTTTTGTGTACCTCCGTCTCGAACACCCAGAAGAAACACTCCTTGCATATTTGCTGGCCCGCCATTCTTTGGTCTTTTGAGGATGGGCCGAGCACTGTTGCAGAGACTGCGGCATGACTGGCCACGTTCCTGCCACATGCAGGAACCGATCGCAGATTTGCGATCAATGCGCACGCTCAACCGTGACTGTCTCGATTATCCAGACAGGACCAGCTTGCTAAACAATCACTCTGTCCTATCTGGTTCGATATGCCTAGAGAGAGAATAGAAAGCGAGGCAGAAAGCACAAAAAGCCAAAGGAAGAACTGTCGCAGGCGGGTCATCAGGAGGTCGTCGCGCGTGAAGCCGACTATGAAACACAAGCCGTGCCTTCTTGGATAGTATCGGCTCCCGCCCAGTCTGAAGTCGGTCGAGACGCGCCATTCAGGTGCGCTGATTCAGAAGTCAAGGCGTATTTCCGCACTGTCGACATGCAGATTTGCGAATGGCAGGAGCAGAGTGGCGCCATGTAAGACGACGATGATGTTGATCCCAATGAAGGTGTGTTCATGCGCCGAATTCTTCTGGGGATATGCAGAATTTACATATGATATCTAGACCGGAGGCCTTCCTTTGTCTCTGCTCTCACGGGAATGTCTGACAAAGAGAAGCAGCTTGCTACAGATGCAAACTGTTCGACCGTGCTGGAGAGGATGGCCGATTCTATGGATAATCTCGTTCGGAGAGTTTTCATGGACAGACTAATGGTGTCATAAGTTCTGCAGTGAATATAGACCTGCACACATCTCACTAACTGCCAGTCTGAAGGTTTGAACAATTGGCAGCCCATAGGTTTGCCTCGCACGTATGTCAAATCATGTTTGCTGTTGCGAACAACACGATATCAAGAGAGGTTTGTGCAGTATCATACGCTATCAGCTTAACGTCGCTAACATATAAGTAGGCCAAAGGTGTCATCGCTTTCGCACCGGAGTCTTCTGACATTGGAGAATTACGAATGTTGACGTACCTTGTGATGGATGCTTGCGAGGTTAGCCAAGCTGCTGCTTGTGCACGATGACGAGTTGACGATTGGACTCCAGCAAATGCTTCTATCTCTACCATCGCTGATCATGGACCCGTTCGCTTCTCACGTTATCTGTGCTCTCGTTCTCCTCTGAGCACCCGACTGCTTCCCGAAAGTTGATGGCGGTGCCGCTTCGGTGCGATCTAAGAGAAGCACCTCCTACAAGGTTCGCCAAGGGCCTGTGAGGTCAGTGTTCTCTGGCGGGGAAATCCGCACTCTGGATGCTACGGCACAACGCGCACCTCCAGAGTTTGCTGAAATCACGAACAAACTTGTCCTCAAGCTTCGCAAAGACCTCGGTGACAACGACGTGCGGGAATTAGCTGCGGACAAAGTGGCCAGCCCCGTGCCTCAGGTAAATTTGTGGCAATACCTGTAGTACGCGTCACGGATGCTGCTTCAAGTAGAAGCAGGTTCTGCCATGGCAGGTACTCCAGGTTCGCTGATGGATCGAGCACTGGCAAGGCTCATTACGTTTTCTGTACGTTTTTGTATCTGGCCCCGACGTCAAATGTCACTGACACTCTACGTACATCGAGATGATTCGGTCGGGCCTGAAGCATCCGATTACTTGATGAACCTGTTCGAGATCCCACTGCTTCGCATCTGCTGGAAGCACTCGTGCGTCGATCGCCTGCCAAGGTATTCAAGGTTCTGTGGGCAATCTACTTCCGAGGCGAATTGCCGAAGCTTGCCGTGCATTCTGTTGCCAATTTTGTCATAGCGAAGGCTCTCGAGCGCGTAGATGCAAGCGAATGGGTCTGTATCTTATCGAGCCTGCAGCTGTGATAGATATTGAACACAAATTGTGAGATAGAATGCAGTGGGTGATAGGTCTCTGTTATAGAACCGATTCTGTCATTTTGGCGCTTGCGTGCCTGTCATTTTCCCATACTTTGAGTCTTAACAATGCACCTCGATGCGATGCATACGCATGACAGTGCTTTAACTGGGTGATAAAGTAATCTTCCACGTGTTAGGCTGCAAAGGTCTGTTCGAGGTCATTGCAATGCAGGCGCGACGATTCTCTGATGTTCCGTACTCTTGTTTTCTCCCACTCATGCTGTTGTACATCTACATTCATACAACTGCAAGCACCTCCCCGAAAAATGGTTTGTAATCGTACGATAGTTGCGAACCACACGAGTAGCATTTCACGCCACATGTTCGCGTTTCTCTCAATATCCATATATTCATGCAGCAGACTGGAACATTCGGTAAATATGCATGCTTCATAAGGGTGCAAGAACATATCATAGATCTGGTGAAACTGGATAGCTTCCCATCTGGTAATCCCCTCGATGACCACGCTAGAGCTATCCTGTGATCAACCAAGCAGGTTTGCGGGGAAGGTGCAAAGTGAGCACGAACCTCAATTACCTCACAGTGAGGAGCCTCTTCGACATCAGTAGCAATGCATGGTCTGCACTAATCGGCTATAGGCATGGAGTGGAAGTGTAATCCATCAGGTCCTGTGAACGCGGGGCTGGTACACCCACGTCAGGAATCAAAGCGAAACTCGGCGAATGAGTGATATGGCTTACTCTTCCTCGATCTGATTCTCTCCATAACTTGACAGGTGACACACCGCTCGAGAAGCTGCAATCTGGATGTACTGCCTGTGTGAAATCGTACACTCAAGACATCCACGAAGCAACGTCATACCGTAGATGCCACTGCAGCTGGAGCATTGAAAATCAACCTAATCGCCGTGTGCGAATCCAAACACATCAAGAGCACAGCTACGATGTTCACAGAAGAGCTGGGAAGCAACAAAATCAACAATGAGCATTAGGTCTGATAATATATGACATACGCCGCTAAAAAGTATATCATGCCGTCGCGGTATACAACTGCCAGCAATTTCGAGTTTCCAGTTCGTCCGTGTAATTTGATGACGCTGAGTACAAGGACTAACACATCGAGGACCATGCAGTAGATGAATACAGCAGCGAGTAAAGCATAATTCGCATGTGTTATTCTACACCCAGTATCGGTGTCCCACGCGGCGCTCAATGTAGTACCTAGTTGAAGGGAAGATGTGAAGTAACCGTACTCAGACATCTTAAGGTGTCCGACCTTGCAAGATGAGCGTCCAATGGCCCAGGATGGCAAAAACGAGGGGAACGACGATGTACAGGTTTTTTGCCCAGATAGTAATTCTAGAGTCAATCAGCACACGTTCCTTTAATGGGTCTTGATAAAATCACTCACATGCGAAGGGAGAGATTGATGCTAGCCAAGCCAACAGCAGCATCCCCCGTTAGCTCCAAGAAGGATATGTGAGTGATTCCGATCGCATTGCAATCACGTCAATCACCTGGTTGAAGATTGCTAGAGCTTGACAATCTATTTTGCTGGAATAGGAGTCAGTTTTATTCATGCCCTAGACATATCCAGGATCCTGCTCACGATCTTGTATCGATAGAGATCAAGCTGTCCGATTGCTTTAGTAACATGCCTGTAATTATAGCGGTGAACCTTACACGCCAATCAGGGCCGAGAGAAGACAGTATCTTCCAGCAAGGTAGAAAGTCTGCGAGCAGTCCTTGAGCTGGCGAATGGTCCGACGTCAATGAGACTCACCAATGGCCATCTGAACCGCCTTTTCCTTGCCACCAATGACCAGTCGAAGTCAAATGTGCACAGAAACTCCCACCTACGAAACCATGTTCAAAGCGGTTACTCTGATTATGAAGCTTTTTGACTTGCAGGTAGAGGCCTGCTGTGACATGCATAATCTTGCTGAATATAGCGACTGGAAGCCCATGTCAGCACCATAACGCAGTATATTAGCAGACGTCAGCACGAGCGGACCATTGTGGCGTTCAACTTGGTCGGACAGTGTCCATGCAGACATGCTTGGCCAGGAGGGATTGGCTTTAAATTGAGTAAATTCAATCGCGAAGAAATACTCAGCGGAGAATCATCAACGACCTCGTGGAGCTATACGCGTGGGAGAACCGCCAATAGAAAGCCTGCCATTTCGGACTATGGTTTGCTCAAGGTAAGGAAGTATTCGAATCGGATATCGATAGTCATAGTCAATGGTATCTCCCTCCGATTGTAACGCCACCAGTTCCGGACATTGCCCTGAGGATACTGGATCTGTGACCACACGCACGGACGTCTTTTGCTCCGGGCTGGCGCGCCTCTTCTCAAAATGAGTATGGTCAATTCGAAGTGAGTCTAGGTACGAGAACCATGCTTTGCCTGAGAAGCTGCTGGAATCACGACGTTACCCTTTACCCTACCATAGGTTCAGTCACACATCACACCCACCTTTGAACTGGCCTTTCAGTTCAAATGTCAGCATCACCGGCCGGTTTGAACTAAGGGTCGTATCAAAGTCACACCGTTCCGGAGCTCTTTTCGTGGGTGCTTATGTATTTTCCCCCTGTTGCCGACAGCGTTGGTTATCAGAACGAAGAATAAGCGCCCTGAAGTGAGCACATCACAGAGGCTCCTGAACTAAGGTCCGGCCCAGTTCCACACCACGGTCGAAATGGTGCAGTTATCCGTGCACTCGATGCAATTGTACAATGCCAAGGCACAGTCCAGAACCCGTGGGCTAGCCAGTACTCAGTACGCCCATTATGGCCGCAGATGAGTCATATATCACGGGATCCAGGTTCCTCAGCAGATGGTTCAGAGTACTCCGAAGAACTTCATCAGCACATCGCTCCAGGAACATAGGCACTCTGAGCCAAGCAGATGCTATGGAAAGTCCCTCGATGCTGCGACGGAGACAAACCCATACAGAGGTTTTTGCCACGGATCAAGCAAGAGTTGGTACAACAAAGAAAGACGTGATCGGTTGAATTGGCGATTCGGTTTCGAGTGGCGCCCATAGATTAGCCGGGAGCTTATCGTGGGATCTTAGCGCAGCTCCTGCAACGGCAAATGTTTCTGTCGAACGGCGCCAAGCTCCACAGCATGCAGTCCCATTTGTGATTAAGTCCGATCGTCGGGCACTGATCACAGGTTAAACTCCGAAAGGCTTCAACGATAGGCCCCTGTCCGAAAATATCGCACACGCGTAGTTCATCGGAATGATGGGAACCTACCCTTTTGTGGTCAAATGTGGCTGTATGTACTCCGCACTGGCATGTACACAGCACAAATCGAAGCCATGATTTCGACCTCCGACTCTTCCGCCTGTGTGTGATTTTCGTCGCGAGGGCCTATCGTTTTGAATTCAGCCGCACTACGGAAGATGTTTATACGCCTCTCGCCTTGACTCTGGTGAGCTGATCGTCGCTTTCTGCAAGCATACTCAAGGGGTACAGCTTTCGACGTAGGTGTACACTTGAAGAGATGGTCTAAACAATTTGCCACCGGCAACGAGTCGCCAGATTCGGCTGGGAGAGGAAAATCTGGTCGTAGAATTTGACCATTAAAGGGCTCGGCGTGGCGATGACTCTATTGCTCCACACCCAGCCATTCAACGGAGACGCAATTACTGTGTTGGAGCGTTCGATATCATCATCACCCCCTTCTTCACTCTTTCGAAGACCGCTGTATTTCCGACATTGAGAGACATGCATTCCAGACCCCTTTCTAACATTCACCGAACGAAAAAGAAGACACAGGCGACTGCGCTTAGTGAAATGAACATGAACTTAGGACGATAAGCTCGGGATGCTTGCGGATCTCTCCGAGGGCATGCGGGGGATGCGATGTTGTGCCGTATGACATGAGCACATTCTTCACTTATCGGTTGGGCTTCTATATCGAAAACGTAGCTGGTGCTATGGGGGCTCGCGCGACCGTCAGAGAGGACTTACGTCTGTGGCGTGCAGACTGGTCCCGCCAGCTTCGTACTTCAAAAGCTCACAGATGCACTTGTAGCTCCGAGCACAAGTTACATGCGTGACACTCGAGAATCGCCACCCTCCATTGAGCAGAAAAAATAGAACGTGTGTCGTTACAGTGAGGGACTCATCAATATAATGATAATACGATGGGCGTGTCTCTGTCTGCATCTCTCTGATGAGTTTCGGTAGCTCGAGTCAGCATTGCCATGACCCATTTGTGAGACACTGGACTGCTTGAACGTACGCGGATTGGGTGCCGCCGGACGAGATCGCGTTCTTCGAGACCGAGTTCTTGATAACGTAGAGTGACATTGTACTGGGAGAGGAGGACGGTACTGGACCCGTCGAATGACCTCTGTCAGAATTGAATCAGTCACAGGTTCAAAATCGCGACTTACAGACAGAGGCATTGGAATACCACAAGTCGTACGTACACAGAGCGATTGCAACCTGGTGAGCAACGTATCCATCTTGGATCCACTTTCTCTGTTCATCAGACCCTAGAGTAAGTGGTTGCGTCGAAACGACAGCAAGATTGTGCCCGATAGGATTTATTTCAATATATATCTTTCCATCGGCGGGATGAGCTGAGAACACGGATTCTTGTTCAGCGTCACGAGGACCACAAAGAAAATTACTTGCACCATGACTGCAGACATGAACAGAAACGTGCGACACAGACAGGAGGATCCGTAGGAACGCAGGGACGCTCCAAAGCGATATGAGGCCCCGTCATAGCTGGACTCGGATGTGGGCTCGACTGTTAGGACATGATTGTGAGGGTTGCCATTTTGTGTTGAAGGTTGTAGACACCTCGAGGGAATGTACCGGTCCAATGGGCAGGAGGTCGTCAAAAAGGCCAGGGAGTTGGACGTAGGGACATTTAGCAGGCAGCCAGGCCAATGATTCTGCAGCCAGGTCAACGGATGTTGAAACATGAAAGATTGACTGACCTTGACGCGTGAGATTCGCACGATCAGACCGCGCACAGTCGTACCGCTTAACACCATCCACCCTCACGAATGAGCCGCGTACCCTAGTTTTACGATGGCGACCTAACGTGATCTGTATCTACAAACGAAAATGACCCATTGTGGCCCCGGTCAGTCGTACAGCCACGGTTCTAGCCCAACCATTCCCGACCGCCTGACGAATCCCTATTTGTGCCCATATGTTGACAGAATACGAGCTTGCCATGGAACGCCGTGGTAGATCAAGAACCATCACCCCATCAACGAGATCAAGGGGTGCAGACATGATCCATAGGCAGAGCATGACTGCACCTCGTAAGCTGGAGGAGAGGCGCGTCGCCGCAATAGATATAGCCAGGTCTGTACCAGAAAATGTCACCTCACAGTACATACCATCGCCGATCCATGAAGGTGAGTCACCGACCTTTATGTTTAGACCTCTATACATGGTTCTTTGACAGACACATGCGGTAGACATGGCTTGACCGCATCCAACGGCAGCATTGATCGATATGGCGAAGGCCTCCATGCTATCAGACGGGACGCAGGTATCAGGCTGACCGCTGCGGCACCTGCATATGGTGACGTGAATCTTCCTGAGCTGTTCAAGACAGAACAGCTGACAACGGTGAAAGAGAACAATGAGTACGTACCTCCTAGATAGGATGAGAGGAAATTCATATCGGAATCATAGAAGGTCGGACCACGAACACCTGCAGGAGCGTTTCGATGTGCTCGAACAAGAGATTCTCGAACAAGAGATTTTGAGCATATGTACAAAGTGGCAGGCAGCGTTGGAATCGGAGTGTACGATGGGCATTTGTCTTGTGGATAGGGCATTAGAAGACCAAGACCAGGAGGTAGAGCAGACTGCGGCAAAGATCTCTGCAGAGCGATCGAAACACAACCGGCGCACGATAACCACCAGAGCAGCCCGAGAGCCTGTCTCGACTGCAGGTCTGCCAAGCTCTTGTGATGTCTGCGATAATTTTCATTGGGACGCAGTCCGAGACTATCGAAGGGTGCTCCGAAATCGTCCTGCTAGCATCGACGGCCCTTTGCAGAATGACCAAGGACAGTGTGTCGCAACTATTGATGGAATGGCAAGTTACTCGTACAGAAAACTCGGGAAAAATTACGCTGAAGGTGCGTCGTATTGAGACTGATGAACATAATGGGGCTAAATCGACCAAACAGAAATTAAGAATGCCAGAATGTCAGCCATGCCGAGGGATACGGGAAGGGGAACACTTACAGAAACATGCAAACACATCCTCCATTCTTCACCTTCCGAATCCACAAGCGCATCGTTGATGCAAGTAACCACAGCACGAGGGTGCATCATGGAAGCCTCCGTTAGCCACAACCCTCCTCATTTGCAATGGCGCGAGCATTATACTCAGGACGAAAATGCGCACACAGTGCCTTTGGTAATGCGAACGCTACAATGCTTACGGCTGTATCGCGCACAGACCGCAGAAGGTGGATCATCGACAAACAGTCTTGAGTGTCTCCACTCTACCAGCAGGGGACCTGTGGATGGACTGCTTCCTTTCGGCAGGAAGCTCAGCGAACTCACGAGAACGCTTGTGGATCTGTTACAGAAGTGGTCTGCCTTCCACCCAATATCACCGGATCATCGGGGGAAGGACCAAGGGAGGACAATGATCGCACTTGAGAAGAGTCAAGCTAGTCCTTTGTTGAAGACGCTGAAGAGCAATCTTGTCGAAGAACAGATGCGAGATGAAGAGAACATATCACAGAGGGCAATCAACGATGTCGGAGCAGAGCAGCATGATGGAGAGAACATACAACGACGGGCAAGCCTATACGTACCATTTGACGACTCTTCAGATATCTGGTCTCTCCCTGCACTCGTTGCCCCAGCCTATATCCTCCCCAATATTTCCGAGCGCCCTTCCCTCGAGCCGTTTATGACGAATGCCATGAACGAAACTACGCTAGATGATCCTTTCCGAGCGGGTTCGGGGACCTTGGTCGACGAAGCTATGGGCCGAGTTGAAACAGGCGGCCGTCAACATTTGCGGGTGGTCAAGACCAAAGACCCGCTCCGACTTCGCAGGTTGGCCTTGAGCAATGTTGCACGAGAGTATGGGTTAGCTGTACCAAGAGTGCAGTCCTGGCGAGAGGATAGAATGATTGTAGATCTGCATCGTGCTTCCGTTGAGCAAAGCCACTTGAGGTTTGAAATTTATGACTTAGAATGCCGGTGAGTCTCGGCTGCCCCGATCGCAATTCTTCAGATCTCTGACTGCTTGCTCATTCATATTTTCAGAAATACGCCAGCTGTCACCACTGCTCAAACATTCCCCAAAAGCTCATGTCCTACTCCGCAGACGAGTAACGAAGCGTGGAAAACTAGTACACCTGCGAATCTAGAGTACGATACCGTGATGCTTTAAAGGTACTGTCCTGTCGCATACGGTCGTGCTTGAATAGACATCGATAGCGCCAGTATTTCTTGTCGGTTGCCAACCATCAGGCATTTCGATGCGCTGCCGATTAAGCGCTCGACAGATATTAAGCGCGCAGAGGAGATAAGATTAGATCCCAATTGAGTTTTTTTCGCCAATTGACTCAGAGTTTCTCATACTGATCAGGGAGTACTGGGTCGTCCATCTACTCAGCAGTGCCTGCTATCATCATTCCTCTCTCAGTCTCATCCTGCTGATAATGACCGCCTCTCCTCCAATCTGGTTGCTCTGACCTGTCGGGCAGTATTCAGAATACCCAATGACACTATAACGTGCGTCGGGTCAGTGCAAGTGAGGGCCCGTACTTGGGAATGTAGGCGCCCGTAGCCTGGCTCCTGCCGTCTAGATGCCGGAAAGGACGATTACAGGCGGGGTTCGAACATCGCGTAACCTTTGTTATCCGCTCCCAATCGGAGAATCAACGCTGACTGATGGTTGCGTTTGCGAACCTAAACTCTCCGAGCTCGTTGGGCTCATCCCTCCTTCAGTTCTCCTCTCCCTCGCTTGCGAGCCGTGACCTTTCTGCCTTGGGGGCCTTCCATCCTTTGCTTTCCTTGCTGCCCACCCGCTCGATGCAGGAGCCACCCTTCACGCATTCTCGTTCTTGCATGCTCCTTTTGCAGACTCGGTTCTATGATCACTGATGGTGTGCGGCCAGGCGTGCATCATCGACTGGGAGGCAACGATGACCCGCCCGCTCTGGGCGTGCGCACACGTCCCCACGTTCTTCCACCTCCCCCTTTCACTGCAAGGATCTTCCGTGCGATGGTCGAGAAGCTCGCACAACGTCCGTGGCTTGCGATCATCAACGGGCACCCCATCGACCTCGCGCGCATCGCGGCGGGGTGGCTGTACCGCGAGGCGAGCGGTGCACGTCTGCGCATGGTAACCGGTATCTCGAGTGGGATGGGTGGGAGGAATGGCTGGTGGAAAGCATTATGGGCCCGAAAGAGAATGATGATGCGTGATTCAACAGCCGCGAGGATGAGGACGAGCGCACGCCTGTGGGCAGCTGGCCCCGGTTTCCCATGTTTACCTCTGCGACTCTCGCGGAGAGTGCGAGCGAAGATGATAATGTGCGGCATATCGGGAATGCGAAGGGGGTCGGTGGTGGCAGTGGCGGTGCCGTGGGCACCCGCCAGTTCCGCTAGTAAAGAAGGTGGTGCAAGTGGAGAAGGAGCGGGAAAGGGAGCTGGTACCCGTGGGGAATATTTGTGGCGGGCGTTGAGGCGAACTGGGGAGGCGGCTGGAGGCGTGGTTGCATGTCAAGGGGAATGCGGATTGAAGAGTGGGGTTGAGAATGCCATGGAACCCATCTACAACGGCATGTTGCTCAAAGGCGCGTCTCTGTCATCTACCTGAGGTACTCCTTCTCACGTTGAGAAATCATGCTGCTGATCGAAATGCATGTTGCAGCTCAATCCGCACTCGGTCAACATGAAATCAATCTGACGAAGCATGAGGTGCACTTTCTGAACGAGGACGCCATCATGGGGCATACCTTGAATGCCTTCAAAAGAAGCTTGTTGGGGAGAGCCAGTCGCGCGTGTTGATTATCAGGTTCGTGCAGATGGTGGAGAATGAGCTTGACGGCTGACGGTGACGTTGTAGACTCTCCTTACGGGCGACGTCGCTGAAGTGCCGCACAACAAGGGAAAGGACAACAAGCGAGCGCTCGACCAGGAGGACCGCGATGATGAGAACGAGGAGACGCATGCAGAAGGCTCCTCGACACCGCTCTGTATGCTATTCACCATCGTAACCGGCAAATCTGCTAAAATAAAAAGAGCTGTATGACCACAGCTTCTGTTCAGCAGCAGCAGAAGAAGCTCTTGTCGCACGAAGTGCGCACTTCGCTGCAAGACCGCCCGCTAGACTCCATGTTCGCGGTCGTCAGTTTTTCGCAGCAGGCGAGCGGAGGCAGCGGGCCGAGTGGGGCAGAGACGCCGCCGCATCAAGTAACCAAGGCGCGCGACAGTAAGCAATCGCTGTGCTATTTGACGTCGGTTCCGAACCTTAGGCAGGCTTTGGCTAAGAGGAAGCACCGCCATAAGTCGAGCATGAATCAGATTCACGTATGCATCGTGAGATGGTAGTTCGTCACGGAACTTAGTGCGATTTTGGTAAAGCACACGTTCGACGGGATTGTGGACGTCAGTCGGTGCCTCTCCTTCATCTAACACTCGACGAAGCTAAATCTGGTGCATCACGGTGCTCTAGCGTTAAAGCTGTTTTTCCACTGCTTTCATACATGTTTCTCATATTATAACGCCTTATTGGATGCAGAGAGGTAACTGTTTTACCAGCTCGGGCTGCGTCAGCTCGGCGACTTCAGATGGTTGAAGCTCAATCCTGCGTCGTCGCTGTGGACGATCGTTGCTCTTGCAGTCGAGGTGGAGGCATCGAGCGTAGCGGGCTAAGCAAGCCGCGAATCGTCGATGTAAAGTCGCCAGTGGCGGCCTCTCCAAGTTCATTTCCCGACGCTCATTGCTTACATTCTTGACATAGCGCATAGTTGAATATGCTGATTCAGCACCGCAAAATGCTCGATGGATACTTCTTGCTTCGCATCAATGCTGAGGGCGTGGTCGAGAGCCTGCCGATGCTGCTTAGGGACTATACGCACAACCTCGGCACGCTGCTGCTCTTCCTTATGAGACTCGGGCCTCAGGCAAGCACCTGCTTTCTCCTTTATTCCATCCCACGCTGATGAGCGTTCTAGGTTGACTGGACGTCCGAAAAAATGTTTCGATTCGTTCCTTCGCGAGCTCGCATATTTCTGTATATCAGAACCGCTCATAGCGCCGTCCGCGACAGACGTAGATACGGAGCTGTCCGAGGAAGAGAAGGCGGAAGACCGTTCGGTACAGTGGCAGAGACAGCATGTACTGTTCCCCGCGCTGGCGCGGTATCTAGTCGCGCCGAAGTCGCTGTTGGACGGCAATGTGGTGCAGGTGGCGAGCTTGCCGGACTTGTACCGTGTTTTCGAGACGTGTTGATATATGTGAGCGGTCCTTGTGCTATGCTCACCTGTCGCAATGTAAGCTCGGAGCACGTCCATGCAGAAATCCTATCTGAACGAATTTAACAAGCAGTGCATTGATCGGGATGAATCCATCCATCCGAGCTTTGTCACACAGTGGTACGCTCCGGATTCATGTAGCAGTTTGTTCTGTAAAGATGCGCGCCCAGATTGGACGTGCTTGAATCTTTCACAGCATATCACTTCCGTCGTAAGAACGATGAGTGTCGCGCTCATTTCTCCCATACAAGAAGTCTTATCTCAGAAACTCAACGCTCTCCTGTCTGCTTCCTATTTTTTTTGCTAGGATCGCGTTCTCGCTGCCGGATCGTCATTCTGCCGCATACGTTTTGTCATTGACCTCCGCATGCCAACAACTGCGTTGCTCTGAAGCTGCTATACTCTGTCAAGTAGACTCAAAATCATGCGTTCGCATCGGCAGTCAAACAGATTCTCTCTGACTTGGAGATTGCTATCATGCGGTGGGGACATTTACGTGGAAGTATTCATTCACCACTTACCTTGGAAACATGTCACAATACTTCCAGTGTGTCTCACTCCTCAGTCCACGCAACAAGCCCGGAATGTGGCCGGAGGTCAGCCATTGTAAACGCCTCCCGCGACGCCGCGATCTGCCTGCCTCGATTGTCCGGACGAGTGAATGCTGGGGAGCCACCACCAATTCCGATAGAGGAGCAGTGTGATTTTATGGAACAACCGGATCAGTTGAGTGCATGTCAGTGGTCATCAGCAACACTAGGTGACTCTGATCGCCCATGCTACTGGTCGCCAGCCCAGCAGATTCTGTGATACATGGGGAGTGGTATAGCTACTCCATTGGAGAAAACTTGCGGTGACAAATGGAACAATCACCGATTAAGCCAGGTTTGCAAAAGGTACACCCCAGCAGAGCCGTGAAGAAATCTTGTACGATTTGTACAAGTTTTTTTAAGCAGATTATTTAAATCGTATTCCCCTCCACAAACGAAATTAAAAAACGCCATTCAGCACTTGCTTGTCAACTACGTGCCTGATTATACTGACTTGCGTCCGGTCCATAACCTTCCGATCACCTAGGGCCCTAATTTTGCTCTCAATCTCCATCTCTATCCACTGGTCACCCGCCCATCGTCCGCCAATGCACAAGATCGGTAAATGCGGGGCGGGCGAAGTCTATTCGGACATCGACACCCGGTCTCTTTGAATCGGATATCAGAGTGGATGCCGCACCTGTGAGTTCGTACGTACACGTGGAATTGGGCGTGCACTTTGATCTATGGCTTGTGAATGCACAGCGTTTGCACGATAGATATCGAGAAATCGTGAAACCGATCACGATGCTTATTGTTTTCTAACATGTCTCCGATTCCAGCCTTGCATGCAACGCAGCAAGAGAAACGAGGGGACAACAGCTGCACTGGTACAAAGTGAGTGGGATATGACGCCTCGGCGGTCAGTCCATCCCCCAATGACCTCGGAATCAGCATTTTCCTCTGACTAATCGCTCATTCTGCTGTCCATCCGCGCACTTTTCATCGACACGTAAGGTCCGCGTTCGTGTAACTGAACCACATCTATCTAAACGCCGGGAACCATTTACGTTCATCCTTATACTATCGGAGTGGGTGCCATGCTGGTGGATTATTGTTTCAGCGTGGATGCTGATGAGCGGTTTGACCTCCATTCTGCATCCAATTTGACACTGTGGAGATACTCGAATCCTTTTTTGCGTCTCCGACGAATGTCGAGAGAATGCTGACCTCTATGGATGACGCCCATAGCATTTCCATTTTATGGTGAATTTTCCACTTCACGTGCGGTGAGGCTAAGACATATATCAGCACACAAGCCGTTTGCATGAAGCATCTCAATGGTATATGTTGTCAAACCCTACCGCCAGCGTGTCGCAGATCACTATCGCCTCAATGATCGTGCCGCTATCTGACGGTGCGTCGATTCGTCCAAGTTCATTTCACTCACGATGCCACACAGATCATCAGCAAATTAGGCCACCTCCATTGCTGTCAATCCTTACAACTGTCAATGACCTCAACATTCAGGCGGCTAGCCAATCGCGCTCAACAGCCCGGCAGACCACACAGAGCTATCCGTAATGTGTCCTCTGGCATTTCTCGTCATTTGTCTCGGAGACGATCATGTCTGTACGTTGTTCCTCACCAGCCTGAGCCACGCCACAGCGAGATACAGTGTGTCCAGTCGACCGCTGGGTCTGTGAACGTTTGCTCTATGCTTGACACGCCGGTGGTTGAGAGTGCGTCTGCTGGTCGCATAAATGTGTTATTAGGATGTTGCCAGAGGAGTTTCAGCATTCCCTGCTACAATCGAATCCGTCGTCACCGTTCTTTGAATAAGCATGTCTTTCAACGAGCATGGTAGGAAGCGTTTTATTATACATTGTTCCTCTCGTTCATTAATCTCTACTCAGGACCGCGCCAGCAGCTCAATAATCACCTCCAACGCAATGGTCTCACAAATTCACTATCTTGGGAGATGATCAAGACAGATTCTGGACGTAATATTACGTGGGCTGCAAGGGCATACAGTGTGTTGCTAACCGATGAGACAGTTTCAACACCGCTGACCATAGCTGTGCCAAGTAAACGGTGTAGAACATGGAACTGGCACTGGTGCGAACAAGGGTGAGGCTATGGACCGAGCGGCAACACAGACGTTGCTTGTTCTGCAGGGTTAGTCCAGGTACCTGTAACTTGAATGTCCAGGTGAGAACCAGCAGCACGTTGCTCAAATCAACTACTGCTAACGTTACTCCAGAACAGTCAGAGCACTTTGCAACATGTACGATGCACGTAACCTCAGAGAAGACCTCAATATCGTTCCGTAACTGTGTATGCCGTATTCTATCTGTACACAATTCATTTCGCGGTTTAGTATATTCAGCACAATGTTCATTCAGTGCTGTATCTCACCAGCCCAATCGTACTCTCACGTATCAATGCTTTACAGACTTGGCGCTTCTTGAATAATCGTGGTCGCATTCTGAGTAAGTATTGGTTCTAAATTAAAGCCAGATGATGAAGAAATACATTAAAAAAGCTCGCGATGAGTAAAATAGTCCTGGAAACGGTCACAGTGTGCGCTAATTCTTGATACTATAGTACAATGCGCTTGTGCTATGCCCGGTCTTGATGATGTTCCTGGCGAAGTACCCAAGTAGCTTACATCCCTACACCGTGCTGTCGGAATTTGCTGCACGTAAACCAAGCTCTCCTTCGGAGCCGATGTCTGTGACAGACCAGATATGTTGACGGTCATGCACTGTCGCGTACGCTGTTGGACTACGGGGACACATGCATCGCGGGCAGGCAAGTCACTATGCAGAAGGCTGTGCCATATACGGCACCTTATCTCTTTCTTATATCAGTACAATATATATGGGACCGATGATTTGAAACAGTAATGTTGAACAAGTCAGCAAGACGTACTTAGCGTCCGGCAGCCCAAGTTGCGCCTGATCGACGTTTCATTCAGGTATTGCCTCCATGGCCGCGCCGCTAGTCGATCAATTGCTGACCCTACAACGCGCCCGTCAAAACTGCGGAACGGATAGCACTAGAATCTTAATGGACGTCGGGACGGTTCAAGTATGGCCGTCCTTTGGGACGCTCGAACTGATCTTTCACGTCAAGGCACTCTGCATGAAGATTGCTTGAAGCAGTAATTGTCCGGGCCTGTATAGAAGTTTGAGATCATCAACATGTCAATGTGATTGCGTGCACCTGCTCATCAAAATCTAGTGACATACCACGATGTCCGCCAGATTTCCGACATCTCTGCATTTCTACTCCACGCAGATGCGAGGTGGAACTGATGTTTCTACCCTGGAGTTATCTTTGACACCGCCAGTCCATTGGTCGGTATGAGCCGCGAACTAATGCAATATGTCGATTCAGGGCAATCCGCATGAGCATCGTTCACTTCATTGGGCCGACCGTCGTCAATCTCGCTCCTTCGTTGATACGATTAGGAATATTACGCGGTCCATGTGAGTCAATTAATTATCAGCCTACTGCTGTGGCAATGTGTTTTTTCAGTGCAGTGAATACTTGAATCCGGGGGGAGCGTTGTTCCGTCAGCTTCGGTTGCAGTTGCTTAGCACGGACATGTCCTAGAATAACACACATGTGATAATCTAAGTTTGGGGTTTCCGTGTGTTGAATCGCAGTTGACATTCGTAAAGATAGCGATATCATTGGTTCTGACCTGTATACGGTCAGATACAGACACGATGCGTGATTTCTTGCATTAATCACGCACGTACTAGTAATTGACACATTCATAGAAGTTCCGTTGATGACAATGAGAATATTTTCAGGCACATGATTGATGGAGCTCAAGTGACACGCACGCAAAAGTCAGGATGACAATTCGATTGGATGTGTAACCAGTCTGCACAATAATATTTCCAGAAGCAGATTGAATTCAGGGGATAAAGCGGTGCACTGAACGATTACGAAGGTATATGAAGGGATCGGTCGACCAAGAAACGCAACGTACAGTACGGGAACGAAGATACATGTAAGATTCAGCGGTGTCTGGTGAATGAGAATGTTTCTGGCTTCTATATGGGCGTACGCTGCGAGGTAGGGTCGGGCGACGTGATGCTACAGGACCTTCAGCAACTATGCTGACCTCATCGTGTTCGTCCGCCTGGAACTTTGTGCATGAGGATACCGGGCTATTGAAATGCATTATTCAAGCTCACCCATATGGCGGATGCCCATTTAAGGCAACGTTCAGCCGAGCCAGGCTTGGATTCAGGAATTCGTGAAATTCAGCTCGATTGCTGTGGCGGAAGACTTACTGTTTCGAGGTTTTCTGGATATTTGGCCATGATTTTGAAAAGGTGTGAAGCGTCCCGTCGGGAAATCTGCACAAACCATACAGAATCCCGTGGCCACTGCAGCCATTCCGGTGCTGAGGCATCATCCTCTTTTCCAATAAACCGATCCGCAACAGCGACGGGGCTTTGCAGCATGGACTGTGGAACCTCAGCCCCCCGCGGCAATTCAACCGTGAAATAGAGAGTATAGATATTGTCTCCGTCGGGAGCATCGTGAATGTCAGAAGGCTTGAGATGTGTCAGGAGGCACCTGCTGATACGCCAACGTTGAAGCATGCTCACCGACTTGTGCAGTTTGTGAATCTTCAACAGCGCACGGTCCAGGGACTCTACATCAGGGAGTGAAATGTCATGCGGCGGGTTTGAAACGACAGCACGTCGTTTGGCATATGCTAAGAACTGTTCGGCTCGGTGTATCATGTGAGGCAACGCTCCGCTGGTGCACCTCGACAGAGAAACAATCTGACGGAGATATGGGAGTGGATGTCAAGGAGAATATAACAATACTGGATTGGGACAAGGGGACACAACTTCAAATTATATGCCTCTCGTGGAGGCATTTCTCCATCAGACGTTCATATCGGACATCATCGGACTGAGGTTTCTGCACGAGCAGTGGCTGGACCTGGCTGGACGTGCTTTGGCAATACTGTACCATTTCGACCATACGTTCATGGGGTGTGACGCGTGACGCCTTGAACTGTTCAAGAACCCCCGCGACGCGGGACAAAACCTCGGTTCAGTTCAGGGCGCTTATTCTTCGATAGAGAAAAATACATCCCGCGAAAAGGCTCCCGAACGGTGAGACTTTTGAACTGACCCTTAGTTCAAAGCGACCAGTGATGCGTGATATTTGAACTGCAAGGCCAGTTCAAAGGTGGATGTGACGCGTGACTGAACATATGGTCGAAAGGGTGCGTACTTGCAATGACTGGCAGATGCTGTGCAACTTCCCCTTTCGGGGTCGAGGAGTACTCAATGCTGCTTACAAGCACCGCGTATGCGATGGTCACGGAGGATCATGGGGAAACCGCCTCGATTGAGGTTTCAGTCTATAAAGAATGTTCTGATAATAGTTGAACGTTAAACGTTGAGGCGCCAGGACTTTGCGCCAACACCTTGGCTCGCGATCGGCAATCTTCATTGAACAGAGTACTCACAATGTACCGGCAGGGGCCGTCAAGTACCGGCCGAACTTTTGAGCGTCATTGACTTGAGTACTTGGTATCGGACCCTGGTTGTAACCCTTCAAACGTATTTATACTCATACAGAGCCCACACATTATCATCATCCGATCTGTCACCTCGATTCATCATCGTGTCAATAACACTGTTTTCCACATACAAAACATCGATTTAGAGAAATATCTTGCCGCTGAGGAGGCCTGTGCATTACGGCTCGCTGTAGCACCTCGGGTGCGAGGCGTAATGAGCGACCGACGACCGGTACATCAGACTCTGCCGCGAACAATAAGCTCCGTAAGAGTAGTACTTACTGACGGAGTTTTGACGTTCCCCTACAAGCTTGGCATTCCGCGTCTCAAAAAAACTTCCCCGGGCTTGCCAAGGGTGCTGCACGTTGACGCTGGAAGGTCAAATTTCCCGGGCGAAGCCCCTTCGGATGCAGCAAAGTATACCACCTCCTCGCGTGAACTTGACGCTCACGTGCTCGAGCGTTAATGTGGAGGAACGCCGCACTCTGCGACCTTTGAAATTTGAACCTGAGGCCTCCTGAGCTGACGTGCAAACTGCCGCGACAAAGCCCTCAGCATCTAAGGATCTCTTGCATGTCGTGCTTGCCGTCAGCACTCTTCTTTTTATGAAGAACTCCCCAACCTCCTCTTCATCGTTGGGCGCATGCAGTCAACAACTATTGACTCTGTGGTCCTGGCTCCGCATCCATAGATTGGCGTCGCTGCATATGACAACCTCTCATGAGGATCGATCTGGGGACATGGAACTGAGGGGGTCTTCCCTATTTTCAAATGTGACGACATTCCCTGTGCACCACTCACCTAAGTGACCATTGCAGCATGTCGAGCGATCCCTTGACCGTATTGGCTAGCATTGCACTCTCGTCCTCAGTCCAGGCTTTTGTGAGTTCTTCTTCTCGAACTGCAGGATACCCTGTGGCCGGTAACACAAGAACTGGTTTCGAAAATGCAACTCCTGGTGAAGATCGTCCTGCTGCATCGACTCCGCAAGTATCGACACAAAGCGCAGCATCTTCTCTCGCCGGTGACATCATAGTTCTGCCCTCGGAGCTTCTTAGCACTGGAGAATGGAGTGTAGAAGAGGTTGACTTGTTCGTCTTAATCTCTCTCCTGCGACGCAACTCCATTTTGATCGAAACAGAGCGCCCATGAAGCGTCCCGAGCTTCACAGTCTTATTCGCAAGTGGAAGCTCAAACCTGAACGGATGAACAAGTCATCGTACATTGCTGCTCTCAAAAGCTTCAGTGAGAACAGGGAAACTTGGGAAATGTAAGTGTCGGCCAAGGATTAATTCCAGTGATTACATAGTATTGGCATCTCCAGGAAGAAACCCGTTCATACACGCTTCCACAAGGGACCCACGACAAATATCATTACAGCGGAGCGACAGGAAGTGCATCTGTCGAGCACGCAAGGTCGCAAGAGGCAACCCAAGCGTTCTACCCTGCGACGAGAACAGATCATGATTCATCCTATCGCCCTTCCGCCACTAATCCCTCGAAGATCAAAAGATACGAGAACCATAACTCAGTACATGCAAATGGCGGATTGGGTATGCTGTGGCGAACTGTTCACTCAAGCTTGCTAACCGATATCGCAGGCTCGCATGGTGGTTGAGCAGGAGGGCGGGACTGGTTCTCACTCGACCTCTCCTTTGGAAGGTGAGAAGCCTTCAGAATCCGCTTCAGCGTCCCAACTGAGATATCAAGACGAGTCAACAGTCGTGCCGCACTTATCTCACAGTCTATCCGAGCACCGGTCAACACATGCGTCGTTCGGCTGCATAGATTCAAGCTCGACATCTCAACATACTTTCATGGGTCAAATCCTTAAATATATGGAGCGCATAGAACAGCGTTTAGAGACAATGCAATCGCTGATCAAAGTGGCTCCCTCTCCGATCGTACAGTCTCCAGCCAGGACCTCAGTGCCTCTGAGTCACGAGGAAGCGCGGCGGTCTTCACGGTGGATGTGTAGGACCGATTCTAGCATTGAGCTGGGTTCGGGAGTCTTGCATTTCGACAGTAAGGAGATCCCCGATCCTCCGTACATTTCGTTTGCCAAGGATTTGGACAAGCTGGATCGCATGTGGGATGATCATTCACCATCATGGGATAACTCATCCCCGCTCATCCTTCGCGAAACGAGCATCGCACTCATTCACTGGCCCAAGGTATATCACTATCGTCAAGACAAATGCTGGGCTGGCATCAAGCAGCACTGGTCAACTTGGAAGGTCCCCGCCTCTCCAGTTTTCTACATGCTCGCTAGACTGATTTGAATTTCAGTTCCTCGTTACAGAATACAGACTCTTAACGCCGACTGGTTTCTGGCAGAAGTACAGCGAGGGCGGCAAGCGATTGCCTGTCACGAAGATAGCAGCGCTGCAGAGGAAGGCGCGCAAAGCCCATGACGAGAATTTAGTCGCCCAGGCAAAGGTAACTTTCGGTGACCGATTCTCAGATATGTTTGCATACCGCAAAGGTGGCGAATCGACTCCAAGGGTCATGACTAGTGCATCATCTATCGCTTGAACCTTTCAGAAGCTCACAGGCACAATCCAATCGTCCTGAGCGATATGCCCGTGACCACATTGATGTGGTTACAAAGGCATCGCCTAACGACTTGTAAAGCCATCGTATTGAACATTGTAGGCAAGTGACAGACTCGCACGAGCTCTATAGTGGTATGCCAAATTGTGCCCATCAATTATCGCCATTATTGTATTCTCACGACGCTTCTTTAGTGGTGGAAGCTTCTCGCAGAGGGTCTGATGCATCCTAAAGGCGCATTATCGCTGATAGTAGACCTCATAAATCTCATCTCCTTGCTACCTTCCATATTTTGTCCTCATTTCATTGAACAATCTTATCCATCTTACCATTTCTCCGTTGCATTGATTTAAATGCCCTGGGCGATTAATTGTCGACGCCGTTAGCATCGACCCGATCAACGGCCAGGTGCTCGAACTGTTGAAGCTTGCATTTGAAACGAGCGCGTATAGGAGCGACTTTGAACTCGTGAACTTCCCCGGTGGCGAGGAGGCCTGGGCGCAGAAGAGGCGGGAGCGTAGGGATCGGGATAAGGGGAAGCAGATCGTGACGCGGGATTATCCACAGCACGAGCCAGTGGACGCGGACGACACGAGCATAGGATAGCGCGAGGGTGCGTTGTTCTAATGCGTATCATAGAGTGTACAGTGCATTCTGGTGAGTATGGTGCAGATCTAAATGGTGGCTGGAGATTTATCTGCGTGTTTTGGGCGTCCATGCTGCAACTATACCCTTACGCAGGGTATCCGTCTGATACTGATATCGCAGAGAATCGTCCTTGTACACCGACCAGCTGCTGCCGTAGCCCATGACATGGCCTGCTGCCTTGACACCCCGCTCGCGAAGCGGCCGCCAAAACATCGCATGAGGCTGAGGTTCAAATGCGCGAGAAGCCTTCCGCCGCCTCCTTTTTCGATGGCCATCTTTCAATGCAGGTTTCAATACAGTTGAAGGTATGGAAACGAAAGTACAGGGAATGTCGTTATAGGAGGGATTATGCGGGGATGGTGGGGCCTCGGAGTCTGTCTTCAAGGATGTTATTTTGGGCGGCTCCGGTGGCCTTTAGGGATCTCAGCTAGAAACATCGGAGGATGTGGCGATGGAAATTTGGCTTGTACATGAAGCAGCTTACTGTCAATTTGGTGATGCGGCTACAAGGATATGAATAGGCCATTCGGATGGAACGGGGCATCGGAACTCACGCACATGGAGGATCTTTTCCCTTCTTGCTCAATCCGACTCGAAGTCTACGGCGACCGCTTGTGCTTGACGCCTCCGTCGCTCCTCCTCCATATCATCATCTTCGCATTCCAGTTTCTTGACACTGCGGACGATTAGCAAGTGCAATCGGATTTGCACACGAGAAGGGCTGACATCAGAGTCGGAGTTAGCTTAGCAGTCAATGAGACAGGTTTCGGAGGTAGCTTGTCTGATACAAGACGAGTTCTGATACGAGACGAAAAACTGCTATCATGATGAGCCAGAGCGCTCAATGACAGTCACGAAAACAGACGAACGCACAAATTCTATCAAGTCAGCACCGGCCTCATCATTCCCTTCCGTCTTCCACTTCTTTTTCTTTCTTTCATGCTCCTTCTCATTGCACATATATGTGTCCGAGCTAGGATATATGTCACCAAGAGATCTCTTCACCAGCTGCTCTAGCTCGCTGAGCAATTTGCTACTATCCTCGTCCGTCTCGCCAGACCTGACGACAACATCTTCACCTTTGAGGGCAGCGCGGGTAGTGATTTCGAGAGCATCGCCCACGACGTTAGGATATGACAACTTAGGCACCGTGAACATATAGTCGCCCAAGACAGACGGGCCGCGTTGTCAGCGGTGAGTAAGACTCGAATCTCGATCCTTTGTTTGAATCGGAAGCACAACACCACGTGCTGATCGTGCCGTCTTCTAAAACGATCTCCCTCGTCCGTGTCTGTCACGACTCACAATCCCCTGCTTCGTCTGTTATATGTCTTCCTCCAAACTGTCTGCGCATCTAGAGACACCACAAAAGCCGATGAAGCACAAACAATTGTGCGCTCTTCAAGCGGCGCAGTCCGATGCCACTCCCAGCATGGGGCCCAAGCCGGCAGACCAGCAGCCCAAGCGGTAAAAGAAGAAGAAATGTCGAGAGGATACGTCTGGATCTTCACTGTCTGCTGATAAGTTAGTATCGTACACAGAATGCGAGACTGCACACGCAAATACTGCACCCGCTGCTGCGATCGCTGCACAGCCGCCTCTGCCGGCATCGACTCACGGTGATGTTCGTGAGAAAGCAGGTAAGAAACGGCACGGTCAAGCGGAGGCATCTGCTACTGTTTTCGATCCTGCTGTTATATCCACATGCCATCATGCTGATAAGGATGAAACCGTGAAGGAGAGCGCCAAGACATCACACCCTAATCCTGCGAAAGAAAGCGATAGGAAGCCACAAGCGGCTCCTAAGGAGAAGTCAGCATCGAAGGTCCCAGCCAAGGAAAGCGTGAAGGTACAGCCTCTTCCTTCGAAGGAGATCGGGAAGTCTTACGCGGAGAAAAGCACGAAGAAGGCGAAAACTACACCCGCGAAGGAGGCAGCCAAAAAACTTGTAGAAGGTTACGGCGAAACCTGTACTAGAATCCGCAGTGAAGAAAGCGGCGAAGACAATGGCCCCACCTCCACCATCCGAAGCTTCTGAATTGACGAGGACGAGGATGATGAGGAAGAAGCCATCTCGACTGGCGGTATGGAGCTTCTGCGGCTAGCGACGAGAAGGAGTAGGAGGAAGAGGTCGCAGCTAGCGATGACAAGAACGAGGACCAAGATACAGTCATCTCCGGTAGCGACAGAGAGCGAAGAAGTAAAGGAGTCGCTGGTAGGTAGCGACAAGGAGGACCAAAAAGGAGATGAAGAACATCTGTACAGCTTTTCTGCGGACGATGAAGATTCCTCCGACGATGAGAGGGCGGAAGAGTGGGAGAATATCGACGTGTCAGAGCTGCCGATCATCTCCAAGGACGATGCAGTCGTGAAGCAGAAGCCGGAGAAGGCAAAAAAGCATCCGGTACGCATTACTTCCTTTTCGACATACTCTCTGTCCTAAATTTCGCTTGTTATGCAGAGTGAAGGCTGTGGAGTGATCTACCTTGGCAGGATACCGCCACTGATTCTACGAAAATGAGATGCGCGCATACTTCTCGCAGTTCGGCACCGTCACGCGTCTCGGGGTCTCACGCAACAAGAAGGTACGTAGCTCATGTCACATTCATCCATAACCTATTCGCTCATCCGTTTTTCGCGATGCCATTCATAGATTGGGCACCGAAACACCACGCGTTCATCGAGTTTGACTCTGCATCCGTCGCGAAGATTGTCGCGGAGATGATGGACAATTGCCTGCTCATGGGGCACCTTCTCAAGTGCAAGGTCATCCCGAAGGATAAAGTCCACCTCAAGCTGTGGGTCGGCGTGGACCGGAAGTGGCGCGCCGTGCCGCGCGCCCGTGTGGTAAGGACGCAGCACAACGAGGTGCGCTGTGGATCAGGATCGTTGAACTGCGATGATGTGATGTTTGACTGATGACTGATCAGTACAGAAACGCACGGGGAAAGAGCAGGAACAGGCGGAGGAGCGGCTGCTCCAGCGCCAGAGCCTGAAGAAGTACAAGCTGGAGGAGGCGGGCATAGACTACAACTTTGAAACCGTCGCATACGTGCGTATCCCAAAACTTCTCAATCTCCACACACGTTTTGATGTCATCTTGCAGAAAAGCAAGGGGAAGCTTTCTATGACGTAGATATGGAAAGTCGCCCTTTTGTTTTGCTGCATATATTCTGTCTTATGTCTGTTCGCTCGTTCAGTCACATTGCTAGGATCTCTGTCATCGACCGTGCGGTCTCTGCGATGGACAAAGACGCAGGGCCTGGTCAGGTTTTACTACAGGACTTACTACGAAATGCTCTATTCTTTTTAATTTGTCGCTTCATCTGGTATGCTTTGACTTACATTTGCTCGTTCAATACTGCTCGTAGCCTTTTTTGTAAGGATGCTATGTTTTTTCATATTGCTATCGGTACTACTGGTGCACAATATCATTTCTATGGCCTTAAAATGTGCCACCGCCGTCGGTGGCCTTCAGTATGACAAAAGTGGCTCCACCACCGCGAGGAGAAAGATGAAGCTCACTGTAAGCAGCAGAGATATCAGTGAGTGGTATTTGTGAGGTTTCTTTTATGATCTTGTAGCAGCTGAGTGCATAAGCCGTCAGATTATGTTTCACAGTCAGCATCGGGCCTGTCCCTTTAAGAATTAACTTTAATGAACATAGGGTACGTGTGTCACGATCATTCGGTGGTATGAGATCACCCTGACGCAGGTCACTGGTTCGCAGTTCATAATTGTCTACATGAACAATTCAACCATCAAGGTAATCAAAGGTGCGCGGCGGGCGTGCTGACTCGAAGTTCACGGATTGTTGACTCATAGGCTCATAATCACTGGACCGTGAGTCACGCCTACTTGCATCAACAATTCAAGGATCAAAGTACTAAGGTGCGCGGCGGGCATGCTGACTCGAAGTTCACGGATTGTTGACTCGTAGGCTCATAATCACTGGACCGTGAGTCACGCCTACTTGCATCAACAAATCAAGGATCAAAGTACTAAGGTGCGCGGCGGGCGTGCTGACTCGAAGTTCACGGATTGTTGACTCGTAGGCTCATAATCACTGGACCGTGAGTCACGCCTACTTGCATCAACAAGTCAAGGATCAAAGTACTAAGGTGCGCGGCGGGCTTGATGACCCTAAGTTCATGCATTGTTGACTCATAAGCTCCAAATAATCACTGGACGGTGAGTCACGCCTACTTTCATCAACAATCCAAGGATCAAAGTTTTAAGGTGCGCGGAGGGCTTGGAATGCGTGCTGACGCTGACCCAAAGTTCGTGAACTGTTGACTTCCAGGCTCAGAATCACTGAACCATGAGTTATGCCCATTTGCATCAAAGTATCAAGGATCAAAGTATTTGGATGCACATGGGAATGCATACTGGACATACTGAGATTGAAATCACGATTTCTTGAATTATGTCAGGTTGAGTCGCCGGTGCATAACTTTCCGCTAACTTTGCGAACTCGGCGGGTGATGCGAGCAAGTTCTAAAGCATTGCCATATTTTAGTAGCGTCATCCATCAGATTCCTTTGTACAGTAGCGTAAGGCATAACGGATCACAATGATTGGGCCCTCAAGGCCTCAGCGCTCAGCGCTCAGCTGTCTCTCATGTGGCTGCTTGTTCCCTTCCTTCAAGCAAATGTCTGGCCTGGGTAGCCACATTATATGTTTTGCTCTGGCAGCATGAAAGGAGCCAAGTTCGCATGTACACGTCATTGCGACGTTGCGCGGTACATCACGTGATCGCGTTTTACCCAAACATATCTCGTCTGTCGAGAAGGCTGGAGCCGCCGATGCCAATGAAGAGCTCCGCCTCTGATAAGGGGCGATAGCGAGGTCGAGCAGCAGTGCGACAAGAGCAGGAGGAGGCAGTGAGAGTGAACATGCAATGTACGCATCCATGTTCACTCACGCGGCGGTCAAGTGTTCGGTGACCGGTCCGAGCACTCAGATCAAGCAAGTTTGAGCCACGGACTAAAATATGAGGTTGCAAGGATGTTGAACGTTGAGTCTTGATATATTGATAAAGCATGCGTGTGTCTCGTTCGGACTTCTCAGATTCGACGTTGCAAGGATGTTGAGCCTTGACATGTGACAAAGCGGGTGTGTACCTCATTCTCTCGATGTTACAGTTGTTTTCACAAAACCTTCAGAACTCAGAATATTGATCCAAGGGGTCATACGTGTAGATACAGCTACTAGTGCTCTAACGCGCCCAACATGCTCCTGTCAGAAATCCGCGACCGCAAAAACTCTGCACGCTTCTGATGGGGCCGGTATCGGGGGTCCCTCTGCGACGTTTACCGTGACAGTGTCACATGGAGCGTCAAACCCGTCGGTCGAAGAACGGCTTCCATCACTCGTCTGAGAGACGCAGTTTTCAGAGGAGGCGAGTGTCGTCGATACCTGTTGCATCGTCAAGCTGCCCAACAGTCTATACGTAGGCTTCATCTGTTTCATCTCGTGCATATTTGCGCATATCGCAAGAGACCTGCGTATAAGCCGTTTACTCACTGTGTCGCACTTGCTGCCATGAACGTCAATCCTGTCGAGCAGGCCAATTCTGCCTATGCGGAAGTGGAGGTAAACCCTGTTGCGGAGCAGACAAAATCCACCATTGTCCAGCGGCGTTCACAAAAACGGCCTCGTATCAATCGTAACGCTGCTGCCACTGCGTTGCAACAGCTGAGAAGATGCTATTTTGACAAGTTGCCGCTCGAGATCCTTGCAGAGGTCTTATCATACGTTCCCTCTCAATCCATCCTAGCTGTTGCGAGATGCAGCAAAACGTTGTGCTCTGCGTTCGTCAACAACCCCTCGACTGCCTTCATCTGGAGACAGGCCCGCGAGCGATGCGACCCACCCGTTCCAGATCCGACGCCCAATTTCACGGAGGCTTCATATGCGGCGTTTCTGTTTGACGGCGGTCGATGTGAGGTACGAAGCGCTCTCGTGTAGCACTGCAGCCTGAACCAACTTTCCTGCCCTCAGGTCTGCGAGAAGAGAACGGATGAAATGTATATCTCATTCACACTTCGCGGCCGCGTCTGTAAGAAGGTATGTCAGCAGGCCGCTTCGCTGTTGAATTGGGCTACTCATGCGATGACTCTTCCAGCATTCGTGCTTGGTTGAATGGAAGCGAGTCATGCGTTATCTTGTTCCAAGCCTAGATTTGAATAACTGCTGCTTATATCCATAGAACGTCGAAGCTTTTGCTCGTCGATCCGATTGTGCATTCGCGTTACCAGGACATAAAGCTCTGGGTTCCTCGCCTAGAGGAGGACCACCGCGGTATGTTACCCATCATTCCACTTACGTTATATCTAAGATTCTTGTGTTCAGCAACCACAGTGCCCAGAAAAAGTGGCACGATACGCGTACGTGAGACTGATTGGTTAAAGGCAGTTGATGAATACAACAAAGCGGCACTCTCTTCGAGCACGATCGATGCGTACTTGCGAGAGAAGCAGGCTTTGGCGGACAGACTGTCTATCGTTCAGGAGGTACATGTCTGATCCACTCTCCGGGACATGCCTTAACACGGTCACCTTATAGCACGCATCGGCTTTACTTGAGTGGAGAAAAGGACGCGCGGCACGCGTGGATATTGTGAAGTCCTTGAACAACGAATCGTATGTTCGACGTTTCCTTGTCCTAATGTCACTCATTGCGTAAGCTTAGAGCCAAAATCATCGCGCATCGCGAGGGCTGGACGTCATACGACCTCCTAATGACAAAGAGTTACGGATCACTACACCGCTCTAACACGGCAGTGCTCGAAGCAGTGACGGAAGAAGGTATGCAGTATGCAACTATTCGACGAGGTCATCTAAGTTGCCGCCTACCCAGATTACCAAGCCATCCAGGCTACTGTTGAGGAAGAAGTCGCGAAGATGAAAGAACGTAGCGCCCGTAGAGGCTACGAAGCAGCGTATAAGAAACGCCGCGACGACGTCGAGGAGCATTATAAACGCCTGCAGTCAATGAAAGAGAAGAAGGTGCTGCCTACGTTAGCAGAGTTCCGGAAGCTCTCCATCATGAAAGTCATGCAGGCGAAGTCATGCGACGCAACATCCGGCATCGCAGCGGATCTAAAGAATTCTACATTTATCACCGCGCTACTCGAGGAGAACTTGGAAAAATGGCGGGAGGATGCACGGGCGGCGCTCGGGACTGTGCTTGGATACCCTGCTTGGAAGGCCACTAGCAAGACGAAGTTGCATCCCGTGGATCGCGTCACTGCTTGGTTTAGATGTAAGAGGTGCCACGGTGCACAGAAGAAAGGTGAAGATACACCGCTTGACTTCATTGCTGCTTGTTCGCATCGATGCTCGTACCTGGACAAGAGAAGGCGAGCAAAGGATAACTGGAGCGCACAGCTTTTTGAGCCAGATACACAGGTGAGTTGTCGTCTCGCGGGACTTCTTCACCGACTGCTGATTGTGTTTCACGCGGGTCGCCCTCGTAGGCTATACAGCTCGTGAACCAGCTGCTGGCGATATCCGGCCTCAGTGCAGAGGACCCAGATACTGGCTACTTCTTCGAGAACTCAGGATTTATGTTTGTGTGTCTCTCGTGTCCTTCGCACCTGTTCATGGACTTCAACACTGCAGTGAGTCACATCCGCACCCCATCGTATCCTCGCCTTACCGTTGAACCCAGATTCGCCATTGCAAGCGACACGAAGGCGTCAACTTTTCTATGGAGTGGCATGCCGTTTCAATTGATTCCAGGCATCCTTTCCAATCGGGGACATTGGCTATGGTCATGGGACGCAAGGACACTGCCAACGACGAGATGTCTCAAAAAGTCTTTTGCTGTCGCCACTGCGACCTGGCATCGCGGAAAGAGAGTACAGGAGAGGAACATCTGCAGGCAACTCAGGACAAGGGGACGGCCAAGATCAACAAGCAAGCAACCCATAAAAGGACTGTCACTTTTAATGGGTTGGTTTCGCACCTGAAGGAGAAGTGCGTCCGTTTGCTGTAATTATGGCATGCTGTCAGCTGATGGTTGACGTTCATTTGCAGACATGGCGTCGTCTGGATTGGAGATGAAGACTTCTTCACGTATAAGCCAAAGTCAACGTGAAATTAGAGGTACTGTGCTGTACATTAGGGTCGCGTATCTATCCTATCACTGGGTAACCGACTCATCTCATCAACCTGATGTATCCGGTCTGACGTCGAGCATCTCGCATCGCTACGAACATGTATTTTTGCTTCATGGACCTCCGCTTTGTCACATCACTGGTCTTGTTCCAGAGTAGATGGCATGCCAATGAGAGCAGCCGCGTCTGACGTGAAGGGATGGATGGGTGGCCACCTCACTGCCGCATTGGCTAATGTTCCGGTCATACTGCGGAATACATCATGTCGTGATAGTAAGCCAAGGCACTGTTACTGACGTTCCACAGTCAGTGCAAAATCCGGAGACGGAATGTACACTTCGGAGTATCTCAGCTTTATGATCACCGGAATCCGAAAGGGGCTCAATGAGTTGACATCGACCTGAAGTCCAGAGTAATCTACTTTGCTACTGCAGCTGAGCCGCTGGATCCTGGCTACCCAGTTCAGAACGGTATCATCGATGCTCGCTGTCGCTAGCTATCTGATGTGGTGTAAACAATTCGTACGTACATATTCTTCTCGAAGCCATACCATTGTTAGTTTCTTCTGCTCCTCCACAGACGTCTCTTCTGCTGAGGGTTTGTTGGGACTTGATGCTTCTCACTAAACGTGTCGGTCGCGACCACGCCTCCTTCATAGCCAAGCTCGCCTCCGTGGTGAGTGGTTCTCGCATTGATCGCCGTAGTGTCGAATCCGACATCGCATGACCAATTCTTCGGACTGAGGCACTCTCAGGGAGAGCTCCCTGATGTACCGAGCTTCCTGTTCGCTTACTCACTGCAGGAGGTCGGTGATGATCACCGGCAGCCGAGGACCACGCGAGGGTCGTACAGCAAGCGAACAACGCTCGACCTATCGGTCCGCGAGCGCATCCAGAAAAGGTAGGCTCCTTGTCCTGTGCTGGTTCTTACTGTCAAGAGAAGGCGGAAATTCATTGGTTCCTTCACGGCGAACGGCATTGGGTGAGAACTCATTGATATTCGAATGTATTCCAGGCAGTTCCCTTCATGTGCCACAGTGTATCCCTCGCTTTCTGCTCGAGCACCGTGTTTCATCACGACTGAGCGTACGTCAAGGTGCCATGAGGCTATCGAGCGTTCAGGAGCCATCATGATTCTTAAGGCAACCGCATCAGTTGTTGAAGGCTGCGAAGTCTTCCGGCCATCGTGTGACTTACTTGGCGTTCTCGCTAAAACTGCTTCGTCCATGCGTGCGGACATATCACGGGTTTATCGAAGCGTTTTCGCGTGATCACTGTCACCGCCGCTGGATCCTTAACAACACCTCACCCGCTCGACGTTACTCGGGTCTGCTCTTTCAGAGAGCCGTTGTGCTACCTTTAGGTTAACCACAACACCTCTCAATGGTGAGTCCCTCTGCACCCTAGCGTTCCTCCCCGAGGCACCTCGCGCTAATGTCATGACGATTCGGCTTGATGTGATCAAGCAAAATCAGAAACGTTTAGAGATCTCAGTCGGCTGCGCTGTCATGTGGGTGTCTGTCGTAAATGGTGGCTCCTCCGCCATGCATGGGTGCATGGTCCAAAAATACCCATGCTATCCCTGTCAATCCTTCCGGTAGCGGGACCATTGGGTGCTCTGTCGGTGTCTGTGACCCTGACGAAGCATGGAAGCCAGGGTCAAGACTAGTCTTCGTCAGATAAATTGCATGGATGCAGGGTCAACCGCGCTGTTATAACCGCAGCGAAAGTGTCGCTCCCATCTCTCGCCCTGCCCGTTCCCTAGAGAGTGTCGCTGCGAAGATGTTCGTTGGTAACTCTTGGGCTCACGTTCTCACGTTCGCCTGCTCTCTGGGCACCATTGGTGTGCTCGCGGGACCGGTGCAGGCGCCTGACTTGGTCTTGCCGTCGTTTGCCGTGGAGTACCGTCAGAAGACGATTGACGTTTTCGAAACAAGCTGGACTGCGTACACGTATGTTTTGAATGGCTCAAGCACGAGCAGTTAATTTGATGCTCGCTACCTAGAGAGTACGCATGGGGACATGATGATCTCAGTCCCGTTAGCATGAGCTATTCTGACGCCTACGGAGGTTGGGGTGCTACAATTGTGGACGCTCTTGACACCATTGTGAGCGCTTTACATGGAATGTTCGCAGTGCGATTCTGATGAGTTTGATCCATAGTGGTTGATGGGCCTTACTGTCAGTCGATTTCGTGATTTGAGGTAATTGCTCAAGCTCACTTGAATGATCGTCCAGGATATCTTCGAGGAGGCACTCAACTTTACCCTCTCCGTTGATTTCTCGACCACGCCTACAGATGACGAGATTGAGTCAGTTCGCATGCAAGCTTGAGATACCACGAGTAATTCTGACCGGTCTTTGAATGACTTCATAGCTTGTTCGAGACTACCATTCGATATGTCGCGGCGTGCCTCACCACCTATGAGCTCAGTGGCTACCAATATCCTGGCCTCGTGGAGCAAGCCAAGGTGCTCGTAGAGAAGATGGCCTTTGCTTGGGTTGGGGTGAGTGTGCGTATGAGTTGCTATCAATCTGGTGAGCTGACTTGATGTCGAGAATAACTCGGTGCCTTACGGCTATATGAACTGGAATGAGACAACTCCCATTGTGGGAACGGTGCGTTGAACTAAATATACAAAGAGATAATGCACTGAATCTTGCCTTTAGTCGAACATTGCTGAGGCCGGAACTGTGAGTCCTGAATGTGGGTTGCGCAGAAAGATCAGATGTTAACAGAGACCTGCCTGCAGCTGACCATGGAATGGGGCACTCTATCGTACGTCGTGGCACACTGTCAGATGGTAGGGACGCTGAAGTATCTTGCAATTAGCAATTTAACGGGAAACAGCACATACCGCTATCTAGCAGAGAAATCTGTCATCTACATCGCGAACTTGGTCAGTATCGCGAGCTTCTTAGGGCTGTTTGGACAGTAGCTCAATATGCGTTCTCCAGCCCCCGCCTTTGCCAGCGCTGCCTGCTCAGGGTATCGATCCCACGACTGGAGAGTTCGTAGGAGAGTACGTGGTAAGTACGGATGGTGTTTGACGCGAAGCACACGAATCAACGTAAGCTGGTACACAGAGCTGGGGAGGTGGCTCCGACAGTTACTTTGAATACCTGATCAAATGGGCGCGCCTCTCAAACACGGACAATGATATCTTCGCAGATGCTTGGGCTTCAGCAGTCGACTCTTCCATCTGGAACCTTGCCAGGGTGAGCAGGCTATGAACGTGCTGCAGACGAGATGCGCTGGACTAACATGATGCCATGCAGACCTCAACGGTGGATGACTGGCAGTATGTGGCGGACTGGGATGCCGGCACGATCATTCACATTGGGTCTCATCTGGAATGCTACTTCGCTGGTAATTGGTTGCTTGGTGAGCTTGGCTGCCTGTTTAAGCAGAAATAAATGGCACTGACGTGCTGTTTTTACGCCAGGCGGTCGCCTGCTCAACAATGAGACAATCGTCAACTGGGGCCTGGCTCTCATGGAGTCTTGCTGGAACACCTATGCGAGTACTGCGTAAGCACCTTCGCACGTATTTGTGCAGAAAGATTGTGGCTCACATTACGCCCAAGCACTGGCATCGGCCCTGAGTACTTCGGGTACTTCTCCTCCGACGGCAATTACACCGGCTCCACGCCCTCCGACGGCGACATCGCGTTTTACGAGAAGCATGGATTCTTCGTGTATCCCGGAGAATCGGACTACTACCTGCGCCCGGAGGTGCTCGAGTCCAACTTCTACGCGTGGCGCGTGACTGGCGACCCCAAGTACGTGCAACGCGCCGCGGATGCGCTCGACAGTTTCATATACTACCTGGCGGCGCCTTCCGCGTATGCGGGCATAGACGACGTTGACTCCACTGACTCGGCCTTCATCGATGACATGCAGAGCTTCTGGTTCGCGGAGGTGATGAAGTACCTGTACGTCCCTCGCCTAAAGTGCTGTGTTACCCCCGCAGCTGACGTGACGAACATAGATTCTTGACCTTCAGCGATCCGAGCGTCATCAGCCTCGACGATTGTAAGCATACGAAGCAAGAATCTCAACCTTGTTGGATTTGCTAATTTACTCATAAACAGATGTCTTCAACACGGAGGCGCACCCATTCAAGGCTCCTCCCGCCAAAGCGGTCTACGGCAGTGGAACGTACCTTAACAGCGATACATCAGCGTTCCGTTCGGTGGAGAAGCCGCTGCCTGCTGTCAGTCCTGTGCCCGCTGCGGCATCTGCTGCAGCGAACGTCGCTGCTTCGGCTTTATCGCGTTGAGCAGCTGCTTGCATGAGAGTGTCGGAAGCGACAGTCACCACTGAACACGAACTGCTCAGTGTTAGATACCACGGTCGTTATCGTCCCTTGCTTTCGTTAGCGTGGACTATGGACAATATTATTTGTGGCCGATTTCGTTCGATAACTTCTGTCAGACGTTTAGATCTGCATACTACAGAGACTTGAGCGACGGTATCATGAATATGCATCGACTGTGAGGGGGTATTACATTCACTTTCTACCTAATCTGCGTTGGGCAATTCTGGCGAGTGCCTGCTTGCCGGTGAAAGCAGTAGGGATGGCTAGGATGGCGCCGTACAGCAGTACTTGCCCGAGCTTGAGGTCGATCCAGTACCGTATCAACAGCCCTTCAAATGCGGCAAGGGTCGCAATGAAAGGGAAGATATATGGAGACAACAAATTCGGGACCCGCGGGCTCAGTTCACCCCACTGTGATGCAGCAGTAAGTAAAATGGTGTTTTCACAGGATTGAGGAGGAACAGACGTACGAAACCGAAGAGGACAAGCCATGGCCAGAAGACAAACGCGGCAAAGAACCCAGACCATGCCTTGGCAGGGATCTTTTGTTCGGGACGGAAAGTGTGCTGGATCTCCGGACGGAGGTGGAAGGCCACCTCATCGGGATGCTGCGGAGGCGGCTGCGACTCGGGAACGTACAAGTCGAACAATTGATATTTTGCAGGCGAGTGGACGAAAGAGCCGAGCAGAAGGGTGACCTTCAGAGGGTTAATGGTGGTAGGCGGGAGGGAGAGAGGCGGGGGAGCCATATTCTGTGATGTGATGGTCGTGTAAGACTCGGTCAAGCCTCTCATTCTTCATGATTTCAAACAGCTCTTTGTACATACCAGCTCAAACTTGGCCTTTCCTCCTGCAGTGACGCGTACTGGCTGAATGCCCTCTTCCCCAGAGACCTCATCGTAGAAGCGGAGGAATGTCTGGTGCGGTTGCACGCCCTTGCCACCGTCCTTCTCCACGATTTGGAATGTCAACTTGAGAACATCAGTAGGGCCCAAGGAAAGCACAGGCTTGTCCTTCTGCTTAAGCAGTAGCCTACAGGAGCACCGTGTTAGCTGGGAGTGCAACAAGTGTTCACGATGGACCAACGATTCTGTCCGAAGCTGAGTAGCATCGGAACCGGTTATTGTGATCTTGGGAGATTCCAAAGTCAATGCATTAGCATATACCCCCGCAGCTGCCAGTAGCGGGAACAACGTCCACAGGAAACCCCGCATGGTGGTTAGTCTGGTTCAGAATCCCGCCACCGTACGCGTGTCGGAGTAGGACAGGACGCGCATTTCGGAGTTACGTAATCCATGTCATCTCCAAAACAAGGATCTTGTATATTGTATAGCGCGTCGCCTCTGGTCTCACCTCTGCCGCCTGAGACAGCTTTGCAACTATCATCAGCTCCTGTATCCGCTGGCCTAAGCTGCACATAGCTATTCAATTATTGTGAGTATTTACATCCTTCTCCAAGTAGCACTCTACAATGCCGGGTATTTGACCCTTCTCTCAATGCATTGCATCTGCTTGCCAATCTGAATGCAAGGCAGTTTGTGCGAGGAAGTAATTAGTATCGGGACCGTAGGCACTATGATGGCTACAGAGACTTATCCGGATGGAGGGTCTTCAAGGGTGACCTCGGCCTCTTGGCAGGATGCTACCGACACTCAACCAGGCCTTCGTGGTAGTCTGGATCCGATATTGAATCTTGGGCCACAAACACAGCAGAAACCTGGGCTGGTATTGTTTTGTTTGATCCGCGACCACAGTGTGTGTTGAACTATGACAGCCATCTGCGCCACAGACACTCCATTCCCTCCTTCCCTTATAAAACATTCCATTCGTATTTTGAGTTGAGATTGTCTGAGCCTTCAATGAAACGAATTCATTTCTCGCCTTGCCCGTGTTGTAGACTCTATGCATGACCATTTCTGGTTGGGTCCATCTCGCTTATCCTTCACTCCGCCCTCTCGCTGTATGCGTGGATCAGTCGGGTCCATCTATTGAATCGGAGCCTACTAATATTGTTTGGGCCACATGAATATTGCGAAATGCGAAGAACAACGTTATAGGATTGTTTGCCGGGCTTCCTTGAACGTTAGCGAATATGACGCCAATCAAATTGTTGTTGCCTTGGAAATCACTTCAACTGCCTCAAATGCTCGAGCGAGACGCTTCGAAGCGCCTCAATATGAACTACACTCGCCGTGTATGTCTATTGGAAAGGACGCGCGAAATTCGCACAAACAGAACGTTCCGACAGATATCTCAGTGCAACGGACAGCACTGAAACTGCGGCGGTTCTCAGGAGCAAAGTAATTAACGACTGGCTTTCCCATCCATGTCTTAAGCAACCGCCTCGAGATACATCTCCAGAGTTTTTTCCGGATCATCCCACTGCATCTGTAGACATGTATCTGTCAGGATGTATGCTCGACGTGAACGTTGAAGTGGACACCCACGAAATGGTTCAACCCGGGAAGAACCTTGAAATTTATGAAGCCTCCGCCACGGTCAGCATTATCCTTCTCAATCAACCAAAACGCGTCGATCTGTGACCAGGAAGTAGCATCCCCCGTGAAGCACCAGACCTTCATTTTCGGCAACAGAGCTCGAAGCGAACGATCAAAGCACGCCCTTCTATACCTTGCCACAGCCTGTGGCATGCAGACGAACATTGCAGACATATGGTCAACACTTTCGTCCACAATCTCTCGTCGTTCCTCCGCCGACATGTTGTAGATTGATGGTATACGGTCGAGCGAGGGGACAATGTAAGAGAGCACATCACGATTTCGCGTTGATAAATCGCCATGGTTGAAATACGATGTGATCCAGGGAGTGAACATCTGCGGCCGTATACATTCAGGAACTGAAAAATCGATGTGAGGGGACCACGCTGCAGGGGCAATCGGGAGACCTAGAGCAAGTGCAGGTGGCTCTGTTATTGAGACATCAGTGGACGTATGTTGTCACAGGACAAGTGACGTGCCATGCATGATTAATGCGCGCATGCGCGATGCTACCCGCTCTCGAACGTCCAGCGGAGCCTGGTCAACACTGCCTATAGCAGCCGTAGTGAAGGCTTTTCCGGCTGACCACCCAACGAGAGCTATACCGCCGCCGGTGCCATCGTGGGAGATAGGAGGCGTGTCTTGTTCCAGTATGAAGTTGGACATGAACGTGATGATCTCTAGGCCTCATGCAGCGTAGAAGCGATCTCTTTCTTCTTCATTTTTTGAGACTGCGGCCGCAGCTTCAGGTTCAGAATAGGGTGTTGAGCCAGCATAGTTACGACGATTGATAGCAACGAGACGTGTGTTGGCATTGTACGCGTGCGACTGGACTCTCTTCCAAATTTCTAACAGGTAAAATTGAGCGGTCACACCGAGCGAAGACGGCAAATGGCATACGGCCTGTGAATCCTAAACCGTGAACGGCAAAGATCGTGATATGGGGGGTACGAGATGGTCCATCCAGACAGGCAGGGACACCACTGTCTGTATAATATAGCTCGACGCCGTCGGCAACTGTGAGAGTAGGCATCGCGTCAGCGTTCTTCAAAGGAAAGGGGTGAAAAGTGGAGTCGATCATCGCAACGCACATTTTTATTGTATAAGGGATGCGATCTATCTTCCTCCGCAAAAAAAAGTCGCGGATCGGCTTAGATCAACGATGGACGACGGATAGTGGACATGAATTTTGAAATCCAGAATGTCGGAGCCAACGTTGAGACCTTCGCTTGGTAGCGATTGAATAAATCGAAGGCACAATGATAAGATGCGTGGGAATTAGCATAAGCGTTGTTTTGGCTCCACAAGTCTCGATACGTTCTGTCCTCCATGATCCAAGATGGATGCGATGTCGGTTCAAACCCCGTCTAGTGCTCACGATATCAAATCGACCTTTCAGCGCTTTCGAGCGATGTAACGGAAAGCGCAAGATGCACGCGCTCGGGTTACACGGTTCTTTCGATTTGATCATCACCATGGGCTCTTTGGCGCTCTATGCCAGCTACTAGCATGTTTCTCCGCTTAAGAACTTCACGTTTCCAGAGGTGGGGATCTCAACACTTGGACACCACTGTCGCAAGTTGGATGAATGTCCGCATCATGTGTGGAGGAATGCAACAAATTCGAAGCGCCAGTTGTCCAAACTCGAAAATCCAACGAACACAATCAGGTGATATGACTTACCGTCGGATTTCGGACACATAGGCTAGGCACTGACCAGCACGAGAAGTCCTTCCGCAAACCTGGTAGCGGTCCTCTCCGTGCAATGGTTCTACTTCCACCTGATGTTCTGTGAACACGCAGCACAATCGACCTTCTCCATGGCGATACGTCCTCTTTGCGCGCATTCACTTGAACTTGCTTGTTCGAAGTAAGTAATCATCTCATCTGCCCACGAGACACTAGTTGCAACCCTTTGCGGGTGTCAGTGGGCGCATACGGTCTGCGAGTCATGACCGATGCGCCAATCAGCTGCTCATCTACGACATCCGCCGATCGCCTAGTGGAGGTATATATGGATCCCTCTCACGAAACCAACGTCTGTCTTCTGATGCCCATGAGACACCACTGTGCGGAGGACATGGAATTCGAGCCATCCGTCCTTTTGCTTCTCATTTTGGGTGGCAATTTGTGGTCCCTGAGGGACACAGACTCGGATTGTCGCCTCGGAACTTCGTGTTACCGCGAGAAGACTGGCAGAACCCAGATACCAATCTTCGGTGCACGGGGAGAAGATGAACAAGCAATGAAGTAGGAGTGGATGGAAGGCGTGCCGTTCGACTTATTCGAGATGGAATCTTCTCCGACCTGACACGCGACGACTCCCCTGATGTCTACGCTTCGGATATCAAAAAGTATCTCCACGGCCATTGGTACGGGCACCACAAATTTCATATGTGATTAATGATGGAACTAGGAACTGGAATGGCGGCAGATCCATTACACGAAGCCTTTCATGTTGATGGGCTCTACAGGATAAGTACTACATATGTACCTGCTGCTTCTCGTAAGTCGCTCTCAAAATTTTTCGTTGGAATGGGCGAAACTCAACGAAAGCAGCACCTGAAGGCGATGCCGGCCGAGATGGTGCCGTGCACCCGATTCGGAACAGGGACCACCTCGAGATGTGAACCGTTCTACAAAAATGAAGCACCTCTCGATATCTGCCACTCATTCTACACCACTTTGAGGTCGCGCCGCATAGCTATAGGAGCAAGCTACAATAATCTAACCTCTATCTTCGGATCGCATGACGCCTATTCGCTTGGCATGCGTAACGAATCACATCATGCACCGCAGAAGAGCGAATACTAGCGAAACCGATCCTTTTGTTTTGAGATGACATGTCCACTGCCCAGGCCGATTTTAAAGTGAATCCTTTAGATTATGGGCGGGATAATCTACCTTACGTTCTGACAGCGATCCGCGGATCCTGAAAATGAATTAAGCAGCTGTGAATGGAGAATATCAGTGGCAGCTTTTGGCCACAAATTGCGAGTCTTCTGCTCGGGCAAGGTCGGCGACGTGTGGTCGATCAAGCTAATCCAGAGATTTCAGTATATTGAGGATAGCAAAATAGTCCTTGTCTTGCGAGGCTCGCGGCATAGATTCCAATAACAGAATGTTATTTGGCTATCCATAATGGCGCAGTGTCGCTTACATAAGATGATACGCTGCACGATCACCCTTTTCGGGTTAGGACGTTCTCCGATCGCTGACTTCAGCTCCTGCGTCGCTTTCGCCCCCATCTCGCCCGTTTGCTCTCTGGCAACTCGCTGTCGTTCGCCCTTCCCTTGCCCGTTGTCTTTCACCTATCGGCTCGCCTGTGTATGCTACTTGCCCGCCCATCTTTCATTCTGTAGACGGGCATTCAGAGGCCGCCGATGCCCAGGCCATATCGCACACTGACGAAATGATACGGTGCCGTTCATCCCGGCCCATATATATTATATATGTTCAGACGACCGATGGCCAGGCTGAAAGAACAACTTGTTCCATCCGTTGCCGATGCCGATGCCGTTTGTACCGCTACCGTTCGCGCCTTACATCGGTTCGATGCCACACTACTGCTGCATCATGCGGGCAACACAGGATGGCGGAACGTCGGCCAACCTAGTGCGAATCGTCCCCTCTCCACTGGGTCGACCTGAACGTGGGCGGGCCGCATTTGCGCAGTTAATCCACATTGCTGTCATGCCAATTACTGTCTGCGGCGACTGCTGCGCACCCTACAGGCCATTCAGTTCAGTGCCCTCCGTCTGCCGGATCCCCGGGACGTTGTATGCCAAAATTGACGCTGCCCTCATGTCGCCCGAGCGTAGCTTCGCGGGGACAGAGTGTATCGTGAGCATCATCGACGATGGCGACGAGATGCCCGCAATGCTAATCGGCAAGCCGCGGCGGGAGGAAAGGCTTTGACCATCGAACCCCTGGTCGGTCGCCCCTCCGAAGCGTTCGTTTCCATTGCGCAACTCGGTGTGACGAACCGTGCTAGAAGATGTCGAAACACAATCGCGCGGTGGCAAACGAAGGGGGGAAAGCCAGCGTCAGCACGGAGAGCGTCTTCATGCGCTTGTACGAATCGCCGCTCCGCTGACGTGCCGCAATGGAGCTGCTTGCATCGCGGACGTATGCATCTGACCAGCTAGTTGCGCTTCGTCAATGAAGTGAGCCGCGTTTGGTGCACATAGACGTCGGTGGATGAGGGTAGTGGGCATGGGGCTTAGCTGGATGGCCATCGACCTTGTCCGCAACGCCATGAGGGGGTATATTGTCAACGATGGCTGCTGCGGGGACCGCTGACGTTCCAGTACGGTCCACGCATAACGTTAACAGGCTCCTTACCATACCTACGTGTCCACGTACAACAGTGAACACTTTACTCCACACTTCTACTTACACTTTTCGTGATTCAATGCATTGCTCGTGTACACAGCCTTTTTGTGACTAAACCCGATGCTGCTGTTCCTCCCCTGCACCATGCTTCTGCCACAACTGTTATTTGGACCCGGCGCTTGTCGCCAACTTACCAAGTTTGTCAGCATCCGCGATGGTCGAACGGCGAGCCTGTTGGTCGGGCACCTTTGACGCTCAATTTTACGTCAGCAACCGCGGTGCACGTCGGTTCTTAGCATTGACTTTTACTTACTATCTAATGAGGACCCGGGCAACTCCCATATAGGAGTGTCGCAAAATAGCATATTTGAGGGGCCCCAAATCGCGATTTCCTTGTCGCGGATTGCATATTTCAGACCTCGGAGGCCCCAAAAAGCT